CCATCCTTCCTCCAGAGTCAGGGCAGAAAGCCTGACCCAGAATTCCTATACAAAGTGTTAATACCTTACGAGTGCAAAGCATTTGCCAAGTCACAGTCAGTGTTCAAAAGGGAGCCAGCCCCTCCCCTGCCTCTTTCTTACATTTCAAAGTTAGCTCCCTGGTTAGAGGAAGTGGAATTGTATCGCAGGACTTGGGGATTAAATGAACAGGATTCCAAATTAGGGTTATTTTGGGGGGATGGTTGTTTGATTCTATAAATCTTGTACATTCTTGCACGTGGCTAAACTGGGTTAAATCCCAGGTTCCTCATATGGTCCACAGAGCACTGCCAGGAGTGATCCCTGAGCACAGAGGCAGGAGTAAGCCTTGAGCACAGGAGAATGTAGCCCCCAAATCAAACAAACAAAAACATTGAAAATCAAATTTAGCTGGGAATCCTCCGTCCCTTAACTGGAGTTATACAAGCTATCAAAACAAACAACATTTCAAATTATCTGCTCACCAAATGTTGCACTTAGATATAGTAAAATAATGTTTTCATTAATATTAGACTGTGTTCTCTGTAGCATTGGATTTAAAATCGAGTCAACAAGTTCAAGTGTAGTTCCCTCCTGTAACAATATGACTTAAAAGAAAATAACTTGGGGCTGAAGAGATAGCACAGTGGATAGGGCATTTGCCTTGCACACAGCCAACCCAGGTTAGATCCCCAGCATTCCATATGGTTCCCCAAGCACCACCAGGAGTAATTCCTGAGTACAGAATGAGGAGTAACCCCTGAGCATCACTAGGTGTGGCCCCCAAAAAAGCAAAAAAAAAAGATGGAGAAGATAACTTATATTGCTATTTTTAAACCACAGCTGTAACAAAAGAAACACATGGCTGTAGAATAATTTTTTTATTATAAGATCAATCAAGATGATTGGTCAGATGATTGGTCATGTGTGTGTACATAACAGAATTACTTAGGATGAACTTAGAACCCACTCCTTCAGTTGCATGATTAAAAGACTAATTTTGAGGGGCTGGAATGGTAGCATAGCGGGGAGGGCGTTTGCCTTGCACGCGGCCAACCCAGGTTTGATTCCCAGCATCCCATATGATCCCCTGTGCACTGCCAAGAGTAATTCCTGAGTACAGAGCCAGGAGTAACTCCTGAGCACTGCTGGGTGTGACCCAAAAAGGAAAAAAAAAAAGACTAATTTTGCTCCTGTATTTAAAATGCTGTATTCCTCTCTAATTAGTATGTTGTATATTAGAACCTCTCGCAGTTTACTTTTCATTTGATTTCTCTCAGGTATTTAATCTGAATATGAAAATTTTACAGGTTGTTATTTGTAAGAGCATCCTTTTATGCTGTAAAGAAAATGTATAAAGTACAAGAGAAAACCAAATGGTTTCAAAGTAACTTTTAGAAGGTACCGGTGTTAATAGTATGTACTCATTTGAAAAATGTCTGAAAGTTAATTACCTTTGCCTCTCACATTCACCTGGGTAGTTAAATGAACAAATCTCAACCAGGACACATAATTAGGTGTTTGGTTTTTTTTTTTTTTTGGAGGGAGGGTCACACGTAGTGGTACTCAGGGCTTACTCCCCACTCTGTGTTCAGGGGTTGCTTCTGGCATTGTTTTGAAGACCCTGCAGTGCTGGGAATTGAACCCAGGCTTTCGACAGGTGAGGCATGCATTCCTCCCACTAAGCTGTCTCTTGGACTCTAGAGAAACTTTTAAAAAGCTCCTTGCCTACCTGTTGCCTAGGAGTTTTGAATAAGTGAGAGCTTTGAAAATAGAGTATTTGAAAGCCCACCAAATTGTTATAACATACTATCAGGGTTAGAACCACAGAGCTAGACAGACCACATCTGTAGGGGACAGTGATCAGGCGCCCTTGTTTCCAGTCAGTGGGTACTGATCATAAATAAATGTTTCTTGAATAAGTTAAAAAATAAAGTCTCACCATGGAAGCTAATATAAGCCCAGTTTTATACTCTGATTTTCATTTTTATTTGCCTGTGAATAATTTACCTTTGACTTTTAGAAATGTCAGTCTTAAATCTACAAAACCAGCAGACAGAATGAATTTGACATCCAAATGGATTTTGCCAGGATATTAAGAGGAAAAGAGTGGGTGTAAGGTTAGCACAATACAAAGCTAATCATCTCTCTTGAGAACTCACATACCGTTCTTGGTTTTGTAAATGCTTCCTTGGTCTTCCAGTGTTTTCTAATTCCTTGCGATCTTAGTTTTCAGCATAGTTTTTTTTTTAATCAGATTTGTTTAAGATGCGTTTTATTCTATTTATAGATTAGTGAATTTTTTAGTTATTTTTTTAGTCAATTTTTTCCCTAGTTGCGATTTGGAAATATTGAGATATCTCTTGTAATTGAATGGGTTTACCAATTTCTCTTCCTGGGGAAGAGAATAAATCCTTTTCGCATGTTAAAAGCAAGAATTCTTGAATCCTGGAACCCCATGTATTTATCCATCTGATTTTTTGTTGTTGTAGAAAGTGATACTTCAGCTCTAAGTAACACTTGCCTAAAGCCATTTTTACTTTGAAAGCTTCCTGGGCAACAAAAGGAAGAGAGGCGTATTAATTTCATTCTGGCTCACAGTTGATCTGCTACTGGCTCTTGCAGGAATGCTGTCATTTCTGTAGTCCTCTGTGACTGACGATTGTCCCTCTTGTCCCTAGTTCATCTTTCATCCTTCCCCCTTTACTTCCTTTGCCCTAGCTTTGGCCCCCTGAGCTTTTGCTTTGAGTCTCACACACCACAGAGAAACGGCAGAGGGTTCTGATGGTGCCTGCTTGCATCCTTCTTCTTACTGCCCCGCTGTATGGCATTGCGAAACATTTTCAACACCCGAGAAGCAAGGCACTATGTAAAGATAAGGTACTTTCAACTGGTTGTTTTCTCTCTCTGTGTGTAGCATTCATAATTTTAAGAATATAAAGATCCATCCGAAGAACTTTTCCATTCTTTCTTTTTGAGACTCAAGTTTTAGGCCAGGGCCTTTTCGTGTTTTTGAATATTGTATCAGTGTTTCTATCAATGTGTTTTGAAATGTTAAGGCTTTGGACCCGCAGTACTTGAATTGGAATGGATGAGTTATTTTCTTATTTAACTTTTTGTTTGGAAGAAATTTGGTATCTAGAAATAGATTTCTTCCTGGGTAAGATAATTTTGCTGTATAAAGGCTATCTTTTATTCACAATAGAGGAAATAGCAAATTTTCTAGCTGAAAGACAATGGGTGTTTTATATTGCTGATTTTCCTAAGGGGAAGATTATTCTGAAACTCAAGACCAAATCTAATTGGTGCATATGTTCAGTTTTACTCTGAATTAACAATTGTGAATCCTTTTTCCTGTGAAGGATCCCAATGAATTCTCCAGCCTGTGTACAATCTGTGTGCACAGTGAGAAAACTTACCTTCAAGGATTGAGGAGATTTTCTTTATGGGCTGCTAAATCTTGAGTGATAAATTTATTTTTAGATTATATGAAGTAGCCTTCTGAATTTTATGACTTCCAAATTTAGTCACTTTGAGTGGAAAATGCATTTATAAATCTAAAGATACTCTTCTAACCTTTGTAAAAAAATATAAATCAAAATAGAGATTGAAGCTAAGCGTTCAAGGTGTTTATATCATATCCTTTTATATTTAAACTGTAACGTCTTTTATAAAGAATCTAAATGTATGTTTATACAGGAAATCATGGCCATTTGGATGAAGAAATTATAGTAAGTATAATTTTACAGGACTGTTTTACAGCTTCATCCATTTTAAATAATCCTTCCATTAATATTTTTAATAACCAGGGTTTTCTGCATCAATTTGCATAAAGTGAACTAGGGAAATAAATAAGTGAAATAGGGAAATAAAGTGATAATTTGACATGGAGGATCATATCGTGGCAGTATTTCAAGTGCTTTTATTTAGATTGAGATTATTATTCAAGGAGGGAATTGGGTCTAAAATTTGCTTCAAGGGTAAATTTGAGCATCATAAAGGGACCACAATTTGGGGAGATTAGTACTAAACAAAAGTTTTGTTTATTTAAGAGGTATAATTATAAGACCACATAATCATAGTGTTACAATGTCTGCCTGTTATACCCTGGAAAATGTTTATCCAGGATCACTCTGGAGTGTAATGTGGGAGAAATTTAATTTTATCTTTTCCTTTCTATTTTCTTAATCTTAGTTGTTCTCTCCTTTCCCCCTTTTTCTTTAAATCTATATTTTGATTACATTTTGTGTCAGTCATTATAGTCTTTATCTTCACAGCATGTGTCAGTGTCATCCTTCTGATGTGACCATCTGATCTACCTGTGATCATCTCCCCTTGTCAGCCTTGCATACTGACATCTCTCCCAACCTCTGAATTAGATACTTTCCTTGGAATCAGATTTTTCTATTTGTTTAATTCTAAGTTTTGCCCAATAACTAGAACTGTTTCACGTGACCAGGGTATCAATTACTGCTTCTGGCATGTTTCTGACCTGAAAACAAATGTTTAATACTTTCCAAAACCTGCTTCTTTAAACACCTGGAGCAAATTGAGTTACTAGCTTCTTGGGGTAAACGTCCTCTCCTTTGTCTGATTCTTTGTCAAGTGACTCTTTTGAAAGGCTCTTTTATAATTTCTATTGGCATCTTGTTTGTTCTTTATTGATCATTGACCAGTGAAACTAGTGCTTCCCTGGCTTTTATAATGTGGTTGGAAAGAAGGTGGGAAGGAAGAATAGGAGTCCCTGGCGATGCCCAGAGAAGGGGACTGTGTTTAGAGACTCTATTAATGGGGGCTACCTTGTCTTTCCTTCCACTCATGTCCCTTTATGCTAGTCACTAACAAGACATGTTTCTACATTCATAGGGTATCTAGAGTTGGTGTATGTTTGCTTATTTTTGTTATCCTAGATAAATGTTCACTAACGTCTGCTTGGGCTCTGAAGATAATTTCTATTCTATTTTCTGATTTCTGAACTTCAGGAGAAGGTAAAGCTTGATGCTGAGAGGGAAAAACTAGAGAGGCTTCAGGAGCTTTACTCCGAGCAGAAGACCCAGCTGGACAATTGTCCTGAGTCCATGAGGGAACAGTTACAACAACAACTGAAGAGGGTCAGTAGCAAACAGGACCGCAACAGTTATTTTTCCTTCTTGTTTTTTTCTTATCAAATTCCATTTACTTATGATATCTTACTTCCCATAACATAAGTTTGCATAAACAATAGTTGTTAGATGCTTTCTAAATAGACTTATGCATACTGACAGTGTGTATTATTTCATGCTAAAAGTTTTTTTAAAATCCTTATTAGAATACTTCCCTTAATTTGTAATGCAAAAACATTTCTGAAGTCAATCTTTGTAACAGAACAGAACTGACACATAACTTACACCAGGATTCAAAACACTCAAATAAACTGACATTTTTTCCCCCATTTTCTGCTGCATCGTGTACTATTTGCCCCTCTCATTTTCTTTTCTTAAATTGATTTTTATACTCTTTCTCACAATGGAGACGTTACTGGTGCCCGCTCGAACAAATTGACGAGCAACGGGAGGACAGTGCTACAGTACTACAGTGCCAAAATTATTCTGTTCGTTGATTTTCTCGCCACCACCCCCCATTGTTTTGTTTCTGTTTTTTTATTCTGCTTTGTAGAACACTGAACTCTTAAGCACAAGCACTACAATTGAACATCTAAAGCCTGGGTGCGCACGTACCTTGCTCTTGCTCTCAACACCATTTCCGATGAGCTTCTTAGCTTCCATGAATCTTAGGGCATCTTAGACCTTCTTGTTGAGTTTTATTGGGTTATTCTCCAATGCTTAACGCTCTCAGTAATAAATATGATCACCCTGGTTATGTTTTGGAAGTGAAACTTCCCAGGTAGAATTTTACAAACATCGAAATGTCCACTAAATATTTCACATTCTCTTTTCAACTGAATTTTACCCTCTAAGCAGCAGCCCAAATAAACTGTGACCCCAGGAAAGCAGTCAATGACAGTTTTGGACGGCAGAAGGAGCCCTTAGTAGTACTGTGTCCTCAGCCATTAGGAACTTAGAATTTCATGTGAGTTAAAAAGAAAGACTACTCATGTTGTTATGTCTGTATCTTCATAGGAATGAGAAAATTGAAAAATAAGTTAATACAGCATACTTTGAAAATTTTTATGACCGTTACACAAAAATATTTAATACCACTGAGTATCACCAGGTAAAGAAAACTTGCAGTTAAAATTTATGTAATTAAGGACTAGAGAAATATTACAGAAGTAAAAGAGATTCCCTAACAACCAACCGATTACAGTTCAATTCTCAGAACTATATATGGTTTCCCAAGTACCACCAGGCATGATCTCTGAGCACAGAGCCATGAATAAGGTCTTAGCACCTCTGAGTGTGTCCCAAAAACTCCCCCCCACCAAAAAAAAATAACACTTATGTATTTCAGAGGTTATCTGATAGTTTATTAACTATCTTAATAAAGAGTAATGCAAACATGTTAAGTTACCCAGTAACAATGTATTCTAGTATTTTTCATTAATTATAATATTATAGCAAAAAGTTTTTCAATAATTTCCTTCTTCCTTAGTCATTTTATTGTATACAGTAAAATTTTCAGTAAGAAGAGAAAACTTCCTGATCCTTAATGTCACCAACCTCTGGTAGTCTTGTGATAAAAATGAATAGTTCTAAAAATAAAAGGAGTAAAAGGAGTACTATTGTGAAATTAATTCTTGTTGTAATTTTTATGTCCATTTACAATAGAGTTGAGAAGTATTTTTTATTGTTTTTCAACTCTCCTTATTGCTAATGATTTTATAGTCTTCCAAATAATTTTATGAGTGAGCAGATGGTTATAAATTTTATTCTTTTCATCATGTAGTTATCAAATTACTAGATGGCTCTTTGTAAACATTTCTTATAATAAAATTTTGTGAGTTCTAATTAATAAGTTAGACTCAGGTTGTTATCAATAATTTTTAGTTTAATTGAATTCTATAGGATAGCATAATTTTGTTTATGCTCTAAGGATTATGTCTATGAAGAAGAAAAGGAAATGGTGCAGGCAGTCTATTCTACTAGTTGAAGGGGAAGACTCCTTCCCTTTCCATTTTAAATGGAGTATACAATTTTTATCATAAAACTTCTTTCCTTAGGAGAGAAAACTTAGCATGTGACAGCTTCTATTCACCTGATATTAAGAATCCTACTAATTCTGTTTCCTAGGGATGCCAAGCATAAGAACACTCCACCAATTCCTTGGCTTGATCACGCAAAACTCCACTCATTTCATGAGAAGTTTATTCATACTAGAAACTTCCTTCCTTTGTTATCAAAACTCATTTCCTTTCAGACTTCACACACTTTAGAACACCACCTAATTACAAAGCTTTCCTCAAAGTTTTTAAACTAGATTCAATGAAATTGTTTTAAATACAAATGACTACACTGGGTGGCAAATCTTACAAAATTTTTAAATCTGATGAGAAAGAAAGAAAGCCATTTCTTAAACCATATACGTCTCAAATACTTAATAGGAAATTATAGAATGATTCTGTGCATACACCATTTGGATTTATGACTGGACTTCTTAATTGTGAGTCACTGCATTATATAAAGTTAAAATACAATTTTTATGTGATGTTGATTCCATGACTTGTGATTATATTCATTGATGAGGCTTAACCAGATGAATTATCATCCCCCAGGTATGTACAAGTAATACAGGAAAAAAATTGAAAATGAGAGTCTTTCATGTGCTTGAATAGGTTCCAATATTAAATGGATTTGGGGAGTGGGGACCCCACCCAACAGTCCTTAAGACTTACTCCTGCCTCTGTGCTCAAGGATCACGCATATGGGAGACCATATGGAGTGCCAGGGATCAGCTGCTTAAAAGGCGAGCTTCTTAGCCACCCTACTATGTCTTGGCCCCTGGTTCTACTATTAAATGGAAGAGACACCTTGCCAGAACCATTTTCTTGTGATTTTGGTATTTACTCTGCTCACTGGCTGTTTGTGTTCTCTTAATTAAAGTGGTGGGGGGAGAGGGGAGCTGTCTGGGAGACTTCCATGATTTTACAATTTAGAAACTTTTTTTCCTCCATCAATGAATTAATCATTTAATCTTGAACAAAAATTTAGTCTTGAATAATGAAGTTATGTAACTTCACTAGTCCTCTCTCTCTCTCTCTCTCTCTCTCTCTCTCTCTCTCTCTCTATATATATATATATATATATATATATATATATATATAAAACAAGGCATCTGTTTTCGCTCATTTCCATTGGCTTCTGCAGATTCCAGAAGTATACACTTAAAGAAGCACTTGAGTATAACTCATAAAATGAAGAAATGTTAACAAACACTGCGCCCCATTTGCCTTCAGCACTGGCCTTGAGCTGTCATAAGATTTTAACTGTAATCTCTACCAGATATACCACTATACTGCACTGTCTGTCTGCACTGTCTTCCTGTTGTTCATCGATTTGCTCGAGCGGGCCCAGTACTGTCTCCATTGTGAGACTTGTTGTTACTGTGTTTGGCATATTGAATACGACACCAGTAGTTTGCCAGGCTTTGCCTTACGGGCAAGATACTCTAGGTAGCTTGCTGGGCTCTCTGAGAGTGGCAGAGAAATCGAACTCGGGTTGCCTGGGTCAGCCACATGCAAGGCAAATGCACTATCCGCTGTGCTATCACTCCAACCCAATAGACCACATATATATTATTTTATTTCTGATCCCCAGCTAAGCAAAGAAAACAAAAATTTGCTTGTAAACTTCTATTAAATAAAAGTAATTGGAAAGAAAAGAAGGCATTTTAACTGACTCGTCTTGTTAGCACTGCTGTATTATTTTCTATCATGCCTCTCCTTTGAGCTTGCAAAACAATAGAGATTTATAAAGTTCTTTTGGTGGGAGAAGTTTAAATAAGATTTTCACTCACGCAACTATACATCTGAATTTGATTGCTTATGTATTATTTTTTGCTCAATTAAACTGTGCCCACAGAGTTTATCCCTAATATCTTCTTTTATTTTATTATTTTTGCTTTTTGGGTAACACCGGCTGTGCACAGAGGTTACTCCTGGCTCATGCACTCAGGAATTACTCCTGGAGGTGTTAGGGGGACCATATGGGATACTGGGAATCAAACCCAGGTCAGCCACATGCAAGGCAAACGCGCTACCCACTCTGCTATCACTCCAGTCCCTATTCCTAGTTTCTTATCTTAAATTTCTGAAAGCTTTTTCCCCTCCCAAGTCGATCTTTTTGGCCCACAGTACAAGTTTATATACATTTATTTCATGGTTTACAAAACTTGATCAGATGATTGCTCCAGAATATTCTTAGTGTTGAGCTTAGCTTTAATTTTCAACTTTCCTACCTCGTGTACTATCAGTTTCATACAGAGGTTGAAATACTTACTAGAACTAAATTTGTGACTCTGTAACTTCCATGCACATCAGTAGCATGCTGCATAGTACTAAAGGTGGAGTAAGTGACTAGCATTGCATATATCGTGAGTGTTGACTTTGGATTATGATTATTTATAATTTTTTAATATTTATTTTTATCTCAATAACTTTCATCATAAACTCAGATTAACTGAAAAACCTTAAAAATTGAAAACGTATGCCTGTATGAATAAACATGTTTTTTCAGATTGTAAATATTTTGTTGAAACAAATCGCTTGAATTATCTTTTATTCCTTTAGTACTGAATAGATTTAGTATGACTTTATTAGTTCCTTTAGACTTAAAAACATAAGTTTTTTATTAAGCTGAAATCTTAATCAGTGACTTAAAACCAAGGCCAAGACCAAGAGTACTTTCTGTTGGTCAATTAAGATAAAAATCTATGAAGTGTTAGGCAACACTGAATATGTTTTTAAGATTATTTTGCTTTCCTTAATCTCAGAAGATCCATGGTCAGTGTTGACACAATAATGTTGTTGCTATAGTGTTGGTTGTAATTATATGGAAGCTAATAGCCTTCTATGAATAATTCCCAGTATGATTGCAGAATATGGAAATAAATTCCATTTGATTAAAATGTTAAAGAACTTAATTTATCACTTACATAAATATCAGAGGAAGGATGGTGCACTTAAATGCCAAAATAGCTAACCTATCATATATTTATTTAACTCTTTGGTATATTGATTTAAAAAAAACATTTTGACTTAACATATGAAGAGCTTCAAGCTATATAGCCCACCTATTTTCCTTTTGGGAATAGATTGTTTACATACGTATGAATATTTTTATATAGTTTTAATATCTTCTCTCATTGTAATTCTCTCAAAGACTCCAAATATAAAGGGAAGGAGAGCTAAAATAGGAGAAAAATTTATGCAACATACAACAATCTCTATACAGATATAATTATTCTTTCTTCAGCATCTTATAACTTGGTTAATGGTTACTTTGAACAATTTTATTTTTATGATTTCTGATTGCTCCCTAATGTCCTAAGACAATGTTCAATGTAGTAGTGCTTAACATGTTAAACCACCCTTTGTGCTTGATTAAATCTGTGGTTTCAATCTCTCTAGGAAAAGTTTTTGCAAACAATTTTAAGGAATGGACAGAAACCAAATTAAAGACTATATCATACATATATTTAGAATTATAATGTTAATAATAACAAAGTTAAAATATATGTATATATGTCTTCATGTATACATATAATGCATGTGCTCAAATATACATATAGTGTAAATATACCACCTCATTGTATATACTCTAGAAAATATTAACTGAAAAACTGCAAAACAGGAAAACTAAAACATGAGAAAGTTCTAATATTTCCCCTCACATCCCAGTGGATTTTGTTCTGTCCCTTTTGGGATAGTATATACATTTTTGAGACCTCTTATCTATTATGCATGCCAGTTCTTCCCATTTTTAAATAACTAGCAACTTTTTCTTCTTAAATTTAATCTACTTAGATTTATATATATTAAGGTTTAATTTTACTTAAAATTTTGTGGAAAATGGGAATTTTCTCAAGAGATCATGCCTTTGACTGCAGATAATGTTTTAAGTCATTTACTGAATTCTGATTTTATCTATCATACATTTTTATGCTAGCTCATGGATTTTTTTAGAAGTTAAAAATATCCTATTTATTTGCAGATTAAATTTAACTAATACAAAACAAATCTGAAAGAGTGAAAAAAAATAAAACTACTTTTAGAATAACAAATTCAGCGAAGTTACATAATATAAAAACCAACAAATAAAATCATTTGCTTTTCTGTATTTTGACAGTGAAACATCTGAAAAATAAAGAAAACAATCTCATTCACAATACCTTGAAAACAATAAAACAGCAATTAAAAATTGAATGAAGTCATTGAAAACAAACTATGCAAAAGAAATTGAAAACAGAGTAGTTGTAAGTTGTTCCATGATCATAGATTGAGATCATTAGTCTTGTTAAAATGAGAACCCGATCCTCAGCCATTTGGAGCTGAAGCACATATATGAAAGCAACAGTTCGTATGGCTGCAAAGCAGTCTAAAACTGATAATGAAGTAATCATTTGCTCCCCCCCACACACCTCTCAATTCCATTCTGTCGCTGTTTGGGGTGACAGAATGCTCAGTGTTGGAATTGGAAACACATTTTGGAATGCTTACTTTTAATACTTTTTCACCTTTTGAGGAATGCCTTAACAACTCCCGTGCTTTGTTTCCATTCCTTTTCTCCTAAGGATGCAGATCTATTGGATGTGGAGAGCAAACGCTTTGAAGACCTGGAGTTCCAACAGCTGGAGCGCGAGAGCCGTCTGGATGAGGAAAAGGAAAACCTGACCCAACAGCTCCTACGAGACGTGGCTGAGTATCAGCGGAACATCGTTACTAGAAAGGTACTTATTCCAGCTGTTGTTAAACATAGAAAGTCAATTCTGAGCCAGGGAGGTAGCTGGAAAAGTTGGAGTGTGCACGTAACATGAGCAGTCTCACCACCGGGCTCTGGATTCAATCTCACCACCGCCCTGTGGCACCCAGCTCCACTGGGTGGACCACTCCAAAAGAGAATCAGTTACAATTATTGTTATAGTTGTCAGTGTGTGTCTGTCTGCCCATCTTTTTATCTCAGTGTCACATATTAGATCTTGCAGATTTCGGTGGTTCCTGACATTTATATGCTAGTGACACTCCAAAACAAATAAATTAAGATGTGGCTATTGATGCCAGTGGCTGAGGAAAGGAGGGGGGAGCATGGGAGGTAGATAGAAAAGTGTTTCTCCCCCTGCTTGAAACACCTCTGCCACCACTTGTTGGAGAAATGCCTCCCCAGGTCAGGTCAGCCCCAACCTCAGCAGAGTATTTTGGATCCATTGTCTTTCCCTGTCAGGAGGGAGGGAGGGAGGGAGATAGGGGGAAAGAGAGAGGGAGAGAGAGTGAAGAGGAGAGAGGGAGGGAGGAGGGAGGGAAGAGAGAGGGAGAGAGGAGGTAGGGGAGAAAGAGAGGGAGTAAGGGAGAGAGAGAGAGAGGGAGAGAGGAAGGGAGAGAGGCAGGGAGGAAGACTGAGAGAGTGAGGGAGGGAGAGAGGGAGGGAGGGAGGGAAAGAAGAGAGGGAGGGAGAGAGTCGAGCGAGAGCAAGAAGGAGGGAGAGAGGGAGGGAGGAAGAAAAGAGACCATGAGGAAGAGAACAAGTGGGAGAGATGGAGGGAGGGAGGGAGGAGAGGGAAAGAGAGAAAGAGAGGAGAGAGAGAGAGGGACAGAGGGAGGGAGAGAGGAAGGGAGAGAAAGTGAGAGAGAGAGAGAGAGAGAGAGAGAGAGAATGCTTTTCTATAGCTTCTTCTTTCCCGAGAGGTCCACCTTTCTCTGTATGTGGCCTTGGATTTCTGCATCTGAATAGAGCCTCAGTTTCTCTTCTATAGTGGTCTCAGTATTTGTATGTGTCAAAGGGAAGTGGTCTTCATGCCATTGGGCTACTTCAGTTAGGATATCTCTTCTTAAGTTTTATTATTTCCCAAAAGTACATAGCCAGGTTCTCCTTACCTATACTCTAGATGCATTTATGAGCAATATTGAGTTTTTTTTCCTTTTATGTAAAAACCAAGACAGAGAAAACCAATAATTTAGATTTTTTTTTTAAGATTACTTTCTTTTGCAGTTATAAGTAACTTGGTTCAGAATAGTTTCATGAACACAGTCTAGTTTGGAATTCTCTGTTTCCATTCCTTGATAGTTCTCAAAGCTGGCTGATACATTATTACTATTAGAGACAGCAGTCTGCAGTGCCATGTAGATTATGGATTCCATTCAACCCCTAGTGTCAGAATGCAGTTTTTATTTCAAAATTTAGAATTACCACCAGTGCTCCATACCAAACCAATAAAACTGAGGGAAGAAAAGTTGGGTGTGAGGAAGACTTCTTATGCATTTTTCTTTTTTGGCAAGGGTGGGCATGGGGTGTGTCAGGGTGTGCCAGGGGTTGAATGAAGGAGTCATATTCCAGTACAGAGCAGAATTCTTGAGCTCTTAGTTTAAAAAAGAAACTGTATTGTATTTCCCATGGGGCACCTTTCAAGACGATGTTTTGTAAAAAATGTCCATTTATAGTCCAAAAGATTTCCTGTTGACTTCTGGTTTCCTCAAATACATTTTTAAAGCACTTGATTTGTATTGGTAAAGAAAGGAAACATAGCAAGTCCAAGAAATTGCTTTTCACATGCTGGGTAGCAGTTACAGACTACCATCAGCTAAAATGTGGTCAGTGTTACTCCAGTTGTAAACATCTTTCTTCCTTTTTTTTTTCCCAGGATAGTCTGGCAAACTCTTAAGTCTTTAAGTGTATTTTTTCTATGATCATACTTTGCCCCCCTGCAGGAAAAAATCTCTGCTCTGAAAAAGCAAGCCAATCACATTGTTCAGCAGGCTCAGCGAGAGCAAGATCATTTTGTGAAAGAGAAGAATAATTTAATAATAATGCTACAAAGAGTAAGTACTTCCTTTTCAGTCCTGGTCACAATGAATCACGGGTCGCTGAAAGAGGTGGCTGGCCTTGACCAAACCCGGAGTGTGTAAGCGCTGCCTGTGACCCCCACAACTAAATAGCGCTGCAAGTCCGGCGGCCAGGAAGGGCAGCGCCTGGAGAGCACCTGTGTGTGCGCTGCCGCCCCCGCTGCAGGCTCAGGGATGCAGAACTTGTGTGAGCATCGCTCCAGAGCAGGAGCCCAGGCAAGCAGGGAGTAACCCCACGGGGGATGGAGCGAGCACCCTGCCAGGCGCCCCACCATATGTGTGTAATCCCACGAGTCACGGCATGAAAATCAAGGGAAAGGGGAGGGTTGAGCCACTGAAAACAAAAAAACAAACAAAACAAACAAATACCCAGATTCATAAATTCCAACTTGGGGGAAGGTGGAACTTAATAATGAGAAGTGAAATAGAATTTAATACTTTTACATATATCTTCATGTAATCCTCCACACTAATAAGCTAATATGTGAATGATGAGTAAAATTCAGGAAACACGTAGGAGTGTTTCGTCATGCTTTTTTTCTCCACATAATGGAATTATATTATTAAATATTATTTTTTTACATTGAGAATGTATATATTACCTGATTTTATTCTTTTTTTAAAAAAAATTATGTCTTTTGTCAAATAGATAAAATATAGTTTCCATTTTTACTACTCTCACACATCTTAGTTCTGGTGTTTTGAACACTTATTCATATGTAGGTCTTCTTGACAGAAAAAAAAAAAAGAAACACATAGTTTGATTTAATGGTCTAGGTGGTTTTGTTGTCTGACCTGGGTCGCACTATCATCCTGATCAAAGGGACCGTGTCCTTATGTGCCCAACAACTCTTGGTTGACTTGTAAAGGAATTTCTTTTGGTCAATCCACAGCCTGTTTTTGTTGCTGCTGTTTTGTTGTAGTTGTGGTGATTGTTGTTTCACCTAATCACTTTTCTGTCTTCAGGGATATGGCGCCATAAGTTGATGGGGATGGTCTCAGTACTTAGGTTTGCGTACATGATACCACAACAGCACTGTAACACTTGGGATCAAAAATTGTGAGATGGACCCAGAAGGAAGTGTATGACAAAGACTAAATCCAGAAAGAAACACTAAGGAAGGAAGTTCTATGATAGTTCTGTGGTGATCTTCAGCACTGTAGCACTGTCCTCCCATTGTTCATCGATTTGCTCGCGCGGACCCAGTAATGTCTCCATCGTGAGAGTTGTTACTGTGTTTGGCATATCGAATACGCCTCGGGGAGCTTGCCAGGCTTTGCCATGAGGGTGAGATACTCTTGGTAGCTTGCCGGGCTCTCCGAGAGGGGTGGAGGAATCGAACTCGGGTCGGCCATGTGGGTTGCGTGCAAGCCAAACACCCTACCCACTGTGCTATCGCTCCAGCCCCCTGTGATGGTCATACCTATAAAAAAAAGTAGATGGAGTAGTCCCACCTCAGCCAATTTTGGGTTGAGGAAACCCAAAATCAGCTTTTTATGTAGAATTATTCTATTACATGCATAATATAATGATGTAATTATTATGTACAAAGTGTAATAATTATATCCTTTCTGTAGAAATTAGTTCTTTATGTAGAATTATGAGTCATATAAATTATTTATGTAGCCTCCATAGACTCTAACAACATTCCTTTTCCTCCTTCAGTATCAAAAATTTTTTCTGGAGGCAATTGTTCTTCTCATCCCCATCTCTTCTTTTGGGTTGAATTGACTCGTTATCACTATTTGCCCTTCACACATAATATAAAGGCACAAATTAATGTAATTATTTTTATTTACTTATTTGTTAGATGACATGGTGTTTATTTCTGTAACTTATTCAAAAAGAGACTGGATAGAGATACCGTTCTTAAAGTGGATAGATATAATGACAGGAATACTATATTTTTTAAAGAAATACATTTTTGGATAAAAACATAGAATATAATTCTGTGGTAAAAATTGTGGTCTAAAAATATTAAGACTTGTGTTCACTCATGTGTGAGGCTCTGCACGAACGTGTGGAGAACAGCCTTGAGCATTGTAGCAGTTGGGTTCTAGAGGTTTTAGGCTGCGGGGGCTGGGTCCCTTTGGGCGAGGAGGGCTCTCACCCACACCCCTCTGGGACGCCCTGAGTGAAACAGCCTGGCTCTGAGCCCAGTGGCACGGCTATGGCCAGCATCATGTTGCTCCCTTCTGGGAGAAAAAGCTGCGACTGTGCAACACATCATAAGATGTTTTTCCATAATAGACAATAAAAAAATATATTATTTTGGTTGTGCTTTGGAACAAGGATTGGGGCTTGCGATGGAAACATCCCAAATTTGGTGTTGGGAAGGTGTAATGGTGGTGGTATTGGTGTTTGGATATTAACTGTAATCAAATAGTGTGAACCACCTTATAAAATTAAAAAAATTATATCCAAAAGAACAAAAGCAATTGGTGTTGGCACAGATGTGGGGAGAAAGGGACCCTCCTTCACTGATGGTGGGAATGCCGACTGGTTCAGCCCTTTTGGAAAACAAGTATGGACGATTCTCAAAAAATTAGAAATTGAGCTTCCATTTGACCCAGCAATACCACTCCTGGGAATATATCCCGGAGAGGCAAAAAAAGTACAGTCAAAATGACATCTGCACTGTTCACAATAGCCAAAATCTGGAAAAAACCCAAGTGCCCAAGAACAGATAACTGACTAAAGACACTTTGGTACATCTACACAATGGAATATTATGAAGCTGTTAGAAAAGAGGAAGTCATAAAATTTGCATACAAGTGGTTCTACATGGAAAGTATCATGCTAAGTGAAATGAGTCAGAAAGAGAGGGACGGGGCTGGAGCAATAGCACAGTGGGCAAGGTGTTTACCTTGCACGCGGCAGACCTGGGTTCGATTTCCAGCATCCTATATGGTCCCCCCAGCACTACCAGGAGTAATTCCTGAGTGCAGAGCCAGGAGTAACCCCTGTGCATCACCAGGTGTGACCCAAAAAGCAAAAAAAAAAAAGAAAGAAAGAAAGAAAGAAAGAAAGAAAGAAAGAAAGAAAGGGAAAGGAAAGAAAAGAAAAGAAAAGAAAAGAAAAGAAAAGAAAAGAAAAGAAAAGAAAAGAAAAGAAAAAAGGGACAGACATAGAAAGATTGCACTCATCTGGGGAATATAAAGCAACAGAATGGGAGACGAACACCCAAGAATAGTTGAGATAAGTGCCAGGAGGTCTGCTGCAGGGCTTGGAAGCCGGCAGCACATGCTGTGGGGAAAGGCAGCTCAGCTAGAAAAGGGAACATCAAGTAAAGGGTGTTGGGAGGATCCTCCCAGGATGGGAGATGCATGCTGAAAGGAGACTATAGACCAAACATGATTGCCACTCAATGCCTCTTTTTAAACCACAACACCCCAAAGGAAAAAGAGAGCAAAAGGGAATGCCCTGTCACAAAGGCAGGGGGGATGGGGGGATGGGGGATGGGGGATGGGAGGGATACTGGGATCATTGGTGGTGGAGAATGGGCACTGGTGGAGGAATGGGTACTCGATCATTGTATAGCTGAAGCCCAAGCACGAAAGTTTGTAAGTCTACAACTCTACCTCATGGTGTTTCACTAATAAAAAAAAATAATAATTTAAAAATTCAAATATAAAAAATAAAAATTCTATATAATAGAACTAAAGAAAAAAAGACTTAAAAATTTCCCAATTTGGTCAGTAGATATCTCCATCCAAATAAAAATCTCAGCAGACGTTTCTGTATCACTTGATACAGCGACACTAAAATTTGTAGCTGATCCTCAATATTTGTGAATTCTGTGTTTGAATTTATCTACCCATTAAAATTTATTTGCAGGGCTGGAGCAATAGCAAGGTGGTTAGGGCATTTGCCTTGCACACAGCCAACCCGGGTTCGATTCCCAGCATCTCATATGGTCCCCCGAGCACCGCCTGAGTGCAGAGCCAGGAGTAACCCCTGTGCATAGCTGGGTGTGACCCAAAAAGCACACACACAAAAAAAAAAATTTGCAACTGTAAATCATTTCTTGTGCAGTCTGCATGGAACACTTTTAGGTACTCAGCTTGCACATCCCCAGCTGAAATATTTGTAATTTATTTGGTTTGGGGTCCACACCTGGTGGTGCTCAGGCCTTCTCCTGTTTCTGTACTCAGGGAAACACTCCTGGCAGTGCTTGGTGACCATATGCAATGCTAGGGATTGAACTGAAGTTGGCTGCATGTAAGACAAGCGCCTTAACCCCTACGCTCTTTTGTCTGTTCTCTCTCTCTTTTTTTTAACAGTTACAAAGCTTTAGTGTTTGAGTTTCAGTCATACAATGATCGAATACCCATTCTTCCACCAGTGCACATTCTCCACCACCAAGGTCCCCAGTATCCACACCCCCCCACTCCAATCCAGCCCTGTTTTAGTGTTCATTTTAACTTAATTTTAACTAAAATATGCACTATTTTAGTCTTCGTTTTAATGTAACTGTTATGAAAAATGAGACAACTATATGTTAAAATGCAGAATGTATTGATTATTCCAAATAACTTTAATAGGAACAAAATTGGAGAATCTATGTTATTTTATTTCAAAATTTGCTATAAACATGCAGTATTTCAGATGCTCCAGAAGTAGTTCCATACCTATTCGCTCTGTTCATTTTTGACAAAAGATCCAAAACAATCCAGCAGGGAAAGGAAAGTCTTTCCAACAAATGTTGCCAGATAATCTGATTCAATATGGAAAAATGCAAACCTGAATACCAGCTGTTCTCCAACCATGCAGATAAATTCAAAACATGTCATAGATCTGTCAAAAATGAAATGATATAATTTCCAGAAGCAAATGTAATAGTATATCGTTATGGTCTTGGGGTAAGCAAAAACTCCTTAAAATGGGGACTGGAGAGATAGCAGAGCGGGTAGGGCGTTTGCCTTGCACGCGGCTGACTCGGGTTCGATTCCCAGCATCCCATATGGTCCCCGAGCACTGCCAGGAGTGGCTTCTGAGTGCAGAGCCAGGAGTAACCCCTGTGCATCTCAGGGTGTGACCCAAAAAGCAAAAAAAAAAACCTCCTTAAAAAGGAATTGACAAAGGACTTACAGACAGGATATATTGAAAACTCCTGGGGCCAGAGCAATAGTACAGCAGATTGGCCATTTCCCTTGCACAGGACTGACCTGGGTTCGATTCCCAGCATCACATGTGGTGCCCCCAGCATTTCCAGGAGAAATTCCTGAGTGCAGAGCCAGAATTAAACCCTGAGTGGGTGTGACTCAAACAACAACAACAACAACAACAAATAAGAAGAGCAATATAAAAACTTAAAAACTCCTACAATTCAGTGATGATAAATGCACAAATAAAACAAAGACTTTAGTACAAACACTTAACCAACACAAAGATATTTTAAGATCTAATATAAAATTTTAAAATATCATTAATACCACTAAAATCCGAGGTTGACTAAGTTTAATAGATGTTGTTTTCTTCAGGAAAAGGAAAATCTTTGTAATTTGGAAAAGAAATATGCCAGCCTCTCTGGGGGGAAAGGTTTTCCTGTGAACTCCAATACATTAAAAGAGGTAAGCTATGATTTTACATGTCCACTCATTATGCCTTCAAAACCAGGAGATGTATCACAGTTTTATGTGATTCATTGAATAGGAAAACCATGAATTTAAGATTAAATAAATACACAATGCTTTGGTAGTTTTTCTACCTTTCATCATTCATGTTTTGAAGATTGTGTGTGTGTGTGTGTGTGTGTGTGTCTGTGTGTGTGTATGTCTGTGTCTGTGTCTGTGTGCTTTGCTTGGCAACGATATGATTTCTCTTGGACTTTCAAAAAATATAGGATCCAGAGAGACTACTTTTAAATTTTCTTCTCTCCTTCCTGCAATATCATTTTTCACTGCCTACTTTTTCTTTCTTCTCTACATCTTAATAAAACATTAAGTTTGAGGATATGGTCTGGTTTCTTTTTTTCTTCTCTGTTTTTCTTCTTCTTTTTTTTTTTTAGTTGTCTCCTTAAATTGGAAATTTCACTTTACCTTAAACTATACACACTCTTTATCCCAAACATTCATCTTTTTCAAACCTCATTACTATTCTTTCCCAAGTATCTTTTTATAGAATTACATGGCTACGTTGGTAGAATATTCTCTAAGTTTAGAAATGTCACTCTGACTGAGAAAAAAAACCTTTTTTGTTAAAAAACAAAAAAAAGGTTTTCTTTTACATAAAATGTGCATGATAAAAAAAACTTTTATATATTGTATTAAAATGGACAGCAACTAGGAATTCTCACATGAACAGTAGTGTGTGTGTGTACACGCGCATGCGTGTGTTTGTGTTTGTGTATGTGTGTGTCAATATGTGAAGTAAAATGTTTGTTAATATGTTGTGTTCTCTGTGGATGTTAGAAACACTTTATGTAATATTTCTATGAGTTCTTAGACCATCCTATTTCATGGTTTCTCTCATTATTCATAATACAGACCTGGGAGTTTCAGTGAACAAAGTATGGTAATGAATGGAATTTAGCAGATTGTCAGCAAGATAGGCCAGGCCAGATTCTGAGTCATGTTAAAGAGGTTGGTGGCTTAGATTAGAGCAATAGTTGAGAGATGGAGAAACTTGGATGCAGTGAGAGATAAGCAGAGGGAGGTTGACTCACAGATTAGCTCACAAATTAGATGTGGGGATGAAGCAAAAAAAAAAAAAAAGAGGGAGGTTTTTAAGGAAAGAGGCCATTATATCACTTTGAATAAGTAGGTGGATTGTAATTTCATTTTCCTAAGAATAGGCAAAACAGAAGTAAGAATAACTTTTTAAGGGATGGTTTACTGTTGACTCTGGATGGAGAGTTTGGAGTGTTTATAGCATATAAATGAAAAAGATAGGTTCCAGACTTCTTCTAGTACAAGAACAAAATCTTTTCTTTAGCTGACATTGGTCCTTTTCTCTTCAAACTTTTTATGTCAAAAGTTCACTTGACCTTTTTTATTTTTTAAATTTAATTTTATTTTTATAAAGTTGTTCATAATGATTTATTACAGTCAATAATCCAACACCAAATCCACCATAATTACATCTTCCCACCACCATTATTTCTAATTTTCCAAATCACCACCCAAGCCTGCCCCAATAGCAGGCCCTAAATAATTTATTTTGTATTGCTTGTTATGAATAATTCACTAAAAATGATCAAAAAAAATTTCTTAGAAGAAAGTGTGTGAAGATTGTTGTATCTCTCCCCGGACCCATTAAACCCTTGAATAAGAGATTACTGACATGTTGGTACAGGTTAAGCCAGGTGTGTTAATATTTTCTTAATCGAGATTGGTTGCCTTCTACTGGACATCCCATCCAATGTGGTGTTCTACTTCTGGGATATCAGTAGTGTAGAGTATGAGATGTCACTCCAGGAATTCTAAAATTTTGCATGGAGTGATAAAGCTGGTGTTAAATTTTTAACTGGATGATAACTTTGGGATCTGGAAGCATCTCTGCAGCCTATTGATCTCTTTCAAGATTTATTTGTGAGTCTCTGGATCATGGCCAGTTAATGAGCAAGGCTCCTGGAAGAACAGAGGGATCTGGGGGAGATCGCGCATCCCTGACTCTGTTGAGAGCCTGGAGATTTTTATCACAAAACCCACATTCCTGAGTTTTTCAACAGATTGTTCTTGTATGAGGCTCATCCCGAGCCTGTGGAGTCTGGCCATGAGTATACGGTGATTGGATTTTAGAGGCTCTGTTTGGGAGGGTGGTGGGCTCACCCGCCCCCTTCCGGGGTGCCATGGCTGAGACTCAGCTTAGTGTGGGGTCTGAAAACATCTCTGCCTCACTTGGCTTTTTGACTATTTTCGTGCATCTGTAACTCTTGTGTTTATTATTCATATGTCCTATTTCTTGTACCAAGTAGACTTGACTCACAAGCTATGCTGATCTCTCTCCCTTCCTTCCTATGATGTCTAATCAGTATAATGATTTTATTTTGTACAGTTTATTATTTGAAAGGATTGATGAGTTAATAAAAGATCCCAGATGTCAAATTTAACTTAATTCTACTTTAGAGAGAGAGATTATTTTATACCTTCTTTTCTTTATACTGTTTCATTGGTGTGGTAAAAATTATGATTGATCTATACAATTAACTTTCCATGAAAATTTATAGTGTTTTTTCCTAACAAATAAATTCAGGAGTTCTGATGAGTAAGATTTTGATTCATGGATATTTTCTCTAAACTGAAGCCAGAGCTAAATTTTGGAATTTCAAGTCACTAGAAATCCACCTGGGGATAGTTTGGGAACTATTGAAACTGCCCTAAATTGAAATATCCTGCAATTGGAGTTCTGCCTTATGTGTTTATAGTTGTATATGTGGTGCATAAATATGTATAATTAAATTAAATATGTATATAATTAAATAGGAAAAACTTACCCCATGACTCTGTTCTTTTTTATTCTCACTTGGTTGAATGCCTTATAGCTAGATTGGTATGGTATAGTAATAACTAGATCACCATTACATGATTTAAGAACAAATTACTGTTTTTAAAATATTGGTGTAAAATCCAACAATACTCAGACAATTTTACTCACACTCTAATTTTTTTTAAGAGAGAGGGAGCAGTTTGGGCCACACAGAGGGGTACTCAAGCGGCTACTTCTGGTAGTACTTGGGGACTTTATGGTAGGGGTCAAGCTGGGGCCTGCCGCATGTAAGGCAAATCCCTTAACATCTATTATATCTCTGGACCCACACTCTAATTTTTCAGGAAAGAGAAGAAGAGGGGGAAATCTAAAAATAAAGATTTTGGAAAAGGTAACTGAATTAGAGTGTGAGTGATCGCATTGTCAATATTACGTCTCAGATTTTTGTGTGCTATTTGTTCAAGTATTGTAAAGTAAAAATATCATCACAGAATGATTGTGGATACCTCTGGATATTTCAATGTTGAATATTCTCAATATAGTCATTCTGATTTCACCAAAAAAAATGTAATATTTGGGACATAATTCTTAAAGATTAAGCACCATATTAATTGCTGATGATTCCTTTAATGAAACATTTGATAATACCACAGATATCTGGCTATGCTGCTCTGAGCTAACTCCATTGTACTGGGAGCATTAATACCCTTGCATGCTTCAGCTTTGGCTTTCTTTGTGTTTAATTTCTGAATTCCTCCTTTTAGGGCTATATCAGTGTAAGTGAAATTAATGAGCCATGTGGCAATTCCACGAATCTATCCCCTTCCACTCAGTTCCCTGCTGATGCTGATGCTGTTGCCACTGGGCCTACCACAGCTGTGCTGGTGAGCCAGCCACAAAATAAAGAGGTGTGTTGGCATGACATTTCATTCATTCATTCACTGCTTTACTCATGTCAAAAATTAACCCATGGTTAACTGAAAATGAGTATATGTCTGACAATGTTATATCTGGTAAACAAGAGTGATGCTGAATTTGACAAACACCATTTGGAGGCCACTGCTCTATAATTATGATACTTAAAAACAAGAAACGTATGGCAGAATGGAGTCCTAAGAGTTCAGCATCTTCGAATTACATCTTAAGTCTCCAATCTGACTTTTCTTGGAAATCATAAAGTCTTTCTAAAATGATTGCTTTAAATTACCTCTCTGATTTGATTTTTGGTTTTTGTCTGTTTCGCAGTCTAGATTCTTAAAATTATAATGTCAGCAAACCTCGAGGGATGAGAATGTTTTCTACTGATCCAAGTTGCTTACATTGTGGGATTTTAAAAGGAAGCTAAATTAAAAAGTTAATGCCCATCATTTGTGACTTCTTGATTTAATTATGACAAAGCCAAGCAATTGGATTGATTTTCTTTCTTTCTTCTTTCTTTTCATATGGAAACATATATATATATACTTCTTTCTCCTGTAAAGCAAGGATCACTTGTCTATTCTGGATTTATGTTTCCTTCCACTCTTTTTCCTATCACTCAACCTCCATCAGCCCCTTGGCCTGAAGTCCTGGCTTCATCTGTCCATCCTTTCCCTTTAAATGACACGCCTCCTCCTTTACCAGCTAAGAAACACAGAAGGCAACAGGAGCAACAGGTAACTAGGAACTCGTATTAAAAGTGTGATTCTGACCTGATAGCAAAGTAACTTATATGAAAATTTTTTTCAACTTTTACAAAGGGATTTTTTTAAAACAAACCATATCCTCCTTTGGATTTGGATGTATTTGAGTTTGGTTTGGGTTCTTAAAGGACATTCAGCATAATCTGAATTATTAGGATTATTATAGATTTTTCCCCCCTCCCAATGGGCTCCTAGTCAACACTCAGGGGACCTGAGGACCAATCCCAGAGGGTCCCAGTCAGTAGGGCCAGAGGGATGAATTCTAGTGCCAGGGGATGTCTTGCTGTTTGGACCCTGCAGTGCCAGAGACAAGCAGGGTCTCCCTGCAGTGCTTGGGAGCAGGAGTCAGGGTCCTACCTAGCAATGCTGCTTAGACCTTAAGGGTTATACCTGGCAATGCTGGAAGACTTTGTGTTGCCAAGATGGAGCCAGGGTGTGGTATCTCCCCAGGCTGTCTAGTTTTTAAGGCATTAGTCACCTGGCTTTAGACATGTCTGAACTCATATCACACCCTTAGGCTTCAGCTCACATTCATCCAAATATTTCCACTTACCTTAGGTGTTTCCCAAAGTAATGATTATTTGCATAAATTCATGGTAGAAAGAGCTGCCATGTCTACAGAAACATTTTTTTCTGCACATTATTGAAACCATGATCACAATCACAACCATCCTGTTATTCGTCCTGTTATTGCCTCGAGCAGGCCCCAGTAACGTCTCCTTCGTCCTAGCCCTGAGATTTTTTTTAAAGAAGTGCCATATTCAAGGCTCTTTCAGAGTTAGGAGAATGAGACCCTTCATTGTTACTGGTATTTGGCATATTGGGTACGCCACGGGGAGTTTTCCAGACTCTGCCGTGTGGGCAGGCTACATTCGGTAGCCTGCCAGTTTGTCCAAAGTAGGAATGAGATGATAAGATGTCCGCTTCCGGGAGCTGGGTTTTATAGTCTCTGATAACCGACATATTTCCTATGCTATCTGTCAAGATATGCAAAACTTTTTACAAATATTTCATTTTACCCTAACCAGGTGGGATAAGAATTATATCCATGTTGACATTCAATGGACAAGCTAGTTACTCACATCTGTCTATCTGTCTAGGCAAGTAGCTTGTCCAATCAAAGGCTACACTACAAGCAGTGTACTACGACTATAAGACAATAGTTTTTTCTTGTTTTCATTTTTGTGCCATTTCTAGTGGTGCTCAGACTCCTGGTCTTGCACTCAGGAATAACTCCTGGTGGTGCTTGAGGGACCATATGGGATCCTTGCCAGGGATCAAACCTGAGTGAGCTGCATGGGAGGCAAACACCCTATCCTCTGTACTATCACTCTGGCCCCAAACAACAGTTTTCTTCATTGAACTTTTAAAAAATATTTTAAAATTAAATAAATAATTTACTATTCTAAATGTTTTGATTTTTTAGTACAATCAGTATGTAAGTACTATACTAATCGGTTTGGATATCCCTTTTGGCTATGTGAATTTGACCCCCTCAAAACCCTAAAATATCCTAAGATTGTCAGATCTCCAAATCAAGATTTGCTGTACTTAGCCCTTACATTTCCTGAAAGTACCTTTTACTGTTAACTTCTCTTAATTGTATCTGCAAACTATTTTTATGTTAGTGAACAGTAGCTAACATATATAGGTAACTGTAAAGTTAATATGCACATATTTCTCATGACCAGAATAGAGATTGACAATAAATTTGATTACTCAAATTTACATTGATCTTATGAAGCATTGCAAACCCTATAAAGAACTTTAAATTAAGAAATAACTTTACTACTAAGTACATTTTTAGAGGTAACAAAGAAAGTGTGTATAGATTTCAAGTGAGCAAAATTTTTTCCTTAGAATTTCAAAGAAAATAAAACACAACCCAAAAAACCCCCAGTTGTCCCCACTAGGATTTTTAACTGAGCGTTTACTGCCAGGTTCCTAGGGTTTTTTTTTCCCAGTAAAATATCACTTAGAGGGATGTTTTTCATGGAGACATGAGAGTTTAGAGTTTGTGGGATTAAATTATTATTCCATCTTAGAAATAGCTTTCCAATTCATTTTTCTTCTTTTCATTTTCTTCCTTCTCCCTGTCCTTGGTCCCCTCACACTGGGATCTGTGCTATCACACAGAATGTGCCCACACACAAGGGGAGAAACTGTGCTTGCAATATTGCACTGGCTCTTTGCCATCCACGTGACGACCATCATAATAATTTATAAGTTGTCCCAAGGCCCCAAGGCAGCAGGAACTAAATATGGAAGGTGGATTTTAACAAATGTTTCTAGATTCAGTCATAAATTCTTAAGGGTGCCTATATTTCTTGTCAAATGTTAGTCTTCATCTCTTAGTGAACATGAGTGAAAATGGAATCCTTCTAAAGATATAATCTGATAAAATTCTAAAATTTTTTTTTTTGTAAATACGTACTTCTTCTTTTCTCTGGCCTGTTTCAGTTTGACAAGTATTGCTATTTTGCTTTATATTTGCATTTAAAGCACTTTAGAAGTCTGGAAGAAAGAAAAAAACAGCACAAAGAAGGCCTCTATCTGAGTGACACTTTGCCTCGAAAGAAAGCGGCCCCTTCCATATCCCCACATTTCAGCAGTGCTACTATGGGGAGAAGCACCACCCCAAAGGTAGGACTTAGGGAGAACCCTGAGTTTCACATTCAATGAGTCTTCTGCTCTTTATGTTAACAGATGTACAAAGACTCAAAGAAAATACCAAATAAAAGATCATTAAATTTGCTTGCAGGGAAGGCTCTATGTCTAAATCTCATTTTTCCGTACTCTTTGGAATCGTAAGTCCTCTGATCAAGGAAAGAGGACCAGGGTTTAATCTAGCGCACGAGTGATGGAACGCATCCACGTGTGACAGATTCTCCTGGCTGCATTCCAGCTCTGAAAACGGGAAGATATAAACTGTGGATTCCAGGAGTAATAGTCACAAATATTTATTGAGTCATTTTCATACATGTGATGCTAAGCTAAGCTAAGCCCTATATGGGTATCGTCTCCTTTTAAAACTATGCAGAACACTATGCAGTAGAGGTGCTATTGTCTTCTTTGTTCCTACGGATAAACTGAGGTGGTAAGAAGCAAACTGGCTAGCCCAAGTGCCCTGAGCCAGTCAGTAGTGATGCTTGAAGGGGAGCCCCCCAATGCCTGATGCCTGAGTCCTTCTTGTTCCATCACATATTCAAGGGATCATGGCTAGAAGAGGTGGGAAGGCAAGAAGGCCGAGAGACAAATCCTTTTGACCCTCTGTTTGCGCTTAAGCAGAAATTATGTACGAATCTCCTTTATAAACTATTGTTCCCAAGTGTATTTTGCATAAAGAATTTTACTCTTTTTCAAAGTAAAGGCTTTTTGGACGCCCTCTGGGTAGTTCATAGCTTTATCCAGTTTTCAGTCTCTAGAAAATAGGAGCTTGTGGAGACGGATGCACTTGTGACTCCGTCCGGGTGCATGTGTGCATGCGTGCCAGTGCTTGCGTCTGCCCTCTGCTTTTGTGCATGAGCAACTTTCAGTCGTTTTTAAGTTGGTTTTACATCATGTTTTCCCCCATGCACCTTAGCCCTTGGAATCGCTGATGCTGGAGGAATTGCTGTGATGCGAACCCCTTGGGAGGGACAGCAGCCCCCCTTTACAATGTAGCATCAGTAAAGGGGGTGCAAAGGCATTCCCTGCCCTCTGCACTTGGATTGGAACTGTGGAAACAGGAATGGTCCATGTCCTAGAGGACCGCTAGCAGCAAGTTTTGCTGGAATATTTTCTCCCGATTCTCACAGGCTCACCTGCCCCTGGGACAGAGCAACAGCTGTGGCAGTGTTCTCCCCCACTCGCTGGCAACCATAACCAGAGACTCAGAATCTCGGAGGATGCTCAGAGGTATGTACCTTTGGAATCAAATGTCATGTCTTTGGTTCAAGCATTAGATTCCTCCCTGAGACAAGATCAGAGCAGGTATGGGATTGTCAGAGGGATTCAACCAAAGTCGACGATTGGACTCATTACTCTGTCCCCTCTGGAGAGGGATGCATCTCTTCTTATTCTTGTTTTAAGATCACGTTCCCATGCATGTAAGACTGATACCTTTTAAACATACTCAGTGTACTTCATAAGTGAAGTAGAATTTTTAAATCCAGAAAACGCCTAGAAAACTATGAACCGTCTTGTTGGGTAGAAAGGTAAGATCGCTGAGATTCAAAATTATTATCAGGGCTCTTCATGATGTTGCTCACCTGCTTTGTGGCTAAGTTACTCTTTTGGTCCATGTTCTGAGGGTCTTTAAAATGATGGGATCCTTACCCTTGAAATTGTAATAGTCAAGTGAGAAAGAAAGACACTGAAAAGATATCCATACAGTGTAGTAAATGTGGTGGCAGAGATATGCCTGGGGTGTAAATGGGGATGCAATGAAGGGCACGCATTCAATCTCTCTTTTTCATTCGTTTTTGGGTCACACCTAGTGATGCCCAGGGATTTCTTCTGACCCTTTGCCAGGGATCACTCCTGGCAGCATTCAGAGGACCATATGGGGTACCAGGGATTGAATTCAGGTTGGCCGTGTGCAAGGCAACCACCTTACCTGCTGTATGATAGCTCTAAACATATTTGAACATTAGTGGGAATGAAACTGTTTCTCCAAGCTGCTCTGGAATTTGCCCACCCTTTACTGCTGGTAACAGGGATAAACACTGGTTTTCTATTAGCAAAAAAAGAAAAAAAAAAGAAAGAAAGGAAAGTGCATTTATATATACTAATATATTTGTACATATATTCATAATTTTTGATATACATATATGTACATACATATGATGTGTAAGATATCTGTATATAAATATAAGCATACCATACATTTTATATTATGTACTACCTCTAAGGACTGTAGCCATAGCATAGCAGGTAGGGCTGTGCAAGCGGCCTTGCAAGATCCAGGTTTGATTCTTCCACCCCTCTCAGAGAGCCCGGCAAGCTACCAAGAGCATCCCGCCCGCACGGCAGAGTCTGGCAAGCTCCCCGTGGCATATTCGATATGCCAAAAACAGTAACAGCAGTCTCACAATGGAGAAGTTACTGGTGCATGCTTGAGCAAATCATTGAACAGCGGGACGACAGTGCTACAATGCTACAGTGCTACTACCACTAAGAACTTGCTTAAGGTTTTCAAAACATTGCTAGAAGTCATTCGAGTTAAAAGAGAGACCAGGGAGATAGTTAAAGTAGTATGTGTGCACCTCTCTTTTTTTCTTGTTTATTTTTGTTTTGGGGGACCACAGTTCATCAGTGCTCAAGGCTTACTTCTGCTTTTGCACTCAGAGATCACTCCTGGCAGTGCTCAGAAGGCCATCTGGAATGGCAGAGCTCAGACCCAGGTCAGCTAAGTGCAAGGCAAGTGCCCTACCTGCTGTCCTATCTCTTTAGCCCGAGTGTGCAGCTCTGACTTCAATTCTCAGCACTTCATGGCCGTTGGGTACTACTGGAGAGTGACTTGGTAGGCCACAAGCAATGAACTAAACCATTATACCTATAGCATCAAACTGAATTTTGCTGAATATGGCCCCAGGGTCCCCAACACAGCATCATTAGGAGTAGCTCCTATACACATAAAAGAGTTAATCAAGGTTATAGTATTCATGAAATAAGTATATAATATATAACAAATTTACCATGTTAACATTTGAATGAAATCAGATACATTTATCTTCTATTTTTCCTAACCCAAGTTCTTACCAAATTTTTAAAAAGATCTTAGGTAAGGTAAGGTAAAGGCCCTCCCGTTGATCGTCGATTTGCTCGAGCGGGCCCAGTAACGTCTCCATTGGAGACTTTGTTGTTACTGTGTCTGGCATATCGAATACTCTCGGTAGCTTGCCGGGCTCTCCGAGAGGGGCGGAGGAATCGAACTCGGGTCGGCCATGTTGGCCGCTTGTAAGGCGAACGCCCTACCCGCTGTGCTATCGCTCCAGCCCTAAAAAGATCTTATAATTCATAAAAAATAAATTAAATTTATTTAATGGACTTTTTAAAAAAAAACTTTAATTTGGGGCTTTTAACCAGTGGTGCTCAGGCTGTGTGCTCAGGGATCAGTGGGGCTCAGGCGACCCTATGGAGTGCCTGGCATTGAACCTGAGTTGGCCATGTACAAGGCAAGCATCCTACTGTACTTTTCCACCCCCAATTAATGAATGTTTATAGATTTGCCTCATCACTGTTCTCTTGTCAGTTAAGTCTATTTCTGTTCTCCGCAATGGCTGAAGACAAGGCGTAGATTAGCCATCCTGTTCTTCATATTGAAAGTATTTTCTTTAAAAAGAAAATAAAACTCAACTTATATTAAGTAGATAGATTCATGATAAACAAGAGCTGCTGCGACAGATGCCTGGAAAGATTCTCATGAATGTTTGATATCTAGTCTTCTATCTCTTTTTCCTTCAAATAAATAATGGGAATCTCCACATAATACTCGTAGAAGAAAACTTAACTACTCCCCATAATTCGTATTTTTCCGAGTCCAACTTTGGTCTATCTTTTATGCTCTTGTTTTTCACTAGTAAGTCTTTTCTTTTGTACATCCAAAGAGACAGCAGCCTTGATCTTTCCCTGGCAGCTTCAAAGTTTCCTTTCAAAAGAGTTTCAGGTGGTGCTGATTCAACAGTTTCTGAGGAAATAAAGAATTATCCTGTGTGTTGATGATCCGAGCAGATGTGATATGTCTTTCTAGGCTAGCCTGTTGCCCCTGGCTACCCCACCCAGAGGATGGGGGTGGGAACTGGAGCTTTTAAGAGTTACAACAGATTGTAAAATGGGCAGAATTTTCTAAGCATATACAGGTGGCCCGTGGAGACCAGGAAAGATGAATCATTGTCTCATTCAGAATGGTTTCAGTACCATTTGTTAACTTTACTAAAATAGAAGGCACAAGTGAAATCCCACAGTTTTGAAAATAAAAAAAATAAATTCAGCTTGGTACATTCTTATGAATTCAAATTGAGTAGATCTCATCAGTTTTCTTGAGTTCCACAATTAACTTGAAGTGAACTATTTTTTTTTGCTGCTTATTCATGATGGAAATATCAAGGACATTAGTGTAAGTATAAGCCTGCCTTCAATCAGCACTATTTTAATGGAACTGACAACATGAATCATGCAAATAAAGATCTGTGGGGACAGAGTAAAAGAAAATAAACTCTTGAGTTGTGATGGTTGGTGGCTTTTGTACAACTTGTGAACTATGCTTTCCGTAAGAGTGAATGAAATCTTTGTCCTTTTGTCTTCTGTTAAATGCAGGCAAGTCCAAGAAAGGTATGACAACCTCCTCCTTGTGGTGTCTTTGTTTTCAACAAATAGTGGAAGGTCATTTTCAAGTCATCTTTAAGAAGTGACCAGATTTTAAAGTGTTCAGTTGGTGGAGTTCTAGCCTAACAGTCATTTCTTTTACACAATAGAGAAAAACTGTTGCATGTTCAGTGGAATCGCAAGGCCGGGTCCAGCTGCTGTCCATTCTTTGCACAAATCAGCAGCTGCATGACCCTCTGTATTTTGTTCTTTTGTTAGAGGTCAAACTTTGCAGGAAGCAGGAGTGCTATGGGAGCATTGTTTTGTAAGTCTTAGGATGTAGATAAAGAAAAGAGTAGGCATTGTGAGGCAGATAGGCTCAGTGTAAAACATGTTTCTCTTTTATAAAGGTCTGGTATAAAATAAGTCAGCAAGTAGTGGGGGAGGAGGGGAGGATTGGAAAGTTCCTGCTCATTCATTTCATTTAAGCCTATTTTATAACGAAGACTTAGCAGGGAGTAAAGAACAGTTTTTAAAACTTCCTTAAATGAATAAGATGTTTATTGCGGTGCTAGGTGGTTGAGACACAGCGTGTTCGAGGAATAACTGGTTATCAAGTTTGATGGACTGTGCTTCAAATAATTGAATGGCACTTTACAGACTTCAGCTCTGAAAAGCTATTCATTCCTGTCTGCTTGGGGAAAAGAAATTGTTTTGTAGATATAATCCTGTTTTTAGTTTCCATTTTCTGCTTAACAAATGTGTGTGAAAGAAATTTTCCTCTGTAACATCTTTGTCTGACTAACTGTATGCTCTTTTGTTAACTTCTTGAGTTCTTTCTAAGCTCAGATTTAGTCTAAAAACATGAACATTTATTTTATCTGGCATTATGACTAACACCATCATTGATTACATGTTGAATATGTTATATATCTTTTCTCTCCCCTTGTCATCCTTCTTGATCCTATGTCTTTTTCCTTTTCCCTGTCATTCTTCTACTTTCCTGACTCGTCCTGTACCTTCATCTTCCGGCTGCGGACTATGGTTAGGAAGAATGAATTTCTCTACAGGTGAGCTATGAAAGGCTGAATTGTCAGAAGTACTGATTAAGTTTGTCCCATTAAACCCAGGTTATAATTTAAATCACCTTATTTTCATATGAAGAGAAGCATTTAAAGCATACATCACCAATACTAGCAAGACTGCCTGTGACAAAATGGATCCCTAATGAAGGACTCTTCAGACCAGATTAGCCAGAATTAATAAAGATTTATATTAAAAATTAGCCATGAGCCCTGCATATCCACTCTGTTGGTCTCGTCCCCACTCCCATAAACAGTGGAGAGAACTGAAATTGGTTTGGGTTATTTATAGTTGCTATCATCATGACAAGGTTTTATCAGGTCTCACTCTATAAATTTGATAAATGCCCCCTTCATTTCTGTCTGTAAAGAAAATATTTAGAGCTTTAACAGGTTCTGTGTTACATTTTCGTTGCCATTTTTGCATTATGAGGCATTGCATTGCCTTATAATGTAAAAACAAACAAAAAAGGGAACGACGAAGATAGTTCAAGTGGTAGAGCACATGCCTAGCGTGTTTTCTGTATCGTTTTAAATTTTATTTTAGGTGCCATGGCTTACAATACTCTTAGGAGTCGGGTTTCATGTGTAACATGTTGCAGCACCGCACACTCCACCGTCGTTTCCACCTCCTCCCACCATTGCCCCAGTGCCCTTCCCGGCCCTCCACCATCTCCTGTGTTTGAGGTTCTAAGTTCGATTCCACCACTGCATAACTCCAAGAGTACTGCTGGTATAACCTTGATGATTCCCAGCTCTGCCAAGTATGGACCTTTCTTTTCCCATTTCAGTTACTTACCCCCACTCCACACCATAGATGCAGTCTACTTCCTTATTTAATAATGGAATTGATTAGATGTAATTACTCATGGAATTGGAATTGAAAGAAAAGAAGGCAAATTCATTCTCTGACCATTTCATGATGTCCATTGGCTAAGTAATTGGGGATACTGGGGTAAACAAGACATAACTACTCTCGGTGATAAAACTTATACCTGCTCTGAGACGACTTCACTGTACCATCATTTATTATTGGGCGTTGGACCACATTACCATGCTCTGCTATAGTGTCTCCTTCTGTTATAAGCATCTAGAGCTTGATATGACCACTCCAGATCTAAATACACAAACCAGCTTTTCAGTATCAAACTGACACAATTCAGGGCCACAGGGAAGAGGCCCATGCCCTTTCTTGTAATTGCAACACTAACCTGGTTTTTGGATTTATTTGGGGAATAGAAAGCTATGTCTGGTGAGAGCAAGTTCACTGTGATCAATAAAGTCGAGCCTTTGGGGACAAATGAACAGCACCCTCTGGTGAACTCTCCGATTCATATTGGACTCAGGGGTCCAAATGCCCTACAATGGGAAAATTTGCTCAGTAGAAGCAGGCATTTTCATTTGTTTCCAAGAAAATGGAGGTGCTTATTCTACCACCAAAATGAGTGAGGTCCCCAAGACATAGAGCCAAACTTCAACAAGTCATGAGGAGCACTGGGGACTTCAACACAATCATTAATTAGCGCAGTGCACAGTGCAATGCAGTGGTGTTTCTTGTGCTCACCTGGGAACATTTGGTTTACCATCTGACTTCACCTGAAGACTGTAAATTTATTTTCTTATTCTGTAATACTTTTGAAAAAAAATGAAACCCTGGAAGATTTGGGGATCAGGAGATAACCCTTATATACTCCAGGAATAGCTGAGAGATTAATCAGTAGTGATAATGAAGGGTAAGCTCTTTCCTCCTTTTCAGAGACATGTTTTTGTAGAACTTGATATTTCCTCCTTATAAAAAACAGGAGAGGAAAGGAAGGTTATGGCACATGTGATTGCCAAAAAGATACTTCTTAATTGTTCCCAATAAAGGGTTTTATCTTATTAAAACAAGAGAATGACTCTTGTGTGGATACTGCCAATGTAGGCTATTTCTTTGCCACAGCCTCTCTTAAAAGAATATGGAAAGCTACATATGTGACCTTGCAAATAATTTGATTTTTCTGTTTCCTTCCTTTTCAAAATGAACTAATTGGAAACTATTTCAAAGGAGAATTTAGTAATTCCAAAAGTTCAAGTTTCAAAGGTAAATATTTGAGTACTGTATCTTTGCCTGTCTTTTAGTCAGAGAAAATGGTGTGCTTTTGTGTTGTGTATTTTCCCCTAGCCTAGTGACCTGGGGAGAAGTGTCTACAATTTAGAATTACATGTAATATTAAGAAACTTATTTTTTGTTATTTTATTTCTCCTAGATATCTAAAATTGTACTGTTCCAATTATAGTAGAAGGAAAAGTCCTCATGGAACTAAAATTTTTTCATTCAATTTTAGTACGTAATTTTTTGCTAAAGCATCCTGGATGTGACTTCAGTTTTTCAATAGAAATCTTTAGTTGGGGGGCCTGAGTGATAGTAGGTGTTTAGGTTGTTTCCCTTGCACACAGCCGACCCAAGTTTGACCTCCAATATCCCACATGCTCTCCAAAGCACTGCTAGCAGTAATTTCTAAGTGCAGAGGCAAGAGCAAGCCCTGAACATCGCTGGGTGTGGTTCCCAATGAGCAATCAAACAAATAAAATTGTAATCAGTAATTGAGAAAGCTGTTTGCGATCACTTGCCATCTTTCGTACTCTGGTCTGCTTTTTTTTTTTTTGGTGTTTCATTACCAATTGAAAGCCTTCTTAAAAATATTGTAAAGCACAAGAAAAATGAAAAAATTCAGATAGCCCATTTGTGAACTCTTAATGGGTCTGGTTGTAGTAGGCAGAAAGAGATTGCAAGCTAAAGTATTGGCTAGGGAAACGCCCTTTTAATAAACCAAGAGATTTATTAGCAGTATGATCCCCACGTTGTATGTACATAGTAGAGAATTGAAAGGAAGAATACATTGATTGTGGTGTCCCAAATCAGCTATCAGAGAGAAAATCAGACTAATAACACAAAGTAGAGCCAGTGACCTAATGTACCTGGGCAGGAAAGACACCTCTGACTGGGGGTGCTTTTCTTCTGTAGATATGATTTTCCTATGGTTGATACCATTGATTAGCTGGGAAAAAAGCTACTTACACAGTCATGCAAATACCTTCATTGAAAGGATATTGACAGTGAATATTTAAAATAATTGATAGACAAGGGAAATTGAAAAGAGAAATGAGAAAATATGCAGTTTGGATCTTCTTTGCAGTTGGAAAATGTTAGTGAGTTATGAATGAGATAAAGGCTTCTCTAGTAATTCATCTGAATTTTCCTTTTGCTGTTTTTGACCAAGTTGAGTGCTACTGAATTTGAACACTATCAAAGTGACTGCACGAGTGTCACTTGTCATTAGGTGACTTGCTTTTACTTGAATCCTGCTATTTTTAGAGGATTCAAGTCCTTCAATAGTGTTTCCTGTTTTGTTTGTGTGTATTTCTGTATGTGCTAATATGTTATTCTCTATTGTGCTGAGATGTCAGAGCTGCATGGAAAAGTATCAAGTGATCTGCCAACAACCAAGACCACGCACTGACCACTTTTTAAAAACTCTTGCTTGCATTGAGCATGATGTTCTTTCTTTGATCTTTTCGGCTCTGAAATAAATTAAATCAAGTCCTAGTTTCATGGGCAGATGTTTGGGGTTGCTGATTTGAGTCTTATAAGATCTTAGACTGAAAAATAAGGCATACTAACATATTTATGACTCTCTCCTCAGGGTATAATCACCAACAGATGAGTGAAGGACAAAGGCAGAAACCTGAATTTTACAGCCGCACAGCATCTGAGTCAAATGTCTATTTGAATAGTTTTCACTACCCAGATCACAGTTACAAGGACCAGGCCTTTGATACTTTGAGCCTAGATAGCTCTGATAGCATGGAGACCAGCATCTCTGCTTGTTCACCAGACAATATCTCTAGGTAAGAGTTATTCACAGGTAAGGTTTCTGGTTTGGCAAAGCATCTGCCGGTTTCAAAAGTAAAGATGACAGTTTGAGGTAATGTATTTGAGTACATGCTCAAACTTCTGAGACATAGAAAACCTACAGGGCAGAAGATGTTGATGTCATGGTGGCCTTTAAAAAGGTTCCTTTGTATCGTGTGTGACTTAGTCAGATACTTGATACTTCATTTTTCTCTTTTAATCTGTTTCTTTACATTGGAGTTTTCATATATACATATATACACTATGCTTTAAACAAAATTGATTTGCCTCTTTTGACTGTCTCTGGACTTCATTAGGACTGTTTTTGATTAAATATAAAATAATTTCCAACAACAGAGTAAGAATTTGGACTGGATTTTTACCCTGGTGTTTCTTTAAAAGGAAGAATTTGACTGTTTGGCATATTAAAAGTATACGAATTTAACTGTTCACATTTGTGTTTATCCTTTGAATCAAACAAAAAGTTGATCTCATGGGATTATGACAAAAGACTCATCTCATATATAGATTTCGTCATGGTACTCCACATTAAAATCTTAGGGAAGTCAAGAAGAGATCTCAAAGGGCTATAGGGCATATGTTCTTCATGAGGATTCACCCCTGAGCACTGAGCTGGGTATGGTCCCAAAACACACAAAAAAAAGCTTTGAGGTACTCTACACTAACTTTTGAATAAAATTAGATTTCCACATCCTTGGAATTTTGTATCCAACCTAATGCCTTACTCATTTTTCCTTCTTGACATACCTCACAAAGTTTATTAGTTGAGTGCTTGATGAATTATATTCCTGTGCTTTTTGCTGCATTGGTCCTAACCCTGGAATGATGTCTTTACTCATTTACAGACTCATCATTCCACAAATACTTCAGTCTGAAGTAAGGTGGACTATTGGAGTTGGCTGTGCTAACAGCCAAACGTGCACTAATGTGTACATCTCCACCTAACTTTGTGATCAGTAATGTCATTGCATTTGGCCATGGTGGGAGTATTTACTCTCCATAAATTGACACATACTGCATAGCTGGAGCTATAGCACAGTGGGTCGAGTGTTTGCCTTGCACGTGGCCGATCTGGGTTTGATTCCTCCGTCCCTCTTGGAGAACCTGGCAAGCTACCAAGAATATCCTGCCCCCACAGCAGAGCCTGGCAAGCTCCCTGTGGCATATTCGATATGCCAAAAACAGTAGCAACAGGTCTCACAATGGAGACGTTACTGGTGCCTGCTCAAACAAATTGAGGAACAACGGGAGACAGTGCTACAGACAGTGCTACATAGCAATTTTCATTTTCCTCTAGAGGGATGTTTGACCTGAACACTACTGCTTACAATCATTTCATCCTTTCTTTTATTTCACCTAGACTTACTAAGCACTGATAATGTCTTGCATTGCAAAATATCTTTACCAGCCTTCAACCTCTGTTTTACCATCCTCCAGTCCAATTTCACCATTCTCCCTTCCTATTTTGCCTAGAGAATTGTTCCTTATCCCTCAAACTTAATTTGGAAACTCATTAAAATTTTTTCTTTTCTCTCCTTTTCAATACTTCTATGTTCCATGACCTTTGATACTGTTTTTCTATTATGCCACCTGATCATATTTCAATGTACATGTTTCCTTAATAATTAATTGGTGAATTCCTTACTATTAAGGAGAATGTCTAAGTATCTTTGGACTTTCACACCCAGCAGAGTAGTTGGCACATAGCAAGCATTCAATTAGTTCTGGCTGAATAAATTACTCAGGGTATAGTAAAGGGAATATAGTTTTAAATTTTACATTTTACTATTGGATCTATCTGCATGTTTTAATTTACTGAGAACCATTATGATTTCAACCCAGGAAACATCCATTTTTCAATAAATGTTAATTGAGTGCCAATGTGCCTTAGATGAAGATGTCTAGTTGGATAACTGCCCTTGAGCAAACTTCCCTGTATTGCAAGAAAGTCGTAGGCTTAGAACAGGGAGATTTATGCTCTTGAGATTTGCCTGATAACTGATGGCGTTATTTGAAGCAGATTACAGGCTGGAAAGGTCTTGTTTTTCACTTACAAAATGTAGAAATTATTTTTGAACATAAAGAGATTATGGATTTTTTAATGGTTTGATTAAAATTGTCATCATGTAAATATCATTCCTTTATTTTTAAAGATTTGAACAATTTTCTCCTCTCTTGACTGTGCCCTTTCCCTCTCTCACCAACCCCCAATGTGGCAGTGACAGAGGAAAAATCATATAAACAAAGCATATCTATTTTGGATCAGTGTTTCATAAATGAGTATGTAAAACCCCAGAGTGCAACCAGTCATTATAGGCAAGGATTTTGGAGGTGAAAGAGGAAGAAATGCTGAGTGGAGAGTGGAAAATAAGATACACTGGGCTTGAATTCTGACATTTATGAATGAACTATTTATATTACTACTAATATTACCAGATACAGTCTATTAGAAAAGGAAAGATATAGTCTATTCAAGTAAAAGAAAAACATTGAAGGAACCATGAAAATTATATTATAGTTTGCCACATAGGAATAACCAAAATTTAAGTAGGAAATTATTTGATGATAAAGAGTCATGATGATTATTACTTTGTGTCAGAAAAGTTAATGTTTTATTTTAAGTAGCATTCATAAAGGTAGTGTCTTGTTTTTTTTTTGTTTTTTTCTTGTTGTTATTTGTTTTGTTTGTTTTTTTTTTTCATTTAATCTGACCACTTTGGAGGAAGACATAAGTATGTGTAGTAGTTGGGCATCAAAGAATCTCCAGAAACTCAGGTGGTCTGGTGATGCTAACTACTTTATTTAATTTAATTTAATGTTTTTATTTTGGTTTTGGGCCCACACCTGGCAATGCTCAGGGGTTACTCCTGGATCTTCACTCAGGAATCATCTCTGGTGCTCAGGGGACCATATGGGATGCCAAAGATTGAATGCAGGTCAGCTGTGTGTCAGATAAGCACCTCACCCCCTGTAATGCCAGCTACTTTAGAGAGTTTGTCAGGGCCATCCCTTTCAGGGCCTGGAACCAGTCCCTCAGAATGACAGAAATCCTAGAAAGTTGAGAAATCATTCATAAATGACAGCAAGTGAACCAATTAATTGTGGTACTTTTGAACAAAGAAGATTGAAATAGAAGTTGCAACTCAGCGGTTATTATAGATATAATGATAAGAGAACACAAAATGGTTTAGTTTTCCAGTACAATAATCTTAGAGGAACTTCCTGTGTTAGTTTGGCATAAGCGTCATCATTATTTTGAAAAAAGGGAAAAAACAATTCTCCCCTCTAAATTTATTTTGAAAAATTTATGCCAGTATTCCCAGTGTGAACACTTGATTGTGAACTCTTGACAGCTTGACCTTCTTATCCTCTGATTTTCCCCACCCTTCATAAATAATCACATTGTATTTCACTGTCACTGTCCTCCTGTTGTTCATCGATTTGCTCGAGTGGGCCCAGTAACGTCTCCAATTTGGACTTGTTACTGTGTTTGGCATATTGAATATGTCACGGGTAGCTTGCCAGGCTTTGCTGCGTGGGCAAGATACTCTTGGTAGCTTGCCGGGCTCTCCAAGAGGGACGGAGGAATTGAACCCGGCTCGGCCGGGCTGGCTGCACGCAAGGCAAATGCCCTACTGCTGTGCTATCGCTCCAGCACATTTTGTCACTGTGACCTCCCGTTGTTCATAGATTTTCTCGAGCGGGCCCAGTAACGTCTCCATCGTGAGACTTGTTACTGTGTTTGGCATATCGATTATGGGTCGGCAGAGAAGGGCCCTGGTCCAGCACATTGTATTTATCTTTCTATTTTGATCTTTTTCTTCGTCTGTATTCTACCCAGTAACATTTCTTCCCCCTACAAAAATTAAAGGTAAATATTTACCTTTTCAAATTACCACTCCTTTCTTGATTTCTTATATTTAGTTATGGGGAACAGCATAGTGCTTTGGTGAGAAGAAAAAAATTACTTTCAGTGATATTTACCTCACCACAGTGATTCAGATAGGGGTACTAAAGCACAGCTAAAAGCTCAACACTTAATTTGTGTTTGTTTTCTCATCTGCTAAATGTTTTAGAAGAATTTGCAAAGGTAGAAGATGAAAATGGTCCCACTGAATATGCCATTCTAAGAAACCAACCTCATCGGAAAGTAAATCATCTCCTGGCAGGGAGCTGCACTTAGCCTGTTCCTTTAGTTTGCATTGTGATTTCACATAGAACTGATGACATAGTGCTAGAAATCATAGATAACAAGTCACCATGGTCAAAGACTACTAAGAGTAACACCGTAGCACTGTCCTCCCATTGTTCATCAATTTGCTCGAGCGGGCACCAGTAACGTCTCCATTGTGAGATTTGTTGTTACTGTTTTTGGCATATCAAATACATCACGGGGAGCTTGCCAGGCTGTGCCGTGCGGGCAGGATACTCTCGGTAGCTTGCCAGGCTCTCCGAAAAGGGGCAGAGGAATCAAATCTGGGTTTGCCTGGTCAGCCGGGTCAGCCGCATGCAAGGCAAACACCCTACCTGCTGTGCTATCACTCCAGCACACTCACTAAGAGTATTTATTTTATTTTATTGCCAAATTCTCTGTCATAAAGATGAGGCCAGGAGTGAGAGACAGGGCTCAAGTGGATGCATATACCCTGCATGTGTAGGGCCCTGGGTTTGATCCCAGCCCGAATTACTGCATCCCCTTTGCATCACTGGGACCAGATGTGCTAAGAGTGGCCGGTACAGCAAGTTTTTTAAACTGAAGATTAATTAGAAGATGCCTCTAAAAAGTCTCATAGAAAAGAAAGAGGGGCCAGAGAGATAGTACAGTGGGCAGTGCACCTGCTTGCATGTGACAGCCAGGTTCATTCCCCAGCACTGTATATGGTACCTCCAAGAACTGCCAGAAATGACTCTTGAACATAGGGCCAGGAGTAAGTCCTGAGTATCACCAGTCATGGCCCAAATTTTTGTTTAAAATAGAAAGAAATTGAAAACTAAACTTTGTTCTTTGCTTAAGATTTTAAATAAGTGCAAATCTAGGGCCAGAAGGATGATACAGAGGACAAGGAGCTTGCCCTGCACACAGCTAATCTGAGTTCAATCCCCAGCATCACATATGGCACCCCAAGCCCCATCAGAAGTGATCCCCAAGTGCAGACACAAGAGTAAGCCCTGAACACATCTGGGTGTGGCTCAGAAAACTGAAAAAAAAAGAAAAATTAAAATATTTTGAAATTATAATCATATTAATGTTTTAACTCTGTGCTGAAATTCTAACAAGACTAATTTAGTCTCCTGGTTTATTCATCACAAACAACCATTTATACAACTACAGAATGATTCAGCATTGTGGGTACATTTGCTATTCACTCTTTGTTGAAATAATTTTTTGTCTACCAGAAAATTCCTTGAGGGAAAAACAATATTTTAATTTTTTCATCATCATTCTATTTACGTTGTAAACAAACATAAAGCTTGGTAAATAGGTCTTGACTCTTAGGAAGTAGCAACTGAAAGTCACCTCTGGATAGAATCTCTATCCTGCTGGAATCACCAAATTGATTTATAGAAGATATTATAGGAATACCACTTATAATGATGCATTATTAAAATTGAAATGATCACCCTGTTAAATTCTTATCTCGTGCTCATTCTTTGATTTCTCAAGTCCACCCAAAGTAGAAGAGGAGTAAGACTCCTTTCATTGCTTTGACTTTTGACCTTCAAAAGGCAGATATGCACTTCTACTTATGTGTGTAATGCTCTGAAAGTATTCGTGAGACCGGATCACTGGGCCATTCACAGTATAAAGATTGTTAGCTGTACCTGCTTTTTCTACCTAGTTATATAATGTTGTGCTATCAACTGAAGGTTGCTTTTATAGCTGACCAACTTTGGTGAAACCATATTCAGAAAGGGAAACAAAATTCCATCAAGCATAGAAGAATTCTGAGTAGCATATGTAAATTTTCAGAATAGTTTGCAACTGTTGTCTTTCAACACAGTTCGGATTTGCTCTGTATATTCATCCACCTCTGCCTTCGGTTTCCGCTGCAATCCATTGACAACCACTGATCTTGTTATTGTCTTCATAATTTTGCCTTTTCAAAAATGTCAGATCATTGGAGTCATACAATATTTTGCCTTTATACCACTTAATATTTATGGTTCCTCCATGTTCATTAGTGCTGAATAGTGTATGTTGTCTGCATGTACCACAGTTTATTTGTTCATTTATCTACTGAAAGACATGAGTGCTTTCACAATTATAATTTTGCAATTATAAATAAACTGCCATAAGCATCCTTGTTTTAAAATAAAACATTTATCCTGTTATTACATTCATTATTTCTTCAAAATAACTTTAAACCACTTATTGAAATCACCCTAGATTTGAGTTCATTCAATGTATGATTTAAGAGAGATAATGCAGGGGTTAAGATGTTTGCCTTGCATCCACCAACCCAGGTTCAATCCCTGGTATCGACTATGATCCCTTGAGTGACCTCGGAGTACAGAGCTGGGGCAATTCCTGAGCACCACCAAATGTGACCTAATACAGACAACTCCCTCCCCCCCAATCCAAATGATTGCTAATTTACTTGAACAATTATCTTAATTATCTTATATACAAAGTTTAGGTGAATTTATCTAGCAAACATAAATGTGATCTGTGTCAGACAGATGCAGGGATGATAACCTTCATGTCTCAAAGAGAGTCTAGAAAAGAAGACACATTTTTTCCCCTTAAATTTTTATTAGTGAAACACCATGAGGTACAGTTGTAGACTTACAAATTTTTGTGCTTGGGTTTCAGTTATACAATGATCGAATACCATCCCTCCACCGGTGCCCATTCTCCATTACCACCAGTCCCAGTATCCCTCCTACCCCCCTCCCCCCAATCCCACCCTACCACTGTGGCAGGGCATTCCCTTTTGTTATCTCTCTCCTTTTGAGTGCTGTGGTTTGCAAAAGAGACATTTAGTGATAATCTTGTTTGGACTATAGTCTACTCTCATCACGCGTTTCCCATCCTGAGAGGGACCTCCCAACACCCTTTATTTGGTGCTCCCTTCTCTATCTGAGCTGCCTGGAAGACACATTTTTAAAATTATACAAATCGACATGAATAAGGAGCAACCTTAATTCTCCAAAGATGAAACTTCAGAATAAATAAGTTTTGGCCTAGGCAATGCTTCCCTTTTTTCTAGAACAGTCAAGTGCAACTTAAATAAGTGCAAAAAATTTTTTTGAATATTCCCAAACTCCTTTATCTTGGAGATGTTCTAACTTTATTGAGGCCTGAACTCTATTATCTTGATTTCTCTTGTTCAAGTGAGTCATTCTCAATGGTTGTTTCTTATGCAGTTCTGGAATTCTCTCAGTTTTCCTCACTGATGGGTGTCATTGACAAAACTGGACATTACCAGTCCATGGAAATAAATTGCCCACATATATGAAGACACAACAAAAAAGCAGCTAATGACATAAATTCCGAAACTGCATAAAATATCTTCAAGCCTGGATGTAATCTATATAGAACTTCAGTGGACCGCCTTGCTGGTGTGACCTCTCTCAGTCAATAAGCTAAATAGAGGAAGGCCTCCCACTGGCCATGCTTTCAGACTAGTAAGGAGAGAGAGAACAAAAGGAAATGCCCTGCCACAGAGGCAGGGTGGGGTGGAGGGGACAGGGCAGGGGTGGTGGGAGGGATGCTGGGACCATTGGTGGTAGAAAATGGGCATTTGTGGAAGGATGGGTACTCGACTGTTGTATGACTGAAACGCAAGCACAAAAGTTTTGTAAGTCTGTAACTGTACCCCATGGTGATTCACTAATAAAAAATATTTTTAAAAAAAGAGGGAAAAAAAGACCAATTTGAGGGCACATTTTATAAGATATGTTTGGCTTATATCTTTAAAGTACTTAATTTGATGTTTGAGGGACTTGCCTTTATTTTGTGTCCTAAAGTAGTTAAGTTGGTATCTAACACTTGTAATTTTCAAACGAAAAATTGTGACCCTCGTCTGAACAAAAACTCAGCCAACATCCTGTAATGTGTCTATGCTTAAGTTTTTATGTACCTCCCTGTGTGTGTGTGTGTATGTGTGAGCCCACACACATGTGAGCTTGAGAAACATTAATAAGAAACTATGTTCCGGGGCTGGAGCAATAGCACAGTGGGTAGGGCGTTTGCCTTGCACGCGGCCGACCCGAGTTCAATTCCCAGCATCCCATATGGTCCCCCAAGCACCGCTAGGAGTAATTCCTGAGTGCAGAGCCAGGAAGAACCCCTGTGCATCGCCAGGCGTGACCCAGAAAGCTAAATAAATAAATAAAAACCAATTAGGATATTTGTAAAAAAAAAAAAGAAAGAAAGAAAAGAAACTATGTTCCTAAAAATCTTCTGTGTTTCATTCAGTGCCAGCACTTCAAATATTGCCAGAATCGAAGAAATGGAGAGACTGTTGAAGCAGGCTCATGCAGAGAAAACACGGCTTCTTGAATCCAGGGTAGGCAAAATAGCTTTTTCTACAAGGTTGGCCAGGGGAGTTTCAGGATACTCTGAGTTTGACATCAAGAATTCACCTTCTGTCCCCAGTGATGTTGGAATAGTCTCTCAATCTTTCTTTGCTGAAGAGTGCGGGTGTTGGAGAGAAGGTGTTGATGAGTCTTAACTGCACCCAGTTCTCCCTCATTCCAAATACGTATCACGTTAGACTGAAATGAATGTTGCATTGTATTTCCTCCCTGATGGCCACATGGCGCTCCTACTGAACAACAAGGAGCTTTGTTATATCTTATTGCAGCTTGCATTGGCTGCACTATTGTGATTTTTTAAATCCCACCTTATTATGACTGTATTTCAAGTCAGTCTATGAACTTCCTTAGGAATCCCCCACAAATGCCTTCACTTCCTGCCCTGCCGGGCACCTCCTTTCCTCTTCTCACTCCCAGGGGCTTCCTCTGCAGCTTTCAGCCAAGAAGCTGCAGAACAACAGGAACAACAGGAATTGGAAGAACTGATGGCCTTTAGTTAAAAGACAACTATCTATGGCTGCTTCTCTGGACTAGCGTGGGGTGGTGGCGCCTGAAGCTTTGTATTTTAAAAAAGTGAGAGGTTTTTCGACCTCCATATGAAATAACTGAATATAGTCTACAAGCTAGATTTGCACTCATGTCTGAATTTTTTTTTTGCTTTTTGGATCACACCCAGCGATACAGGGGTTACTCCTGATTCGTGCACTCAGAAATTACTCCTGGCAGTGCTCGGGGACCCTATGGGTTGCTGGGAATCGAACCCAGGTTGGCCACATGCAAGGCAAACGCCCTACCCACTGTGCTATTGCTCCAGCCCCCTATTAATTGAATTTAGAGGTTGTATTTCTACACACATGATTTTGTAAACGATGTGAAAGGTGGTTATGAGTTGTTTTGTAACTTCAAAGGTCCAATGAATAGAGAGAAGGTGACTGTTAAACTTTTATTGGCAAAGAACTGGCGGGTTGTGAAATGACAGATTCATGTCCTATAGAATCATCTTATCTGCACAATCACAAAAAGCAGATTTTCTCAAAAGAGAGAAGAGGGAAGCATGTTTTTAGAAAAAGTGTGTTGCAGACTGGTGAGTACCAGAGTGACCAACACATTCCCCAGAGGCTATCCCTCAGGCCTTCTCTGCTGTATCTGTAAATCTAAGCAAAGATTTCTGATCAAGGGGTCTTATCCCGTAGAACAAAACAAGAGGGCATGCTCAACAAATAGTCTAAGCTTCCCTGCCCAGAGGGGTCACTGCCCAGAAGCTTGCTGGTCTCTCATTTTGAATTCAATTCTTAATTGCTTTTGGTTCAGGTTTAGTTTGACTCTAGGTTATAGATGCGAGGGGAGTAGGCTATAAATCAAGAATTGTCTGGTGAAATGTTTCTTTTTCACATTATTTGGAATCACTGAAGTACAACCAGTATGTCCTAACAATTTGTTCTGCATGACAACTTTTAGGAACGGGAAATGGAAGCCAAGAAACGAGCTCTGGAAGAAGAAAAACGACGCCGAGAACTCCTGGAAAAAAGATTGCAGGAGGAAACTAGCCAGAGGCAGAAGTTAATTGAAAAAGAAGTGAAAATCAGGGAGAAACAAAGGGCCCAGGTTTGTGATCAAATGTGAATGAATGAGAGTAGGCTGCCCCCTGGTGGTGCTTTTGTAGAGGACGCTACACCCCTCACTGTCCCTTAGACCTTGACTTGCAATGAGTAAGAGGAAGATGATCGAACACTGGACACCCTTTCCCCCAACCCCTCGCCCCCACTACACACACACACGCGCACACACACACACACACTCACACACACACACGTACCAGTGCTTTTCATAACTCACTGGGTTTCTACTAACTATATCACTTTTTTCCCCACACCTTAACCGTTTTGATGGGAGATGTTTATCACTTTTTTTTTTAACCACTTTTTGGAAATGTGTTTAAAAGAATATTTTTTGAGCATCATTCAAGACTCAGATGAATTTGCTACTGAAAACAAATATAACACCCAAACTAAAAAGTCCATGTAACTTCAAGTTCAAATCCATTTACAATAAAAACAATTGTTTTTAATCAGTTTACAAATTGAGACTGATGAAAAGGAACCATTTCCCTTTTCATAGTTGCTGGCAGTTTGATTGTAAAACAGTTCAAGACCAGAGTGATAGTATAGCAAGTAAGTGCTTGCCTTGCATGAAGCCGACCCAGGTTCAATCCCCAACACTTTAACCCCTGCCAAGAGTTATCCCTGAGTACAGAGCCAGGAGTTCTGAGCATTTTAGGTATGTCCAAAAGATCAGATAATAACTATAATAAACTATTTAAGACTTTGTGCTTGAAATATTAGTGAGTTCCTAATACCGGTATACAAAGTACCACAGAATCAAAGGCAAAATATTAAAGGGGAAAACAAAAACTCATTGTACCAAATCTGCCCAATTCTAATTTACAGTGAAAGTTGTCCATGCGTGCTTTGTATCTGAAGCCAAACTAAAAAAAAAAAATCAGAAATATATTTTAATCTTAATTATAAGTTTTGCCTCCAAATATATGATTAGGTCCTTTTCCTTGGAGCAAAGGGGAGGAGTTGTTAATAGAATAAAGTAAAATACCACTTTTAGATCTAATACTCCTGGTTCTGTATGCTTCCTAGATTAGTTGAGTGACCACTCCACCCGAAGTAAAATAAAAGACATACCTGTAGCTCCACCCCTACAGTTTCTGGTCCTAGACAGCTCAATTTGGAATCACTTTTGATGATACTTATCTTTCTACTGTCTTAGCTTTGCTTTTCAAAACATAATCACCGTCTTACATTTCCCCCAGACATGATAAACTGGCAGGCAATTTTGGAGGACCTTATGGAATCATACTTCCTGACCCCATTCAATCTTCTTGTTATGTCTGAGATTACTCAAGGAAACGTATTGTTCAACCAGGCAGGGATAAGCAGAAGCTTGGTCATGTCTGAATTCTGATCTCTAATTAGCAGCACAGATAGCTCTTTCCTGTTTTTTCTCATCAGCCCATTTCAAGGTACAGGATCGATTGGCCTCTCATACAGTAGTAATCCTTCTTCAAACACTAACCATGCACTTGGCTCCAAATGATGTTTGTCTTGAGTTCTCGTGCCCATAGGAGCCTTTGAGAGTGTGTGCTTTCGTCCGGCTTCTCGTCAGACCTTCTGTAAGGGCCCAGAAGGGCAGCTACAGATAAAATGCGTCTTTGTTCTTCTAGGCTCGTCCTTTGACACGCTATCTGCCAGTCCGGAAGGAAGACTTTGATTTGCGGAGCCATGTAGAGACAGCTGGCCACAATATTGATACTTGCTATCATGTATCAATCACAGAAAAGACCTGCAGAGGATTCCTCATCAAGATGGGTGGAAAAATTAAAACTTGGAAAAAACGTTGGTTTGTTTTTGATCGGAACAAGCGGACATTCTCTTATTATGCAGGTGGGTGATGAAGAAAATCAAATCGACTTGATATTGACAAGTCAGGAACCCTCCATTAGAGAGTTAAGTCTACAAATTTCAATATAAGTCAATAGTTAAGTAAGAATTAATGTCATTATGGTCTTTGTAGGTGCACATAATTTTCCTAGTATATATACCCAGCATGACAGTATTTCTTTTCTACAAACAGTACCAACATTACGTTATTTTATAAAGTGTGACTTTTTTGATCCCTGGCACCCAGAACACAATGAAAGCAACCCCTGAGCACAGAGTCAGGAGTAGCCCCTGAGCACTGCAGAGGGAAGGCCCAAAAGCCGAAGCCAAAATCCAGGATAAACAAAAAGATTGAATTGGTGCCAGGTTTGATCTCTGATCCAAAAAAAAAGAAAAAGAAAACCCTTGTGAATTTATCTATTTTAGTTCTTAAACAAGCTAGTGTCTGAATAAAAAAAATAAATGGAAGCTATTTTTTAATCAACATATTGGATTTTAATCCACAAGTCGAAAAAGAGAGGGCTTCTATCTATTCATGACCTAGTATCCTATATAAGTTACACACAATTAGGGAATCTTGACTGACAATCATCCAGGTATCGCTTACAAACAAGATGCACAGTAAGTGAAGGTCTTCAGAAAAGAAGAAAGTATTAAGTGACTGAAATAATTTTGAGATGTTTTAAATGATGGATTATGTGAAACAGCCCACTGACACCCCATAAATGCAGGAATACTCATGTGATCGGTGTATGCATTATGAAACCTCTTAACAGCCCTTGTGTCACGTGAAACATGCACCCACACAACTCTGGTGCAGCTTTCTTTTACAGCCATGATGGAAGAGCAGTCTCATCAGAGTGATTATGCAGAGATCCTGTTTGGGGATGACTCTATCAACATTTATGAGCATTGCCAGGAATTGCTAAAGAGTTTATAAATAATGGATAAAAGTGATAGCCCAGGGGCCAGAATGATAACACAGAGAGTAAGGCACTTGCCTTGCACACAGCCAACCTGGCTTCAATCCTTGGCACCACACATGGTCCCTTGAGACCCCCGCAGGGATGAGGCCTCCATGAAGAGCCCAGAGAAAGTCCTGAGCACCGCTGGGCTTACTCCCAAAAACAAACGAAAAATGCCCAGTCTTTTAATCCATCATGTCCGATTATGTTTCTAAAAAGAGGTGTGAGAATCTAAGAGCCTTGTGTGGAGAAGAAAGCCCAGACTAGGGGCCCTCAGAAATGTGCCAAGGAGATTGAGGGACAATGCATGCCTTCTCCTTAGGAACTCTCTTGTTTTTCATTTTGTTTTGTTTTGGTCACACCCACTGGTGCTCAGAGATTACTCCCGGCAGTGCTCAGAGGCATATGCTGGGGATCCAACCCTGGTCGGCTGCCTGCAAGGCAAGTGTCTTGCTTGCTGTACTGTTCCTCCAGCCCCTCCTGTTAGTTTTCACAGTAGCTAGTGTCCTGGAGTTAATGAGCTACGCTTCCCAGGTGTTGCTCCCTTTTTGAGAGCCTCTGACCTTAAATTTTATTAAGTTTAGGGACACTCTCTTGGTACAAAGAAAAAGTTGCCAATCTAGCAAAAAGTGTCAGTTTAGTATCTTCAAAAAGTGGGTAAGGCAAATTTTTCTGTGCGCCATTCTCCTCAGATAATTTTCCCAAATAAGTTATTTAAATAGCATCATGCTAAACAGCTTCCCCCCTTATTGCCTCTCTTTCTAGGAACCTCTTTTATTCTTTCCTCTGTCAGCTAGGTGAGTTATTTAGTGCCCTTTCCCTCCGACCTATATAATGCATTTTTCCAAATTTAAACTTCTGGTGATCATTTTTTTTTTTGCCTTTTTGGGTCACACCCAGCAATGCTCAGGGGTCACTCCTGGCTCTGCACTCAGGAATTACTCCTGGCGGTGCTTGGGGGACCATATGGGATGCTAGGGATCGAACCCAGGTCGGCCGCGTGCAAGACAAACGCCCGACCCTCTGTGCTATCGCTCCAGCCCCATGGTGATCATTTTGTAATTTTAAATACCAAAACCTTCGGTGGGGGAGGATGGGAAGAGGGGTGTGAAAGGGAGGCTATAGTATAAGAATGATCTCTCGGACTCCTAACACAAAAAAATAGAAAGCTGAACACACAAATTATATTTAATTCACCTTTTAGTATTTACCTATATAACTGATCACTGTGACCTAGTTGGAGAGATACTGTCTAGGGCTCCTTTTATAGCTGTCATCAACTTTGTCTGTTTCTGGGACACCCCCACCCCCAACCCGCCAATTCCCACTCTCCTCTCAAATACCACCAGGATGTCTTGCAGATTGTGTTTCAGGCTTACTGTGATTCCAAAAGCCCCACACACTTCAGTCTGCCGGTGAGGCAAATGGTCAGGGCCTGCGTGAAGCAGCTGCTGAAAGGCAGAGCCTGAGTTCTGTGTGTGGGTCACAACCCTGACCCCAGTGCCTGGCTTCCTGCTTACTACTTCGATAACACTAAAGGAAGTTCTGAAGAAAATAGAGCCACAGAAGCCTGGTGTGGTGCTACAGAAACAGAACAACTTGCCTTATCCTGTCCATTTGCAAGGACATTATTTTTTCTCCTAACTCACAATATCAGGACCCCGCTTATCAGTTTCTTCTTATATATGAAGTCCCCTAACACCCAAGTTTTATTCCTCAGTTTCTGCCTTGAAACATTGATGAGACTTGCTTTTCTCTCCATCTTTTGCTTTACATGGTTTCAGAAAAAAACAGTAATTGTGCTCCCATGATTTGTTGTAGAACCTTTTCTTGCAAATGTTAGCGTGGTGCATAATCTTCAATTTCACAGAAACTGATGGAAACTCACCAAACATGATATTGATTAAAACACTGTTTCTTGAGGAAGAATAAAAACAAATACATGAAAATAGGGTTTATATCAAATAGATTAGGGAAATGCTAGATTTAAGGAAATAAAACAAATTTACCTTCTTCTGAATATTTCAGGGTAACTATTTAAAAATATATATATTATTAGTGTCTTTCTTTCACTGTCACAAAGGTCCTGACTTTGTTTTTCTGAAATCTGAAATAGCCTTTCAGATTGCCTGTATCTGTTTTCTTGTGTGTGTGTGTGTGTGTGTGTGTGTTTTCTTAATATGGTGATATAAATTATTTGCTGTGTTTGTACCTTTTTTCAACATATAAATGTTTCAAGATTATATGCACATCTTACCTCTGTATTTTCAGTGTCTGTGTAGATTCCATGGTATGATTAATCTATAACTAAATCAGTTCCTGTTAAAGTATAAGCGGATCTTTTGCATCTTTAGTATAGCCTTTCACTATCAAAAATACAAATCGATATGCACTTGCGTATAGCTTTCATAAATAATATTTTAGCAATGTGACTGTAGAGGAATTTTGCTTTTTGTTTTTAAAAATTACCTTCCTCAGTGCAAGAAATAGTGTAGTGGGTAGGGTCAATTGCCTTACCTGTAGCCAACACTGGTTAGATATGGTCACTGAACACTGCCAGGAGTAATTCCTGAATGCAGAGCCAGGAGTAACCTCTGAGCACCGCCAGGTGTGGTCCCAAAACCAAAATAAATAAATAACCCTCTTCAGAGGGCTTTCTTACTTGCACTTTCAACTGGGTTCAATCCCTGGCACCTCTTATTGCCCCTTGAGCACCTCCAGGAATGATCCCTGAGCACAGAGCCAGGACTAATCCAGTATTAAGTGTGGCCTTCCCAAAAAAGATGTGAAAAGATATTATTGACATGTAGCTTTATTGGAAAAGGGGTGGGGGGGAATCAAGTGTTTTGGATAGAAAATTTGATAGGAAAGAAAAACAAGTAGAATAGTATTTAAAATTACATGTAAAATACCAGACTTCTTCCCAGTTTAATTGCAGCAGAAAGAGGTATAAATATTTCTGCTACAATGCCCTAGTTAAAGAATGTGGCAAAATCATTTGTATTGGTGTCAATGTTATTTATGTTTTGTGTGCTAACCTGGCAGTTAGTACTTGGGGTTATATTTTGATGGATAATTGGGTTAAGAGCCTGGGGCAAAGTTATTTAGTCCTCTATGATTGGACTAATAATTAAATCAACCATCCCTTTTAAAAAATACAGATCCCACACGATGCATTAACCTAGATTATCTGAATTCATCTTTGTTCTAACACTAAACATTTTATAATAATTACATTATTTCCTCTGTTCATCGGTAATGATAAAGTGCTTATTTTACCTTTCTTCTATCATTGCAGACAAGCATGAAGCTAAATTAAAAGGAGTTATATACTTTCAAGCCATTGAAGAAGTATACTATGATCACCTCAAGAATGCTAATAAGGTAGACATTGACTCAAGATTCTAATTTGAATGCATAAGTAAATTGGAAGAAATATGTTTTATAAGTTTAAACAACTTAGATTATTGTTCTGGTATGATGTGTAAATATGAGTATATTGATAATGAAAAAGAAGCATAGAAGGGCCAGAGAGATAGTTCGAGACTAAGGCACTTGTCCTGCATATGGTTAACCCTAATTCAATTCCCACCACCACATATGGCCCCCTGAGCACTGCTGGGAGTAATCCCTGAGCACAGAATAACAAGTTAGCCCTGAGTGCCTCCAGACATAAGCATAAAACAAAAAGGAGAGGAAGCATAGTATAATGGGATTGCTGATCTTTTTTGTGAGAGGAAAAAAATGTCATGATGAAGTGAGTCAACACTACACAAGTTGATGTAGGAGCTCCTGCCAAGCTACATGGTATATGGGTTCTCAGAAGGAGCCACTGCTTAGTCATGAGATAGAGCACAAGAAAGGAACCTAATAGGACTAAGTATAACAACTTTTTTTTTATTGAGTACCTACAATCATCTAGGTTCTCTGCTAGAGCTTTATGAAACTCGACTGAGAAGATTTGTGTGTGGGGCCAGAAAGCTAGTGCAATGGGCAGGGTGCTTGCCTTGCTTGCCGCTGACATGAATTCAGTCTTCTGAATACTGCCAATAGTGTTCCCCGAGAACAGAGTCAGGAATAAGCCCTGAGTACGGCAAAGTGTGGTCCAAAGATTAATAAATAAATAAATAAATAAACAAAATACATGTGTGCTCCACATAAGATTTTTTGCTCAGAAAAATCAGAACGATGATTAATCTTGACACAGGCATTGGGAGTTGGCTACAGGTTATACTATAAAAAAAAATGCCTGTAGATTTTAGCAACATTCCTAAAGGAGGCAGCCCTTATACGTGTATTATAAAATATTAAAATCATATAGTTTTCTTTTTATTTCATATTCTTTTCCTCTTTCAATTTTTAGAGTCCTAATCCATTGCTGACCTTTAGCGTCAAGACACATGACAGAATCTACTATATGGTGGCACCATCACCAGAAGCCATGCGAATTTGGATGGATGTCATAGTTACGGGGGCCGAAGGATACACTCACTTCCTGTTGTAATGAACTGGTGCAACAGTCCACCTGAGGGCAGATTGCAATAATTTTTTACATAAAAGGAAGCCATATTCAGTCCCCAATAAAGGACACAACAGACCCAGCCTTCTTCTATGTACTCAGAAGTGCTTTCATATTAGAAAAAAGGCATCGTAAGAGACAAATAATGGGTTTCAATTCTAAGCTTGGTCATTAATAGCAAAGGAATTGAAGCTTTCATGTGAATGAAAACACTTGATAAATATCACCACTTACAAAGACATTTCGTATAAACTAGTTTTTAACATTGTTAGTCTTAGAGAAAGGAACTACACTGTTTATAAAATATATGTCCTTGGAAATATGAAATTATTTAAACATTTTGATTGGCTTTAACATTCTTGGTAAGCAGTTTACTTTTTTTAAAAGGAGCATTTTGCTAAAGGATATTTTATAAATAGCCGTCATTAAAGGTTGGGGGGGAATATGTTTTGCCAAAATTTTAAGTTATGACATGCAAACCAAAGACTTGACACGACTTCATTTTAATAGTAGTAGTCATTGATGAACTACAATTAGTGTTACTGTATATTTGAAATGATATTTTAAAGCCATCAAGTGCCCAGGAAGCTGACGTTGAAGGGTCACCAACAGCCTAAGCTACTGTATAAATATACCCAACCACTTTCGGGGGAATTTTTTTTTTTTTTGTAAAAAGAACAAAACCTGTGTGTGTTAGAAAATCTTAGACTGTGTCACATGGAAAAATAAAACAAAGAGAATATATGTGTAAGGAGCTGTAGATTTCTTGCAAGAAAATCCTCCATCCCTGGTGCTGAGAATAAAGATGACCAGTAGCCAATCTCCTGTCGTCTTGATTCCGCTGTGTAATGGAGCACACCTGTTAATTGCAGCCTCACATAACGTAACTATGAAATCAGAGCTCTGCAGTCACCAAAGAACAGATCAATTAAAAAAAATACTTATTTACAGATGTGATGTAGGTCTATTAAAAGGCAAATGAAGTTCAACTTAATGTTCTCTGTAATGTACTATTTTATTATGTATTTCTTTACAATTACACTTTTTAGAGATAAATTAATTTTTGTTGAATGAAATGACTTCAGGCAAGTCTCTTTTATAATGGTTTTAAAATGTCACGTATTTTCTTTGTCACGTTGTGTTTGTGAATATAAATGTACTCTCCTAAAACTGAGCAAATGAGTAGAAGTAGAAAATAATGACCTTACTAGTCCAGAGTGAAAGGTATATAAGAAGTGTCTATAAAATCCTTAGAAGTGTCTGTAAAATCTTTGTGAGGCCTGATTGGGTACAATTTTTTAAACTTGCTATGTTATGTGTACACATGTATTCATGTTGCCAATATTAAGATGTTGCTACTGGATGACACATGATTTTACTTGAACAGTCAAATTCACAATTATAGAGGACATTTTTATAGTCTTTTTTTTTTCTTCCAGAGATCACATTGAAGCCCTGTAATGTTCTACAACAGTAAAATGCAATTGTTGTTTAATATGAAGATAGAAATATAAAGCTATTCTAATCAACTTTATTCTAATCAACTTTATATCTTGCATGATGTAGTAAACTTTAAATAGGTGTGTTAAAGTAAGTTGTTTGGTTTGAAATGTTGACCAGATTTCATATTTGAAAATAAAATCGTCTTTATTAGGAAGTTACCTCTTGGTAATACAAAGGGGAATGATTTAACAATGGAAATTGTTGAATCTACATTAAAGTTGTTGTGTGCTAGCACTATGATATGTGGTTTACATACTGAATTATAAGCATCTGTGGTCATATTCCTCTTGCATAAAAAATGAGATAAACGCTGAAAAATCTGACATCTTATTTCTTGTCTTTTTGTAGAAAGGCAGCTATTACTGGGGACTTCTGGAACTGTCTTTATTTTCCCATCTGGCAAAAAGAAAAGAGTCCCACTGATGTGAAATAAAACTTGAAGTATTAACTAGTTAGGACTTCCTTAGTCTCCCTGACCCACAGTAGCAGATTTCAGAGGGCAAGAGAATCTTTCCTCAATACTGTCCTTTTAGTATTGCCAAGGAAAGCAGCTTTGACGGTTGGTGCCCTGAACCGAAACAAAGCAATCTCAAGCTCCTTGCTATAGGTAAAAGTGTCGTCACTTGACCCTAGTCAAGATGGCTAGAGGAAAAAAACCATGTGTTTCCTTGCCTTTTAATGCAGTTCCCTCACTAGGAGAACAAGTTAGGTTTTTCATTTTGCTGCAGATAAATTGGAAAAAGATCTACAAAAACAAAGGTGGAGAACGGGGCCATGGACGTAGCTGCTGCATTCCAGCGTTTAGGTGGCCCTACACTCAAGTCCCAGGACTGCAAAACGAGATATAAAGAGAAAGGGTGCAAATAATTGAGAATATTAGCATTGTCTGTCACTGTCCTCCCGTTGTTCATCGATTTGCTGGGGCGGGCCCAGTAACATCTCCATTGTGAGACTTCTTGTTACTGTGTTTAGCATATTGAATACTCTGGGTAGCTTCCCAGGCTCTCCAAGAGGGACAGAGGAATCGAACTTGGCTCGGCCAGGCTGGTTGCGTGCAAGGCAAACACCCTACCGCTGTGCTATCACTCCACCAATTATCCAATAACTATAGAAGCATTTTTATAGGGTCCTGTGAAATGATCTGTATTGGGGGATAACCTCAGTCATTTATCTGGAACAATATATATCTGATGGACAACTGGCAAAAAGTGTCTCAGCATTTTTTTGGAAAATGTTCTAAATTCACGCAGCAGTACTTGCTGTCTCTTTTTATCACAACACTGAAGTCCTACTCCATCTTTATTCAACTTCTCTATTGTGTTCATGATTCCAAAGGCAAACTGTTGGGGCTGGAGCAATAGCACAGCGGGTAGGCCCATTGCCTTGCACGTGACCAACCCGGGTTCAATTCCCAGCATCCCATATTGTCTCCTGAGCACCCCCAGGGGTGATTCCTGAGTGCAGAGTCAGGAGTAACCCCTGTGCATCGCTGGGTGTGACCCAAAAAGCAAAAAAAAAAAAAAAAAAAAAAAAAAAAAGGCAAACTGTTTTCCAAACCAACCTTTGTCTTTAGCGGGAGTAATCACTGCCACAAACTACATAACCAAGCTACTAATACACTTGTGTTATTCAATGTATCTTGAGAGCAAAAGTAACTTTAGTTAAAAAACAAACAAAACACAACAACAAAAACAATAAAAAACAACCATCTGGTTTTTTTAATGTCACGTATTTTCTGATGGCTCTACTTCATGCTGGAGACTTCCGTGACTTCGATCAAAACCTGACAAGAAAGAGAAAGAATCCAGAATCCCCAGGTCACAAACCATGGAACCATTTTCCTAGTCTTGACCTTTCCTTTTGCCCTAGAAAACACCTACGAATTCAAAAGCGGCCGTGGGGAGCAGCGGCTTGTGTTGAAATCTGTTCAAGCTTTTTAATGCAAGCCGGAGTAAGGTCAGACCTTGAACTTTTTCCTTTGCATGCAGAAAACTACCAGGAGATGGAGCGGAGCGATTTGTAATGCAGCCGGCGTAGCATTTTATGCTTTCATTCCCTAGAATTCCCGGGACAAATAAGTGGTTTCCTATCTGGGAATGTTCGATAACGTTCCTCGCTTGTGCTTCCAGCAGGGCTGAAAAAAAATCTATCAACTACTAGAAGTCATTCAAAACATTCCAATCTTATCACTTGCACAAACCCTTAGGGCAGCGGCGAACAGCTGGCACGAGCTGGGGCGCTCTGCGCATGTCCGCCGCCGCTCGCTCCGCCTTCAAACAACTTCCGGATTCCCTTCCGGAAGTCCCGCCTTCCAGCCCGGGCGCATGCGCAGTTTTTGTGCTTACGGGCAGGTCAGCGCAGGGATGGCTGGGAAGATGGCGGCTGCGGCCATGGCGGCCGTGGCAACTTGGCTACCGTGCCGCAGGTGGGGCAGGCCCGCCGTATCCTGCGACTTCCACCGTGTTTTCAGCACCTTGTTTGCGCGGGAGCCGCACGGAGCTCCACGGGAGCTGCCTGGTCAGTTTCCGAAAGGTGAGGCAGAGCGCGTTCTTTCGAACTTCTCGAATCCATGCCTTTGGGGGCGCCCCATTCAAAACTTCTGTGCCGTTTGCAGTACCCTTGTCCCAGGGGGATGCCCACCGCGCTGGGGCGGACCCCGGAGAGGTTTGTCACGGCCCCAGGCTTATTCTAGACATTCCCGGCGCTTGCACAATGGCTTTCCCCCCCACATGCAGAAGCCCCCTCTCCTGCATGAAGCGCCGACGCTTGCAAAATATGCAAGATGTGCATTTCCTGAATGTCACTGCATTTCCTGAGTGTCTCCCTGACTTGCTTTTTCCCTCTGCGGTCAGAAGTTGGCCCAGACTGACTCTGGTCCGGTGCTTAGACCTGTTCTCGCTTGGCTTCGCGGGTATTTTCTTGGTTAGAGGTGTAAATGACTCTCTTCACGCCCAACTCTTTCCCAGGTTCCGTGAAACGGTGAAAAGCTATGATGAGAAACTAGAATCTGGACCCCCCGCCCCCCAAATCGGAATACTTATCTTCCGTTTGATTGGTCCCTGTCCTCCACCCCATCATTTTTCCCTGGAGTGAGGACCTTTTCATATCTGGCGTTGTTGTGTCTCACACTCCTTGCAACCGTCAGATGCACAGTGCTGGGCACGGGAATTAATGCAATAGCAGATACCGCTCGTTTTGAGTTTACCTTTTTTTTTTTAAAACTTAACTGCTGTCATTTATGGTTCGTTGTTCACACCTAGAAGGATTGTTACCTGTGAGTACCGCTGACCAAGGAGGAGCATGTGAGATTATGAACTGGGATGTAATACTCATCGATATAGCAAGTGTTCATTGGTACTTGAACCTCCCCGTTTCATGGCCACAATGTCAAGAAAGTGGGCCACTTACATAAGTCTCTAAGTTGACAAATGCCTGGAGGAGATCTCTGTATTGGGAAATAGTGTCTTCCCAAGAGAAAACCTATCTTCCCAAGAAGAGCTTAGGAAGGACTTTTTGGGTGCTGCTTTAAGAAAATGAGACTTGAACAGTTTTACTGATGTAATTCTCCGGCCAACACAGCTGACCACTGAACTCTCCTGCCACTTTTCACCTAGTTTTTAATTTGTCGTATTACTCTACACATTGAAACAACTCTCTGTGTCATCAGGTTGTCTTAACATTAACTTTCCGAATCCAAAAGTTAAGGAAACATAAGCTCACATGGAAAAGTCCGAGAAACTGAAGAAGAAGATTTTGTTTAATAGAGGAGGTTTTTTGGGGCTAGAGCATAATGGTTGGTTGCATCTCTTACATACATGTGTGAGGCATTGGGTTTGTTCCCACCACCACCATCAAAACAAATTTTTTGTGTGTTAGTCCAGGAGAGAGGGTTAAAAAAAAAAGGAGGGGACTATGAGGAAAAAAGAAAAAAATATTGTAAGGAGAGACATCTAATGTCTTTTAGGGAGGAGATAGAGTTATAGAAAGCTTTGTGCTTAATATATACTAAGCTATGTTCCCACTATTCACAGTCAGACCAGCTAAGAAAGCACAGTTACTTCAGAGTCCTATGAGAAACCTTTTCCGGAAATCATACCATCGGTATTATTCAAGTTTACTTGTAAAGAGACTTCTAGTTAAGCCTAGACCAGCTGATACAGAATCTTGATTGATTTTGTGGATTTGCAGAGATGGGGAATCAGTATCGCAGCTCTCTAGTTTACAGCACTTTCCCAAAGGCAATCAAACTTAGTTCTCTTTATCACAAAGTAGGGAACTTGAAACTTATCATATATTTTTAAAAATAGACAAAAAACAGGCCAGGAGATATCAGAGCAGCTAAGGCACTTGCATTACTTGTGGCTAACGCACATTCCATCCCTGGCATCCAGTGTCATCTCCAAACCCCACTGAGTGAACTCAGAGCCAGGAGTAAGCCCTCAGCTATGCAGGGTGTGGCCCAAACTGCCCCTCCACCACCCAGTTTTTTTTTTCTTTTTGGGGTCACACCCGGCGATGCACAGGGCTTACTCCTGGCTCTGCGCTCAGGAATTACCCCTGGCAGTGCTCAGGGGACCATATGGGATGCTGGGAATTGAACTCGGGTTGGCCGCGTGTAAGGCAAACGCCCTACCCGTTGTGCTATTGCTCCAGCCCCCACCACCGAATTTTAAAAGTAAGATGAGACAAAACTCACAAAAAAAGACATCTGAGTGTTAATTGGTTGCTATGTAGAACAAACGATAATAGGACATTTTTGACATGTCTTTGTTTTTTATTGTTTTGACTTTCTACTTCATTTTGCATTTTGAAAGATTTGAAGTTGGACCTTGCTCAAAGAAGTTAATGAATTTCAACATGATTATAAAAGATGTACAGACTTGTGACTATGTATTTCAAGTCTGGTTTTGTTTTTCCTATAAGATAAATATTGCACTTTGACATCCGTTTGATAAGATTAAGAAAGTTACATGAAAAATAGACATCTTTTTAAAAGAATTTGCAAACTATAGTTTATGTTTTGTGTACTTTGTTTAGCTTTCAGACAAAAGACATCATACTCTTACCTTAGTCGACCTGGCCTTCCAAACCTGGCTTATAAGAAGCTAAAAGGCAAAAGTCCAGGAATTATCTTCATCCCTGGCTTTCTTTCTAATATGAATGGCATAAAAGCATTGGCCATTGAGGACTTTTGCAGATGTCTAGGTCACGCCTATATAAGGTAGGAGTACGTATTTCAGGAAAAAAAATGTTGCTACTGTTTTTAGCTTAGCAGTGGAAAATAACTTCTGGTCTAACCAAATGAAGCAAATGCCAGCATTTTAATAGATTTATTTAAGTGGCTTATAAACGTTCATCGTGTAATTTACATCTTAGAAGTGCAGGCTTTAAGGGTCTCAATGCCATACTGCCAGTGCTGGCAGGAAAAGAAACTAACAGTAACTAGACTTTAGACGGAGTAATCATGCATGACAACAAACACCATATACTAATTGGCTTTCTTATAATCTCATAAAATGGTAATGTGATTTCCATTGGGGATTTCAACATCTAACTATGATTATTACCTTTTAAAAAACGTATTTAAAAATAATATGAATACTTGAAAATTTTTAAGTTACCGACCCGGGTTTGATTCCTCCATCCCTCTCGCAGAACCCGGCAGGCTACCAAGAGTATCCCGCCTGCACGGCAAAGCCTGGCTAGCGACCCATGATGTATTCGATATGCCAAAAACAGTAACAAGTCTCACAATGGAGACGTTGCTGGTGCCCACTTGAGCAAATAGATGAACAACGGGACAAACAGTGCAGTATTATACAATTTTTGTTTACATTGAGTTTTTTTTATTTTTCTCCTATAATCTGAACAAATGTAAGCGTGAATAAGGAAATACGTTGTTTAAAACATAATTTCACAATTTCTAATATTTCCTAGAGTGCTAACCTTTCTAGTCAAATACTGTGTTTACATTTATATTGTTAGGTTTGCTTGTGCTTTACAGTTATTTAGTAACCCATCTGCAGGAAGAGGTAGTATGGTTTGGTTTGGTTTGGTTTGGTTTGGTTTGGTGTGGTTTTTTTAGAGGTAGTATGGTTTAATAGAATGAGCCCTGGTCTAGAATTCAAAAAATATGGCTTCTAGAATTCTAACAATATCTGAAACAAGATAGTTCAGTAACAAAACACTGAACCTTTTTCCTTTTACTAATTTTTTCTTTTAGGGGGTGGGGAGGGGAGGAGGGCTATCTATCCTTCAGTATTCAGGACTTCTTCCTTGCTAAGGATCACTTCTGGTGTTGCTTGGGGGACATTATGGGGCACGGGGATTGAAGCCAGGTTGGCAGCATGCAAGGCCAGTGCCCAACTGCTGTAGGAGCTATCAAGCCCCAGCCCCAGGTCATCCCCCCCACCACCGCCCACCCCCCCCCCCACACGCACATATCTTATTTTTTCTTTAAGTAACAACAATAAAAGATGTGGACTAAAACTTACGCCTGAGTTCTTTCCTAGCACTACAAATTAAACATCTATTCTTGTAAAATTAGAATGATTTCGTTTTCAAAAAATACAACTGTATAAAACTATTAGGCTTTACCTAAAAATAAAGATAACGTTACTAACATACTTATACATCTGAGATCTTTTCTTTTTTTAATGCCCTCAACAGTTCCAAATCTAGAATTTAAAATTTCTGTTAGGGATAATTGAGTTAATGGCAGCTCTAAAACTATGTGTTATGTGCCTGAGCTCTAACTAAACCTTCTTGTAGGCATCAGGACGTTTGAAAAACATTTTTATAGAACTATAAATAGATTTCTCATAAAGGTGTTAGATATGTTGTCAGTTGTATGGATTTAGTCTTATCCTTGATATTATCAAATTAATTGAATTATTTGTGTGTTCAGAATTCTTAAAATGTGTTGACTTAACTTCTGAATACTGGAGTATTTTTGCAACTAGATTTCCTAGTCATAACTATACGAGGTGCTTTGATGTAGAAAAGAGTTAATAGACATTGCCCCCAAAGATCTTTTAACACAGGGTGGGAAATTGCAAGATAAAATACATAGGAGGAATTAGGAAAAAATACTCAACATACTGTGTTTGTATCAGAAGAACAGTGGACCTAATGTGTGTGTCTCTAAAGTAAGAGATGGAAAATTGATAATTTGAACTGGATAGAAAAGACTTCTAAAAGAAATAATGAAAAGTAGTATTTGAGTAAGAATAAAGAGCTATCCAGTCCTCCTTAGGACTGTCCTGAGCAAAATGTCATCATATCAGAAACATCACTATTATTTTCTCTTTATCTCGACAAGAATTTGAATCAAGAAATCACCTATTTCTTCAACCTTCAAAATGGAGGTTTTGAGAACCACCTCCCTACTATGTTGATTTTCTACACTTGGCATGCATATGAAAAACATTTTGTTTTTGAAAAGCACATCAAATAAGGATGGAATTGTAATGATTTGTATACTAAGTGATATTATTTTGGAAGAACACTAAACCAAGACATACAAGTCAGAGTTGCTGAAAAGATACAACTTGAGGAATGCATAATTTTGTCCCCTTCCCCCCCCACACACACACACATACACACACACACACACTCAGCAGTGCTTAGGACTCATTCCTGGCTCTGATTTCAGGGATCACTCCTGGTGGGGCTCAGGAGGTCATATGGGATCCTGAGGATTGAACCCAGGTTGGCTGCTTGCAAGGCAAACCACGCCCTACCTGCTGTAGTATCTCTCTGACCCCAGCCAAGGATTTGTGATTTGTTGGTGAAGGAAAGCATTCTAGACAGTGGAACGGCCTGCAGACGGTCAGTAATAAAAGGATTGAGGTAGGAATTGGCAGTAGTTTAGAACGAAAAGGATTTAGGATAATCATAGTGGTTTGACACTTGATAATTTATTGAATACGGATCTTTAAAGAGAGCTAAAATTCACAGACCAGAGAGACTTCGTGTGGAAAACTAGGCAACTGAAAGGAAAAAAATAAACAAATTACATAATGCATTGAACTCAGTTCTCTTCTGCACCCAATAAATACCAAGTTCTTGCCATGTTCGTAGTAGTTATCTAAGCACTGAAAAAGCAAAGGTGGACATTGATTGTCTCACCTGGAGCTTCTGTTCTAGTACGGGAGACACGCCACACATGAAAATATCATACATATAATACCCACTAATGGTATTTGCTATGAAGAAAACATTAGGGAGTAAAGAAGTGGAGGAGGAAAAACTCACAGCTTTTGCTGAGCAGGTAGGGAAGGCTCAGGGGATTTGCATTTGAGTCAGTGGCCTGAATGAAGTGAAAGAACTAATTGGCTGTCTGGAGCGAGAGTATTTCCTTCCTGTAGTAGTGAATGAAGCTAATGTAAAACTCCCAAGACAGATAGTGGTAATGTTTTCCATTAACTTCAAAAGGGAAGGGAGGACCCAGTTAAAAGGGTCTCCCTTCAACACATTTCTCACTGGCTTGACTGTTTGCTTACTTCCTCTCTTGAGAAATATTCTCTAGAGAACATGTTCTCTCTTGAACACATTTCCTCTTTTTTCTCTTCTCACATCTTTCTAAGCAAGTTTTGTTCAATAAAAACTACCAGGCTTCATCAAAAACAAAAAAGAAGAAATGAACCCAGGAAGACATGGGATCCAGAGTAGAATAAGCATTTCAAATTAAAAGCCTTCAGATGTCTCTAGAAGACATCATTTTGTTTTTAAAGTATTATTGACTATTGGGGCTGGGGAGACAGTACAGTGGGTAAAGTGTCCTGCACGCACCCAACCAAGGTTCAATCCCCAGCATCCCATATGAGCCCCCAAGCACCACCAGGAGTAACTCCTGAGTGCAGAGCCATGATTAACTCCTGAGCTTGACTGGGTGTGACTGAAAAAACTATAAAAAACATTGGTTTTTTTTGTTTGTTTTGTTTTTTACTAATAAGTGGGTGAAAATTGAGACAGGGAGACTTATTTGAAGACTATTGAATTAAACATGGGAAGAGAGAATAGTGAACTGACAGTATTTTTCAGCTGAGGGCCTTTTGAACCCCTCGGGGCACCCAGAATATTCAAAGGGCTACAGGTGAAAATTGCATAAGGGAGATGAAAAGTGAAGAAAACAGAAGTGACCTAGAAAGCAGTGGGAAAAGGTTGAGAAACACAGACTAGGCTGGTAGTAGTGGAATAGTCAGAGAAAGCGAGTGCAGGGTGCGCAGAAGAATAGTACTGCTGGTCGTGCTTTTTCCTCACATGTGGTCAACTGAGTTCAGTCCCCAGCATGCCATATGGTTCTCCGAACCCCACCAGGAGTAATTCCCAAGTACAGAACCAGTAGTAAGCCCTGGGCACTGCCAAGTGCGGTCAAAAAAAAAAGCTGCAGTATATATTGACCAGCATTTTATTTAATTTAAGCATTGTAATAATGACTGCATTATTTTCCTTAAAAATCAAAAAAGTTTGGACTAGGAATGTGTCTCAGCTGTAGAGTGCATGCATTGTATGAGGTCCTGTGTTTAGTCCTCCACACTGGGAGAAAGAAAAGATGAAAGAGAAATACATAAATTCCACCCACCCCCTTTTTCTTCCAGGTTTGATTACACTGGAGTTGGAAAATCAGATGGCAACGTAAAAGAATGCACAGTGGGAAAATGGAGAAAAGATGTTCTTTCTGTAATTGATGAATTAGCTGTAGGACCACAGGTGACTCTTTTTATTAAATATGATCATTATTGACTGTAAGCTGCTTTTTCAGACATGAAAATTTATTGAATATTGTCAGTGTTTAACATTTTGATACTCGATTTAAAATTTTTCTCATTTTCATTTTCAAAATTTCAATACCACTTTATGTTTTACAGATTTTATCTTTAGCGCTTATTCAATGATATAGAACTAATGCTTTAACAAAAAGTGCTTCTAATTTTAATTTTATTTTGTGCATATATAATATATACATATATATATATTACTGTATCACTGTCATCCCGTTGTTCACCTATTTCCTCGAGCAGGCACCAATAACGTCTCCATTCATCCTAGTCCTGAGATTTTAACAAGTGCCACATTGGAGGCTCAGGGGAATGAAACCCATCATTGTTACTGGGTTTTGGCATATCGAATACGCCATGGAGAACTTGCCATCCTCTGCCGTGCGGGCAGGATACTCTTGGTAGCCTCCCAGGCTTTCTGAGAGCGAAAACTAGATTATAAGAGGAGCTTCCAGGAGCATGGTTTTACAATCTCTGGATCTTAGCTATTGATGAGATTACATGGCACCGGGGGCAGTTGGTGGCCAGTTCCTTCATGCATGAGGCCTGACCAAGCACGTGGAGAGTGGTCTTGAGCATGGCTGTGGCTGGGTTCTGGAGGTCTTTATATGTGTGTGTGTGTGTGTGTGTTCTGTGGTATTGTTCACTTTCCTTACAAGCATAGGAAAGTTCTCTTTACGCTATACATATTTTTATTTTTAGATATTAGTTGGATCTAGCCTTGGTGGCTGGCTTATGCTGCATGCCGCCGTCGCACGGCCGGAAAAGGTGGTTGCTCTTATTGGTATAGCTACAGCTGCAGATGGCCTCGTGACGCAGTTTAAACAACTTCCTCTTGAGGTAAGCTATAATATGACTATCTCTGGTCCTTCTTCTGACCCTTTCTCTTTGAATACTTGTTCATGTGTGTTCTGTCTTCTGAGTTTTGTTGGCCCATCTTATGTGTTATATACAATCTCTGTACCTTCTTCAATTATTTGGACTCTTATTTAAGATTTGTTTTCTTTACAGTCCCTTCATATCATTCTGCCAAGTATTTGTGCCACCTTAATGAAATCACAATTTTTTTTAAGCAACATTTACATTTTCATCACGATAGCTTATTTGGATCATTCCTCTTAATTTTATTTTGTACTTCATTCTTTGTGGCATATAAGAAATGGTGCCAGTGCTTATAATCATTTTAGAATGCGTTAATCAATTATGAAACTTTTGAGGGGGGCAGGGCACACTCGGCTTACTCCTGGCTCTATACTGAGGGATCACTTCATGGCAAGGGACCATATGCGGTGCTGGGGATCAAACCCAAGTTGACCAAGTGAGAGGCAAGTACCCTACTTGATGTTCTGTTCCTCTGGCCTGAACCATTTTTTTTTTCCAATCGTTGACAGTAGTCTCAGACCCTCTCCAGAGAGATCTTCAAGCGTGCAGAACTAGCATGTAGAAAACGCGACTTGTTCATAGCATACACACGTTGACATTATTTTACTCCTGATTGTCACCTTTCTAATAGTGCTTTTTGTTACTAATATGTTCTTTAGCAAATTATGGTTAGAAATAAGGCTGCTTAGATAACTGGGATAATAATTTATTATCCTCCATTATTAGACGTGTTTGGGCAATTCCATCATCCATCATCAACAAATAGGGCATCTATGTTTACATTAATTTTTGTTTAGCAGTCTTTTGAGTTCTACTTGGGTGTCTCTCTCCTAGGAGACTAGATTTCACTTACAGGTCTAAGATCCTGCCAGGTCTTAGGCGTAGAAAATTAAAGAAACACTGTTTGATGGTTCCCAGGCTAGCAGCAGCATCAACTGAAAGCTGGTTAGAAGTGCATTTTCTTGAGTTTCTTCGAAGACCAGTGTCTCAAAAACTGGGATCCCAGAAGTTTGACAGTGTCTTCCACCCCTTGGTGAACTCTTCTTATAAAGTGTGTAAGAGCAGGAGGAGAACAAGAAACAAAAGCATTCAAGCTGTCCTTGATATTTGCCTTTGGTTCTGCATTGAATCCAGTGCCATGTGTCATCTATTCTAATTTTATCATCACTTCATTGAATGGTCAGTTTCCTCATCTACGTTTCTGTCAATTTAAAGTTACAGTTACAGAGATGGTGTCTCTTGTTTCCAATTCCTATTTCTATTTTTCCCCTTTCTTGCTTTTTATACGTTGCTGTTCCATGTCCTTGTGCAGCTTAATTTTTCTGCCATTACACCTTTTTTGCATATAAGCCTTTGAGCCCTTCATTCCTTTAGTCTGTGTAGAGCAGAGCTTCTCAAACTTTTTCCACTTGTGACCTTTTTTCATCCAAGAAGTGCAGCATGGGCCAGTGCTGTCTGAAACCCCTCAGATTCGTTACATGGTGAATCGGAATTAATTTCTGGTCATTGCGCATTCAGAAACATTTTAGTTGTCATCAAATGTTTCATGCCTCTTATGGGGTCACAACCCACAGTTTAAGAAACAGGGTATAAAGTTTCTCCTTGGAGGAAATAATTTCAAGAGTTTGTCAAATTACGAAGGGGTTGGCTAAAGAAAAATTGTTACTAAAAAGAACATGTCTGTGCATAATTCTGTTTGAGTTTGTCCATATCACTCAGTAAGACTATAGTAGAATCCCTAAAACTGAAACCTGCAAACCAGGACACCTTGGCTAATCCTGTACCAGCAAAGAGAGACTAGTCACAGAAGCCTTGGTAAACTAACATCAGGCAGAAGGAATGAGCAGGGACTCCACAGTCCCTGTCTCCTGGCACTTATCTAGACCTAACAAAGCTTGCAGGAATGGGGTTGTTGTTAGGTTTTTGGCGGGGGTAGAGGAAGGCCCACTCCAGCCATGGGAGCTGTGGTTCCATGCTTAGGCCAGAGGGTACAGAGCTGTTTAGAGCCAAGTAGTGCTGGGCTGACCTGGCCACTCCAACAATACTCGAGGAACCTGCACTGTCTCCAGGGAAGTGTCTGGAAATACTCAAGGTACCATGTGCCAGGTTCTGAACCAGGGTCACCTGCATCTGAGGCATGTGCCACCTTGAACCCCTGGCCCCAGAAGCAGAGATTTTTACTATCTTATTTAACCCCAGAATTAATTAGGCCCAGAATCTCTCCTTGTCTAAACCCTACCTTGAACATTGGAGTTGGGTTATAACTCCACATGGGCTCATGTAACTGAATGAGGGGGCGGTCATAAAGATTTTGCTGGAAAATTTATGGTTTATTACCAGTAACTTTTTGATTCGTATATTTTAAGTATGTGGGATTGCATAAAAATTTCTCAGGAGAAAGAGGTCACTAGTGGGAAGAAGTCCTAGTCTCAGCTACCTTTTGGTAATAATTTCCTCTTTGGACACTAGAGGGCATCAGACATGGTGACTAGCCAGAACCCAGGCTTCTCATCCATCCTGTAATGATAGGATTTCTTGTGCGACACCTGATACCTATTGCGTGTTTTCTTTGGTTAGTGCTGTTTATCCTGTTTCTGACTTTTCATTTTTGAGTGTTTGGAATGTAGATTATTTTGTAAAGTTAAATTCTTTGAACTGACGCTGTTCATTCCATTCAGTGGCAGATAGCAACTAGCTGGAAAACAGCTACGTCACTGTAGCATAGTTCCTGCTTCATCTTATAGCCAATGAAAACTAAATTCTGATTACTGAAATTAAAACTCAAGTATAATCCTGAGATGTTTAAGAACAATGCCATTTTAAATGTACATTGTTTTAGTGCAAAATATTTTATTAGTATCAAGAGTTTCTTAGATTTTTAAATTTAAAATAATTTTGGAGATAATATCGTACACATTTTACTATTTAAATTATTTTCTTTTTCTATATGTAATAAAAGTGATGAGATTCTGATTACAGAAATGTTCGGATATGTTACATGTTGCATATATATTTTTTGGATAATTTCTATTCAGAAATGCCCTTCATGTTATATGGTTGTAAAAACCTTAAGACTGTTAACTCATGAACTACTCAAAAATTCTGAGAACTTTTCCAAAACTTCTCCAAATAATTACATACAGATAAATCTTTATCCTCTAAAGGTTCAACCAGGTATCTAGTAGTATGAGAATGGATGTTTACCTTAGATTGATTATAATCTTTAAATTCTGCAGCCTTTAAAACTTTCATCAGATGTTTTTAACCGAAAAATACCTGTATTAAGTAAGTCACGTAGCATTAGAAACAAGGTGCACTAGATAAGTATTTTACATAGTATATACGTATATATACTCAAAATTATTAAAAGCACTTGAAAGAAACTAGGCTTCTAAAGTGACTTTATTAGAAAAATTGTTTAATATAAATTGCAATCTAAAAATGGAAAGTGAGGGGGCTGGAGCAATAGCACAGCGGGTAGGGCGTTTGCCTTGCACGCAGCGACCCTCGTTTGATTCATAGCATCCCATATTGTCTCCTGAGCACCTCCAGGAGTGATTCCTGAGTTCATGAGCCAGGAGTAACCCCTATGCATTGCCAGGTATGACCCAAAAAGCAAAATGAATAAATAAATAAAAACAGAACGTGAGGCGAGGCAAGACAGTTACGGCATATGCAGTTCTTGGCATGTGTCCAACCTGGTGTGATTCCCAGCACCACTTGCTCCCTGGAGCCCCCCAGAGGCTCTAGGATAACGGTAGCCATCCCCAGCACCATAGGGCCCAAGAAGCATCATATTCCTGCACTGAGTCCCTGACCTGGTTGGCCAAGGTTTACAGTTGGGTCCCCAGACTTCCTGACTACTATGTAGGAGGCTCCTTATTGTCATGCTCTTCCCCCCCTCCCGCCCCCCACCAAAAACCAAAATATAGTGTCAGTAAATCCCAAGGAATTTAAAGTTTATTTCTCAGGACATCAGTAAAATATTATATCATTGTGGGGCTGGAACAATAGCACAGCAGGTAGGACACGTTTGCCTTGCACGCTGCTGACCTGGATTGATTCCCAGCATCCCATATGGCCCCCTGAGCACCAGCAAACTTATGTATAACACAGCAAACTATATATATAGTTTATACATATATTATACATATATATGTAATATCATTGCTTAGTTTTCAGGGAAATAATTGAAAGACTTTGCCAACCCAAACATTTTTTTTTCCATTCCATAGGACTCTGCATGTCAGAACATTTAGTTTTTGTTTAAATTCAACCTAAAATTCCACATTATTGTCGTAGAGTAAATACTGTTATTTTTTATTTTCAGATCTTTGAGTCTTTTTCTCTTACCCTTGCATTCTTCGTATTCTTTGTATTTCTTTTATGTACTGTATCAGTATGATAGTTGTTTAAAACTAAAATCTAAACAACCTGTATTCCTAAGCTTTAATTTTTATGTATGACTGATGCTTAAATGTTTTGAAGCAATTATTCTATTTTTGCTCCCTCATTTTACCCTTCCAGTTATGAACCAGTACTTGATTTAAGATGTTAAATAATCATTTGATAAGTTTAGTAAATTTGAATCTTAGTCACAACAGTTAATTGCCTTTCAGCTGTAAATACATATTTCAGCTTCTCTGAGCATTAATATCTCTTTTCCATAAAAACAAAATAATAATATCAAGATATTATAAGATACAGTGTGTAGAATACCTCTCTCAGTACCTTGTATTTAAATCTTGATGATTGTTACTGCATTTTGTTACTTCTTTACCTCATTGTCAGGGACTGCTTTTCTATTGTCTTAAGACTGTTGGAGTTTAATATTGCATATATAGTTTCATTTTTCTGTTTTTGTCAACAGGCTAGAAAGGAAATAGAGGAGAAGGGCATGTGGACTTTTTCATCAAAATACAGTGATGAAGGAGTCTATAATATTCAGTACAGTCTCATCAAAGAAGCCGAATACCACTGCTTACTCCATTGCCCGATTCCTGTGAAGTGCCCCGTCAGATTGCTGCACGGCATGAAGGATGACGTCATCCCTTGGCATACATCCATCCAGGTTGCTGACCAAGTGATCAGCACAGATGTAGATGTCATTCTCAGAAAATACAGCGATCACCGAATGAAGGAAAAAGAAGACATTCAACTTATTGTTTATACTATTGAGGACTTAATTCATAAGCTGTCAACCATAACCTGTCAACAGTAGTTACGTAGAGTCACAATTGGTATATCAACTAAATGAGCAGAAGATAAAATGAATAACAAATGAAAAACGTAATACTTAGGCTTTCCTCCCTTTTATTCTACTTTGTGAATATCATATGGCTGTTTATTTAATGATGTATTTGCACAAGTGATACAGTAGTGAAGAAAGTACCAGATGCTGATAGAAAACCTTTCTCTTTCAAGCCTTGGATTTTTTCCATTTGAACATTTCCTTTTTTTTCTTTCCTCCCTGGCCCCAGACACCTAAACATTTCCTATTTTTTAATTGAAGAACAGATATTTATGCTTTAATGCTTATGTTAACTGTGCCAGCTCAAGTGTTATGTTTAAAATTGTTAATAGTTTCTTTTCATTTTTTTATTATCAGTAGATATGGAGATACTTGCAATCCTGATCTTAAAATAAAATTCACAAAACACAGAAAAATATTTATGAAATAAATATGAAATTTTTAGCAAGTGTTTCAAAGCATTGCAAAGCTCAAAGCTACATTTTATTTTTTTATACTGCATGTTATCATTAAGCTTAAAATTTATCCTTGTTTGTTTGGGTATCAAACCTTGGGGCTCTGCCTTTTGGGCTGTCTGTTTGTTTCCTAAATTTATTCTTTTTTAAAGGCTCAAAAATTTAGTTATATAATATTTGATATAACACTTCTAAATTATGGCTGATGTCATTTAAATGGGAGAGCTATATTTGATGTAGCATTTTTATAATCTAAAGCAAAGATTAATCTCTTTTACTGCCTACCTGCAAATACTCCTTTTTTTTATTATTATTAATATGAACATAAAGTACAGTAGCGAAGTGATAGCTAAATCAGAGAACTTTCTGATGTAGATTAGAGAAGAAAATAGGAAATGCAGGTTTTGGAGGGTTTTTTTTTTTTTTGGTTTGGTTTTCATTTTTTGATTTGGGGCCACGCCTGGCAGCATCCAGGGGTTACTCGTGGGCCTTCATTCAGGAATTACCCTGGCAATGCCTGAGAAACCATTCGGGGGACCAAGCTGCAATTAATGTCCCTGAGAGGGTTTTTTTTTTTTTTTTTTTGGTCTGTGAAGTAACACTGTAAACCTAGAAAGGTATAAGGGCTAAATAAACCTTAAAATTTATAGCTATGAAGTGGAAGAATGACTGCCCAGTGAGTTTGATGTGAAAATATGATGGACATAATTCGTCGTGGCTTTAGACAGGAAACTGAAGGCAAGAGTGGGTAGAGCTTCTAATGCTGAAATGACATCTTGCTAATTTCAAGATCCCAAATTGTTAGTTATGGTAGCACTGTGCTCCCAGTTGTTCATTGATTTGCTCCAGCGGGCACCAGTAATGTCTCCATCATGAAACTTGTTACTGTTTTTGGCATATGGAATACACCACGGGGAGCTTGCCAGGCTCTGCGTTGCGGGCGGGATACTCTCGTTTGCTTGTGGGTCTCTCCGAGAAGGACAGAGGAATCGAACCCAGTCAGTTGCACGCAAGGCAAACGCCCTACCTGCTGTGCTATCACTCCAGCCCATTGGTCATGGTGTCCTTTCAAATGTTAAGTAGCTAGAAAAAGGGATTAGGGCACAGCCCATCATGCACTACATAAAGATTGGAAAAACTTTTAAGATTTAACCTAGGTTTGCAGAGATTAACCATCACAAATCCAAATAAACTTGAGTCAGTGTGATTTAGTCTATTCTAGTAAATCACTCATTTCTCTAGACCTATTATTATTTTTCACAAAAACTTTTTCTTGTTCCTCCCAGAACTGCTCCATGCCATGTACTCAGTGACATGGAAAATAACTGAGCAGCCAGCAGCCACTGAGAGCCTCAGCCTGGGAAAGTCCTGCATCATTTTAAAAGCAACATGAGCCTTCTCAATAATTCCTGCATGTACAATGGGAAGGAGAAGGCAAAAAGCTAATGGAAAACCGAGTGAGACCGCATCATAATTTGCTTTTGCTGCATCTGTTGAGCTTAGAGGCATTTCCAAACACAAATCTAAACAGGATGCCGTTCCCTGAGCAGCCAAGAGAAAGGTCTGTGTGGAGAAGGGAAAAGCGCTTCAGGCAAGACTGAATTCTATAAAGCACAGAGAGAGGAAGGAGAAAATAACTCCCCACACAACCATTTCCTGGGCCAAAGGGAAGAAATAGGTCAGAGGATCAAAAATGTTGAACTTCTTGAAACAAAAACAAGACTCATTTTCCAGAGGAAGGTGAATCGACTTTAGACGTACATTTGGAGATCCCCTTTAAATAAAGATGAAGAGTAACTTTTAGTTTAGAATGGTAATCACAAAATAAACGTAACTTGATGGAAAATGGGATGCTTTGTTACATTTAAAGGATAGCCCTAGGGACTGGAGCCATAGCAGAGTGGGTAGGGTGTTTGCCTTGCTTGTGGGCTGACCCGGGTTCTATTCCCAGCATCCCATATGGTCCCCTGAGCACTGCCAGGAGTGATTCCTGAGTGCAAAGCCAGGAAGAACCCCTGAGCATTGCCGGGTGTGACCCAAAAAGCAAAAAAATAATAAAGGATAGGCCTAGAAAAACGCAGGCAACTTCTAATATGTTTTTAATTTTTATTTTATTATCTTGTTTGGGGCCACACCCAGTGGTGCTGAGGGCTTACTCGTGGCTGTCTGATAGGGAATATTTCTGGCGGTCTTAAGGGATCAGGATCCAACCCACTTCAGCTGTGTACAAGGCCAAATGCCCTGCATGCTGTATTCTTTCCAGCCCTAGTATGATTTTAAAGAAATTTTTCCTATTTGGACTCTTAAGTTTTTTAAGTTTTACTGAGAGATAAACTCTTCTACTGAAAAAGCTCAGATGTCAGCTTCTTGGCGAACACTTTTCATACTTACCTTCATCTCTTTCATAGATGTGTCTGGGTCCTCTGTTCTGAAGCTCCCACCTTTCCTGACAGAACTTAATACTTTGAAATTCTCCATTTATATCCAGGTACTCAAGGAACACTGAATCAGGAGCTTAGACAGTTTATCCTTTGCTGCTTCTTCCTCTCCCTCACTTACCTTGAGTGCTGATCTTCCCTTGCGTTCTCGCCCTTGTACTCATGCTGCTGTTGTTCTTTTCGACAGTTTTGTAGTTTTATTAACAATAAAATCTTCACATTATTCATCCCTTTTTTATGAGGGGGAGTCCCATGCGGTGTCTGCAGGTCTAGTGTCATCATGGTCACATGGCAGGATTTTTCCTTCTTAGAGCTCAGCCTTGTCCCCCAAATTTTTCCCCCTGTATTTCACACAGATCTTTTATTGGCTGCTCAGAGCACAGTGAACGTCACACTGTTTATTTGTGTTTAGAAGTGCCTCTGAAAGTAACCCCAAGCGTGTGGGTAGCTGAGGGCAGGCAAAATAGAAAAGAGACCAGTATGAAAATAATAGCAGGGATTTATCACGCTGCACAATATCTGAGTTAAAAGTAGGTAAGGGATATTCTTGATAACCTTCCATTATCAATATTGCCGTGTAATCCCATCAACGGCCAAGACTCAGAGACTATAAAATCCAGCTCCCGTGGAGTACTAAATATGCCAAATACCAGTAACAATGATGGGTCTCATTCTCCTAAAGAGCCTTGACTATAATCTCAGGGCTAGGATGCAAGAGACGTTACTGGGGCCTGCTCGAGGCAATCGATGAATAACAGGATGATGAATGAATGAATGAATGAATCAATATTGCAAACAATGGCCGAAAGGAGAAAGAGAGAGAGAGGAGAAAAGAAAAGCACCCACCACTTGCCATAGAGGCAGGCAAGGAAGGGGTGGGGAGTGGGGGGAACTTGGGGACGCTGGTTCTGGTTCTGGGAAATATACACTGGTGGAGGGATGGGTGTTGGAATACTGTATGACTGAAATCCTATCCTAAAGCTTTATAAGGGTCTAACAGTGATTCAATTAAAAAAAAAAAACTTTAGAAAAAAAAAGGTGCCTCTGTGCTCTTGGATATTTGGCCTGCTTATGCAGACCTGCAGGTTCAGTATCCCATTTTGCTCTGAGGCATTACTTGAACCCAGCGGTGCTGGCACGACCAGCTATGCCCTCTGGTGCTACAGGGCTATACCCAGCCATTTGATGCCGAGGATCAAATCTGGGCTCTAGCACCAGGCCTTTGGGCTATCTTATGAATCCCGATTTATTAATTTTCTTCCCTGTGCAGCCCCGCCTTGGGATGAGAAACTGATGGTCAGCCGGGCTGGGCTTCCCACAGTGGCACTGTGGTTCTTGGAAGACCCATTGACGACCATGTTAGCCTGGGAGCTCTCAGACTCCCTATACTTGGTAGATCAGAAACTTCCAGAAACCACTGGGCAGCATGTGGCTTTGGTTTCTTGTTTCTCCCACTTCTGCTGGGCATCAAGATCTGGCCCTCAGGCCAGAGAAGAGGCATGGTGTCTTCAAGCTCCAGCTTTGCAGTTGCATGACCATGAGAGTTCAAATCTCTTGATGTCCCACAGGTGCAAGTTTTGTCCTGGCAGCTCTATTCTCTGTGATCCCGGGGACTACAAAAATTTTTCCCCTGCCCTGGAGTGTTCAGGTGAGTGATTTCTGCCTACACAGCAGCCAGGACCACAGAAAGGGCTGAGGCCCCCTGTAGAAAGCACACAACTGAAAAGGTGTGTGAGCACCATGTGGTCTCCAGTGAGTCACCCCTGGTGAGTGCCATAACTGAAATGTTTGTGTCTCAGTCAAACAAGCAACTCTGAGGGGCTGGAGCGATAGCACAGTGGGTAGGGCGTTTGCTTGCACATGGCCCACCCGGGTTCGATTCCCAGCATCCCATATGGTCCCCCGAGCACTGCCAGGAGTAATTCCTGAGTGCAGAACCAGGAGCAACTCCTGAGCATCGCCGAGTGTGGCCCAAAAAGAAAAAAAAAAAATCTGAGTGAACATACATGCAAGAATAACCATCCTCGTGTCTGAGCACTGTGTCCGAATGTGTGAGCACCACAATCTGAAGCACGACCCCCAGCAAGCATCACAGCTAAAAATGTGAGAATGCCCCATCCAGGTGTGTGTACAATCTTTGCAATCGCTACATCAATGACAATGACAAAGGCCAGGGTACGGGGATAATTCCCGCCCTTGAATTTTCTAATGGTCGGCCACGGGCAAGGCAAACACCCTACCCACTGTGCTATCGCTCCAGCTCCTCTTTTTATTTATTTATTTATTTATTTATTTTAAGGCTTGATCTGTAGCATGTGCCAACTTCTTAGGCATTTATTTCTTTGTCCTGGCAGATTTCGAGCCCATCACTGTGATGGTCTGATAACGCTGGGAAGAAAAGTCCAGGAAAAAGCTGCCATTTGCTCTTCATACCATTTAGAGACAATAATAAATGCAAATATCCTGAAACACTTAGAATAAATTGAGAAGTGATTCATTTTTAGTAAACTCCGTAAGCCTTGTACTATGGCCTTTGTCATATAGTTATCACAGTGGTTTGTTATCATACTTGAAATGCTTTAAATGGCTCATTTTTAACAACTGGCTCTTCGAAGTCCTGAAAATTTCTCCCTGGGCTCTTCAAAGCAGTGCTACTTTATAGTATGAAGCCCGCCCTACAGTCTAGCCTTATTCTCTGTTCAGAGCCTGGTACCTTTTTCATCTCAAATATGCTGCCTTTGTTAGCAGTGTTCCTGACCCCTGCTGTTGCACACCATCCACCTGGCAAACTCCTCGTCCCATTCACCTGGCAAATTTCCGTTCATCTTTGAGAGAAAAGCCATCGTATTTACAGACCTGTTTCCTAACCCCCTAGCCCCTTCCTCTAGGCATCTATCTGAATATCTTCTGCATGTTTTTAACAAATCCCTTTGCCAGCATTTGGTGGTTGTTGTTTGCAAGTTTAACTTTGCTATTATGTCTCATTATTTTTGTGTCTCGGATATATGTTGAAAAACTGGCTACAATACTAGTAGCACTTAGTAAACACAGGGTTGAATCAATAAACCGATTTGATTCATTGATCACCCCTGCCGCTGTCTTTTGCAGAGCATCAGCAACTTTTCTAAACATTTACCATGAATTTTGGGACACTTCTGACCTATAGACTTGCTGTGGTCTCCCTACTTTTTTTGGCCGCTTTATCCACTTGCGAACTGGGGAATCAACCATTTAAAGCAGCCCAGATATTTTGTTACAATGGGAGGAATTAAACCTTGGCGACCAAAAGAATGCAAAAAATAATCTGCCAAAATAAGTAAAGGGAAAAAGAACCAATTTCCATATTTTTGAATTGTTTTTACGCTCTACTCTCTTTCCCAAATCCTAAGTCTCCCAAGATAGGTCTGTTGTCTTTCAAGCTTCTTCAAATGAAGATTCCATGCAACAACCAGACTGCATTTGTCTCCATCATTTGCACCTATGCTAAATCTACTGCTCTCCTAAAAGTGCTATTTCCCCTCTATTCTTTGTTTTCCTGAGTTCTCTCAACTAGACCTTCAACGTCAGTCGCTAAGCCTTTTTTTTTCAGGCAAAGTACCCACAGATGTATTATGTAATTTCATTTCAACAGGAAATTTCCTTCGACATGTGTTATTTAATGATTCATTTCCTACAATACTTGTAATTACTCTTAGGGATAAAGATCACCTTCACATGTACTTGTGTTGCTTTATTTAATGTGCCTGAGTCCATTGATTCACCTGTTCCAGAGTGAAGAATTTATTTCATTCCTCTCCAGCACAGCACCGGATACAGTTCAGTGCTTAAAAAATTTTTGTCGAGGGCAGGGATGCGGCTCAAGTGGTAGAACACATGTGCAAGGACTTGAGTTTAATCCCCAGCACAGCATGGTGGCTTAAAGTGGCATTTCTCAACTGTGGACCGGTGGGGAACTCCAAAGACAACAGGTAAAAATTGTGTAAATTGGGAAGAACATGTCAGATTCTACGGGGTCAAGCAGTAAGACAGAGGACCACAGGAAAGAAACAAGTGTCAAAGGGACCATCACTGGAAAAAAGATTGAGTAGCGCTAACTGAAGCATTCCCGCTGCAAACACGAGATGGTGAGCTCCTAGTCAAACACCAGGCAAGCAATTCTCAAAGCCCTGCAGTCTGGGGATCTCCTGCAAGAAAAAAATTTTTTTGACTAAATAGAAACAAAGTTGGGTGTGTTTTTCTCAAGACGAGTATCCCAAGGCTTGCATAAGGCCAGGAGAATGCAATCTTTACTCCCACATGATTTTATATCCAGGAAGACAAACTGGATATAACCCCTTTAGCAGTTATAAAAATATCCAACTCACTTATGTCTAAGGATTTCTCCTAAGGTCTTGTTGGTTCACATCAAATAACCCCGGTGCCAGCTGTGTCTTCCTGGCGTTTCATTGACATAAATAGCTGAAAACGTCACATGCCACCCACACTTAAGAGTTGAGTACACCGAGCTTTAATTTATCAGCTTGCTCGGGTTCTTTCGATTAATGATAACTAGAAATGATCACTCTGGACAAGAACTGAGTAAGGTGAAGGGACATACACGAGAACCTTTCAGTACCTGTATTGCAAATCAAAAGGGGAGAGCGAGGGAGAGAGACAGACAGAGACAGAGACAAAGAGTGGAGAGGTATGCCATAAGAGCAGGCTGGAGAGGGCAGTGACCAGAGGGAAGGGGGGACATTGGCATTGGGAAATGTACACTGGGGGGAGAGATGTGTTGGATCACTGTGTGGCTGAATCATGGACAACTTTTAACTGTGTATCTCATGATAATTCAATTAAAACTGTGTATCTCATGATAATTCCATGTCCAATTGTGGACAATTTTTAACTGTGTATCTCATGATAATTCAATTAAAAAATAATTTTTTTTTAAATTTAAAAAAAGAAAAGATTTTTAAATAATAAAAATACTCTGCCAAGCTATTGTCTTGAACTGAATCAAACCGAGCACGTCAGTTTCCTACCGGAATGGAAGTTTCTGGAGGAGATCTATCTGTCTGGTCACGGAATAAATGAAGGGTGACGGCATTCGGCCCCTCCCCTGCGGGCAGGGGGAAACGCATTGGCCACCCCGACAGATGGACCGGACGCGCCCCCCGCCCCCGGCGTCCAGCAGCACTCCCGGCCCGTGGACCATCGCCTGGGTCCGGGGAGGGGAAGAATCGTGCAGCCCCCGAAGGCAGCTTCGGGCGGGCGGGCGGGCGGGAGGGGGCGGGATTGACTGACAGGCGGGCGCTGGCTTTGGGGGCGGCTCTTAGCAACGGCCGCGGTGTGACCCCCGTCAGCCGGGAGAAAATCAAATCATCGGACGCGTCTCCCGGGCGCGATGTAGCAGCGGCAGCCGAGCGTGCAGGCAGGCGCCCGTTCGTCACCTGCTCACCCATCCCCTCCCCGGGCTCCCGGCTCTGCCAAGGGCGCCTGCCAAGGCGGGAGAGGCCAAGCCAGCTCGCCCCTTTGCTGCTGGGGAGGGGGTGTCCAGCCTCGATCCGTGAGTCCCGCGACCCTCCTGCGTGCGTGCGTGCGGACCGACGGGTCCCGGAGGGAGGGAGGGTCCGGGCTGCATCTCCGCGCGGCGGGCGCGGGTTCGGAGGGGAAACCCAGGGGCTTCATTGGCTCCCGGGTGCAGACCACGCCCGGCTGGCTGCCCGCTGGGCCCGGCCGCCTGCCCCATCCCCGCCGCGCTCGCCGGGCGCCCGCGCTGCCAGCGTGCTATTGTTGTGTGCATGCGGGTCCCCTCTCTTGCGTTGCAGAGATGGCGAACCGGGGTCCGAGCTACGGCTTAAGCCGCGAGGTGCAGGAGAAGATCGAGCAGAAGTACGACGCCGACCTGGAGAACAAGCTGGTGGACTGGATCATCCTGCAGTGCGCCGAGGACATAGAGCACCCGCCCCCCGGCAGGGCCCATTTTCAGAAATGGTTGATGGACGGGACGGTAAGGCCGGGCTGGCCGGCGGCGAGACCCTTCTTTTCCTGCTACCCCCCCCTTTTTTTTGGACATGGGGGTGCGGGTGGATGGGGAGGGGGGGAAGGAGAAGCCGCCGCCGCCCCTGCCCCGCGCCTCCGGGGAAGCCGCGGGAATGCCCCGATTTTATTATTATTATTATTATTATTATTTTGCTGCGTTGCGAGCTCCCCGCATTCGTACTTAGCTAACGGCCCCCCCCCCCCACACACACACCCCCAACCCCCAACTCCTCTGAGAAATGGGCAGCTGTTCTTTGGAGTTGTTGGCAAAATCGAACGATGCCCTTTTGCTTTTTTTTTTTTCTCCTTCCCCTAGTGTGGGTGAAAATAAGTAATTTATTTGAAGATGAATTGGTTTGATTCGTCAGCTCCTCCGCGTTCATTCCTATTCCAGGGGATAAGGGGTTGTACTAGAATACAACAAAGGGAAGACTGGGGCTTTGGGCTTTGGAGGGTCCAGCTACCTTCCGATTTCCAGAGCCAGGCATGGGTCTTGGGGTGCTCAGAGTTGGTAGGCTGCGTGACTCTTAGAAAACCGGGGAATCCTTGCTTGATGGCTCTGGAAAACACAGATGCTTGTGTGTGTTTGTGGGACGGAGCCAGACAAGCCCATCTTTCCTCGCGGGCTGTGATTTACTGTTACATAACTGCTATCTTAGGAGGCTTTCACGGGGGTCCCCAGCACCGGGTGAGAGTCTGGGAGGAGAAGAACCAGGTTGGTCCTTTCATCCATCATTAAGTGCCTGCGGGATGACTTCCTGAACCTCATTCTGAGCTCCCTTTTGATAGAAGAAATAACAAGAGCCTAATTATTCGCTCTCACTCATTCCCTCCACTGAAGGTCAGAAATCAGGGCCTCACCCCAACACACCATGCTCTGAGGTCAATATGCTCCTCCCCACCCCCAGGAAAGGACCAGAGAGCCCTCAAGGAAGGAATTCCCAGGCTAGTGGAAAACAGACAGGAGCAGCCCTGGCACCCGGTTCCTCTGGGCCTTTGGGGTTTGGTGTGGGAATCCCAACACACAGCCCTGATTCCTTGTCATCTTGGGGTGCTACGCTTAACTGTGGTCAAATCCGGGCCTTCCGGTAGCTGGTAGGACTGACATGGCCTGAGAGGTAAATACAAAGGGGAAATACTGAAGCATTGATTGGTTTCCCCTCTTCTCCCTTCAGGTCTTGTGCAAGCTGATAAACAGCTTATACCCCCCAGGACAGGAGCCCATTCCCAAGATCTCAGAGTCCAAGATGGCTTTTAAGCAGATGGAGCAAATCTCCCAGTTCCTAAAGGCTGCAGAGATTTATGGCGTCAGAACCACTGACATTTTTCAGACGGTGGATCTCTGGGAAGGTAAATCGCTCCTGGTGCTCCGGGCCTGTGGGATGGTCCTCCCCTCCCCCTCCTCTTTGTGAAACCTGCTCTCAGTGTTCTAGCCTCCGCCTGCGGGATGGGGGTGGGGGTGGGCTGGTGTGTGGGAGAGAGAGAGAAAGAGAAGGGGGTGTTATCAGCTGTCATGGGGGGTGGTAGTTAGCCTCTATGTTATGCTGTTAAAAGGGTCACCCTTTCCTAAGGGGAAGCCCACCCTGCCCCCACCCAAGACGCAGCAGGGATCGGAGCCAGCTAATGAGCCAAGAGAATCCTCAGTGGAGGGGAGGCTAAAATGGTTACACAGATGCTTTTCATTCCTGCTCCCCCTCCCACAATGCTTGCTGCAAACAAACGGGGAGCCGCGCAAGTGGTGGGCGCCTGCTCTTCTGACTCACCAGCAGCGTGGCTTATAGACAAACCCGCCCGGTGCAATTTTGTCATTCAATATGAGAAATAAATAGCATCTCAACCACTTATTAAACTTATCATCCGAGAGCTTGTTGACTCGAGATCCATGTTTTTCTTGAGTCTGACAAATGCTTCTTCCTTTGAATTGACTTGAGAGATCTCAGGAAGCCTAGCAATCAAATCGTGCTTCTGCACAGAAAGATCTCTCCACCTAGTTGCTAGAAACACTCCCAAAGAGTGTGGAGTTTATGATCATCAGGTGCCACCCACATCAGACCTGCCTGAGGCAGCTGATCGGGACCAATCCTAGTGAGGCTGTGCTCTCTCCTGTTCATTGTCTTGTCTGCCCTCAGCGGCCCAGGGAACAGAGCACCCAGGGCAGTGACCCAAATGATTCTGCTCACAGTGAACAGGGGCCAACTTTCCTCTCATCAAGAGACAATGACATTGTCAAGGGGATCCAGATGATGACTGGAATTGATGGCGAGGAGCCTCCTTTCCCCTGCTTAACCCCCTGCCTTTCTAATGCCCGTGCTTCCACTGCCCTGCAGAGAGTGTTTCTTGATTTCCTCACCGGTGAATGGTTAAAAGCCAAGGGATCTTGTAGCCAGGTGAAGGAAGCGTAGGGTTTTGAAGGCAATGAGGCAGCAGAGCCACCCCAAGCGTTTTGTGGCTTGCCAGACAGGTATCCCGTTGGTGAGATAGTGGCAACAGGAAAACTCATGTTTAGGAGTTTCCTAGTGGACTCTGGAGGCCACGGGGCCTGGTCACCTACACCACAAAGAGCAACTCAGACTGAGGACTAGTGAAACTCATCTTGCAGGGGTATTGATAACCCCCCCAAATTAATGAAGCTCGAGCCAGAGCTGCTTACCACAGAGTGGAATAAGAGCTGGGGAAATAAGTTGCTTTGAGGCAAGACAGGGGAAGGGAAGGTGCACTGTGCATCCCTGAACTGAGAGAGAAAGGCCTGAGTAAGACCTCTCTGCCAGAACCGGTTGTCACTCAGCTGGGAACATGAGTCAGCTAGACTCTGGGACATGGTGGGGCAGGGTCAGTATATTTCTGGGGGGCCATTCGCCCACAGTTCTATAGCCTGACTGTGGTCTTAATGCTGGCCTCACCTTCCCATGTACTCTTGTTCATTCCCGATTCTGCGCGGCGGTTGGCTGTGATGGCCATGGGCCAGCCCTGCTCGCCTCTACTCCATCAGTCTGTTCCTCCTCTGCAGGTGCTTTATGCCTGACAGCTTCCAGCCCCTTCTCCCCTCCTTGGCAGCTTCCCTTGGAAGAGTCAGTGCCAAGGCTGCCCAGTGATGGGTTCCTCCACCTTTAGACTCATAAAGCCGAGCCCAGGCTTACCAAATGCCTCTCTATTGAGGATTCGGGATTCAGATAAGCTCTCTACCCTGAAACCCCTTTCGATGCAGGGTGCAGTGTTTGAAATGAACTCAGGGGCAGCCAGAATAAAAGATCTAGGGTTTGGAAAAGGAACGCAGGTCTGAATGGTCCACAAAATCTAACCACGGAAATATTCTAACCACCTTGGAAAGAAACTAGTGGTGACCAGTTATATTAGGAAGATGGGAAGGTGACTGAGACCCTGGGCAGGGGCCTAGGAAAGTCTGTCACTTCAGAAGGTGAATGCCTGGTTGGTTCCTCTCAGACTTCAGTGAGTGTCCTAGAGAGGGCCGATTTGGGCTGTGGCAGCTCTGACCCAGAAGAGGGTGCTCTCTAACTAGAAGACAAGGTGCAAAGGAGATAGGAGAAAAAGGTGTGTGTGTGAGAGAGAGAATGAATGCACGCAAGATGTGACAGTGCTGCTCAAAAAAACAAGCTTGTCCTAAAAGGTAATGGAGTCCTGGCTCCTGAATTAGAAATTTAACTGCCCCTAGCAAACTTCCTCTATGGCTCATCAGTTAACTTGCCTGAAGTTCCAGCCTTTTCACCTGTAAACCGGGAGGTACTAGTAGGTATTTCCCAGGCTTGATCTGGGAGCAGATGAGATCATGCATTAGAAGTTCTTAGAATGGTGTCGAGCTATACAGTCTATAATAAATACTGGCTATATTAAAATTACATGCCAGTGACCTGTCCATTGGAAGACTAATGGAAAAGGGAGAAAGTGAAACAGGCTGGAAAGATGCCTTTGCTGTCTTGGAACAGATGAAAATTTGAAGTGGGTAGGGTTGCCTGCCTCATCCGTCATCATCCCTAGTGGAGGATAGGGAGGGGCTGGATTATTGGCGTTTTCCATCTAAGGTTATTACCTTCTTGTTGACTTTTTCTTTAATGTAGCACTTTGCCATTTTGAGCCCCAGTAAACAGTCCAAGTACAGTGGAAAGAATATGTAAGTTTTGGAGCCAGGTGGCTGGCTTAGACACTTTTTTATTAAACTATATTCTCACTTTATGACCTCCAATGAACCTAATCAGCTTCTCAGCCCCAGTTTCCTTCGGTGTACATAGGTCCAGCAGGATTAAATGTCTAAAAGGTCCAGCAGGGTTAAATGTCTAAAATGCTCCATTCCTGTCTAAAACGCCTTCGCAGTTGTTGGTTTCTTTAACTTCATCGATAACTGACTTTGGGTCTTTTACCTGACTCTGGCCAGCACTGGTCATGCAGGTTTTAGAATGTCAGAGCAGGTATGGCTCAAAGGTCTAATTAAGTCTGGTTACTCTCCTCAGTAGGCTTACTGGGGAGGATGTTGAGCACATGATTTGGTCTTTCCTTCCTAGTCCCCACCTTTGTGGTTCAGAGACAGGGAGGTGTGATTTGCACTGGCATAGAGTGCCTGGAAGGTCCAAATAAATTCTCTGGGAAGGTGTCACTATATGTGTCATTCCTCAACAGCAAGAGCAAAGCCGACATTTTACGTCATTTCAAGTTATTTTGAGATATTGTGAGGCTACGTGGAATGACATGAGAAATCACAAATGCCTTTTCCGGAAGCCTGCTTTTTTTTTGTTAGAATAGTCAATTTCCACATTTATTCTATGTTATCTTGACTGTTGTATTCAGTGGTTTTTTTATTCTGTGGTAGCTCATGGACTGTATTTGCACCAGACCTGCCTGGAAGGCTTGTCAAAGCACCGATTGCAGGGCCTCAGCCCAGAGGTTGTTAGGTGGTAAGCCTGGAATATGGCTCAGGAATTTAAATTTCTTACCTAGTGGCAAGAAATTAGAATGATGGGTCTCATTCTACTAAAGAGCCTTGAATATAATCTCAGGGCTAGGATGAAGGAGACGTTACTGGGGCCTGCTTGAGGCAATCGACGAATTACAGGATGATTTGTGATTTGATTTCTGACCAAGTGGCAGGTGGTAATGATTCTGCAGGTCTGGAAACCTCACTTGGAGAATTACTAGCTGCGGTTTATCTGGGGAGCCAGCATCACAACTCCCACCCTCCCCCTACCCCCATACACACACACACACACACACACACACACACACACACACACACACAGAGAACAGGCCCAACCTGCCCGCTCACATCTCTCCCTTGACCACGGCAGTGTTCGCTCTGCCTTGAGTGGATAATTGGGAGTTATGCCAGAGTTGTTACTTAGAGAAAGAAATAATTTCTTCACCCATTGACCGTTCTCTCTCTTAGTGCCACAAAGATGAAAAAAGTCGGTATTCCTATGACTAGTCAAACCTGACAGGAAAAGGAATTGATGAAGCTAAGAGTTTTGCCTATCAGACTGCTTTTTTGTTTTGTTTTGTTTTGTTTTCATTTTTGGGTCACACCCGGTGATGCACAGGGGTTACTCCTGGCTCTGCACTCAGGAATTACTCCTGGCAGTGCTCAGGGGACCATATGGGGTGCTGGGAATTGAGCCCGGGTCGACCTTGTGCAAGGCAAACACCTTACCCACTGTGCTATCGCTCCAGCCTCGATTTTTGGTATTTTAAAATATTTATCCACCATAACTTTATCCTTCCAGATATTTCTCTCTAGCCTTTTTGTCCCTCTCTCTTTACTTTTTTGGGTGGAAATTTGGGCCACACCCATCAGTAGCTCAGGGGTCATTCCTGACCCTATATGCCCAGGAGTAACCCCTGCAGTGCTCAGGGAATCAGACATAGTGCCAGGGATCAAACGAGGGCCAGCTGACTTGGCTGTATTAAAGGCAAGTAAGTGCCGTATCTCCTTACTATCCTTCCAGCCCTTTCTTTACTTTTCTTGTCTATGTTTTCTTCCAAAAGACTGCATAAGGTATCGTGAGAGTAATGAGATTTTAATACAATAAAACCTTTGTTCATGGATCTTTACAGTACAAGCAGTCAAAATTAGGGTTGCAAAGAATATCTGGCTTGGACTGGGACTTCTGACCATGCAAGACCTCCAGCTTCACTCCCCGGACATGGTCATTTAGTAGTTTGCCATGCAGGCTCCTACTCAGAGAGACATTGCTTTGTGACAGTACGACACAGAGGAAGCACTCTTTATCTCTGCCCTTAGAAGGGAGGAAAAGGCCAGCCCAGTTCAGCTGGTGAGCTGTGACAGAGAATGAGGCTCCTTCTCTTGCATGACTCTCATCCCTTCTGAGCGCCGATGGTCTTTCTGACAGTCACACCAGAGCCTAGTCTCATTTCTGTTATTTGGTCATCTAGAAAATTTGCAGCACGTAGTTGGTAATTGTTCAGAGAACTATTTTTCTTTCTCTTGGAAGAACAGCCCTGAGCCCTGGGTTTCAGGCGGGCTGACCACAGCATCTAGGGGCAGCTTTCAGGGCGCTAAGAACTTTCAGTAAGGCTCTCCATTGGCTCCCGGCTTGAATCATGGCCCTTCTAATAAGCTGTTTAACTATTTGTCTGGGAGGGGATCTTTCAAGGAGTAAGTGGCAGGTGTGCCTTAGTACTTAACACATGCCATACAGGGGGACTTTTTTAAAATTTAGTTCAATGAGTTGGAATAGGGCTTGTCTTTTGGCCTGGCTGCATGAGAATCATCTAAAGGATTGTCATAGATGTTTAATAATCACAGGTTATTCTAGTTTGGGTATCACCAGGTGAAACCTTTCTCAAACTTTCCTGATGGTCTGAAAATATATAAAAATATAAACTCCCGGGGCTGGAGTGATAGCACAGCGGGTAGGGTGTTTGCCTTGCGTGCAGCCGACCCAGATTTGATTCCCAGCATCCCATATGGTCCCCCAAGCATCGCCAGGAGTAATTCCTGAGTGCAGAGCCAGGAGTAGCCCCTGTGCAATGCTGGGTGTGACCCAAAAAGAATATATATGTATATATACATATATATGTATATATACATATATATACATATATATACAAAAGAATATATATGTATATATACATATATATGTATATATACATATATATGTATATATACATATATATATACATACATATATATATATATATATATATATATACTCCCCAGCTCCACTCTGCCTCCCAGGCCCATCTCTTAGGCAGAATGACTGGGATATTAAAGTACACACTTATTTATTTTTTTCAAAATTTTATTTTATTAAAGCACCATGAATTACAAAGTTATTCATAATTGGGTTTTGGACGTACAAAGTTCATCACCAACCGGTTCAATTTCCCTCCCCCAGTGTTCCCAGATTCCCTCTCCTACCCCCACACCCGAGCCCCAGCCTACTATCTTGACAGGCACCTTTTAAATTTAGTTATTAACGTTTGGGTCTCGCAATTTCAATGTGGTTGACTCTAGTTGGAGATTTACACCCTCGCTTCGCCCTAGTTTCATTCTGCGATCCAAGAAGCTGAGGCAAGTCTGCTGCAAAACAGGCTGGTTTTTAAGCAGATGGAGCACTTGGTTGTGATTCAAGCAGTTTGGCTTTTGTTATTGTACACTTTGAGGTTGTCCATGACCTCCTAGGTGCCTTGGATATTTAAGAACTATTTTTGATCCCCAGTTGCAGCAATCCGTCTCTGTGAATAAGCCCTTTCTTTGTGCTTGATCTCAGCTTCTGAGGCAAGTGAGACATTGCCCCTTTTCCCCTTTTTCTCATTCTGTGTGCACTGGAATCCCTCATGAGGAGCACTGGAATCCCTCATGACAAGCAAACAAACCGGAGGGAAACACCTTGACCAGGCAAACCAACCAGCTAGAATCGAGCTGGTGAATAGCGGGCAGTTTTCTGTTACCAAGAATCTGAAATATAATTAACTTGATCTTCACATCAATGAGAGAGTCAGTCCCGCCTGCTTTACCTGGCCTGAATCATATTTAAGTGAAGATTTGTAAATAATTGTTTCAAACTGTCACTGTCACTGTCCTCCCATTGTCATTGATTTTTCTAGAGCGGGCCCAGTGACATCTCCATTGGAGACTTTGTTGTTACTGTGTTTGGCATATCGAATACATCACGGGTAGCTTGCCAGGCTCTGCCGTGTGGGCGAGGTACTCTCGGTAGCTTGCTGGGCTCTCCGAGAGGGGCGGAGGAATCGAACTCGGGTAGGCCATCTTGGCCGCGTGCAAGGCAAACGCCCTACCACTGTGCTATCGCTCCAGCCCTGTTTCAAACTAAAAATTATAAAAGGTAGGACCATTTGGGGCCTGGAGGGATAGAACAGTGAGTAGGGCACTTGCCTTGCATGAAGTGGTCTGGATTTGACCCCCAGCGCCTTATATGGTTCCCCCAAGCCATCCAGGAGTGATCCCTTATGAAGAGCTAGGAGTAGGCCCTGAGCACAGCTGAACGTCGCCCCAAAACCAACTCCCCACTATCCCCCCAAAAAAGAAGAAAAAGAATTGGAGACGTTTAGAGTTACTTTTATAAACCTCAAGATCTGTATTCTAGGTTTGTCCTGCAAAAGTATCCCTCTGTCTGATCACTGGTGAAGCTATAACCATCTTTTTTGGTTGTCTCTGATCATTGAGAAGTCTGTGCTCTGCCAGTCTTTCATGGGGGGAAAAGGGGTCTGAGGGATGGCAGTGCAGACTTTGCATTCAGATATCTGAGTACATGTGCTGTAGTTTACTTGTCGGGTAACTCTGGGCACATCAGCTATCTCCCTGGATTAGCTTTTCCCATCCACAAACTGGGAAGAACAGTTCGATTCCGTAGTGCCCGTGTCTTGTATAATAGTCCAGACCTTGTTTCTCAGCCTTTTCCCATCCGTGACTCCCTCCGCCTGGTTTTCTTCCATGGTCCCTTTGTCCAACCAGTTGGTCCCCTAGGCTCATTTTGTGCTCCCCCTCCCCCTATTGATGTGATTCTTCACAGGTGATTCCTTAGAGTATACTGGGAGCCCACAGGAAGCCTTGTCTCGGCTGGAGTTTATAATACTTCTTTTACCTTGGGAATTTCCATAAGGAAAGCATGTCAAATTTGTTTCTGTAGTGATGTCTCTTCTTGTTTTTTTTTAATAAATTTTATTAGAGGGTTTTTGAAGGTATGGAAGGGGGAGAGAGAGAGAGAGAGAGAGAAAGAAAGAGAGAGAGAGATGCTCCAGGCTTCTCCAAAGGGCCAAAGGGCAGAGAGACCCCTACACACACCCCAGCATATTAGACAGGAAAGCATGAAAGTACACATCTCAAGAGGGGAGATGCAGGTGACATATGTACTCAGCCACATGGGTGCAAGCAACACATGGGCTTGGGCAGCATATGTGCCGTGCTGCCTCTTCTCTCGGCTACTCCAAATGCCCCAAGAGTGCTTCCTTATCTCCTAGAATGAGAAGGGGGCAGTATTTTTACTTTTAAATTCTCTAATTACTTTACCTCCCCTTTGCCCCCCACCCCCACCCCACCCCCGCTTAGTTCCCTATACCTTTTCTGGGATTATGGAACATACTCATTAACTAGCTACTTTGGAAGAGGCTGGGCCTGTAAGTTGACCATTCGTGGTTCCTGGGTTGAGTTGTTAGGAATCAGGCTTCACATGTCCCCAGATCCCAGACTTCCCAACCTGCCTTTTCTAGCCAACAGAAACAGATTTCCTGTATGCCCTTGGTATAGAGCAAGAGCTCTGATGTTCCTGAGACTTCCTGTGTGCATTTCCTTGACTTCTCTTTTATGACTCATCATTTAAGAGCAAACCCTCTCCCTCTCTCTTCCCAAATATCATCGCTTCAGTTCTATTCCGAACAAGAGAAGGGAGGGGTCCTGTTATACAGTGACAAGACAGAAATGCTTTTCATCTGTGGGAGAGAAATCATTCTCACCGCTACCTTTGTGTTCTTCTCTAAGCCAACCTCCCATGGGCCCTCCCCCTTCCATCTGCAGCCCGGATATTCCATTCTCCACCAACCCAGCTCTTGTCTGAGTTCAGGAGACTCTCCACGGAGAGCATTTACCCCTCTATCCATCATTCAAGATCCAGGAAGCGGCCCTGTGGTTAATGTGGGAGGTGGAGGGATGGAGAGAGGAAGGGGAAGAAAGATCATTTCTCTTTCTTCCCTTTGACTAAATGGACATCCTGACCAGCACTACCTCTGTGGACCTGAATTTTTAATTGTATTAACGTCACAGGCCATTCTCGCTTTCTGTCTGCCTTTCCCGTGTAATTCTGTATTCCCCAGTGGCCCAGCTGCTGCAGCCAGGCCAGAACGACCACAGATGTTTCACTCAGGCTGAAGTGGACCTTTCATGCTCTAGATCCCCGCCAGAATAAGCACTAACTTCCTTTGCAGACCTCTGGCTTTTCACCTTTGTCCTCCACCCTGGCATCTTGCATGATACTCCCTTCTGGTTCTCAACAGCAGGGTTAGCCACAGGGAGCAGCTCAGTCTCCTGGAAGGGGGACAGCAGAGAGGACCCGAGCCACAGCCTGTAGGCTGTACTGGCCTTCTCCTTCTCCAGGAGCTAAGGTTACTGGGTACCTCCGATCATAGTGACCCCTTCCCCTTACATAAGGGGGCACACCACACAGCTCTTGCACCTCATACTCTGTTATTCTCTCTCTCCATTCTCTCTTTCTCACAAGACAAGTCTTGATGGTCTCTCTAGCCCCTTTCAAACAGCACTAAATAAAGGGACTCACACCGAGTGTTGATTTGCTCTGTTTCATTTTGGGTTGTCAGGTGTGTATCCCACATAGCCAAGGAAATGCTCAGAGAGAAGCCACCTGGGCTTTAGCACAGTTGGTTCATGCAGCTAATTTCTCTCTCCAGTTTCCTTTCCTCCTTCCAACCCCGGGGAAATGCTCCTTCTCCGAACCACAGCTTCCTGTCGGAACTTCCTTCTGATTCCAGCACCATCCTTCCAGATTTCTGGTCCCCGACACATACTTGGTTTTAAACACTTTATTGCTTTCTAGGAAAGGACATGGCAGCTGTGCAGAGGACCCTGATGGCCCTAGGCAGCGTGGCAGTCACCAAGGATGATGGCTGCTACAGAGGAGAACCATCCTGGTTTCACAGGTAAAAAACCCCGGCCCCCTGCAATAGAGAATGATTTGACAAGAACAACATCTGGAGACTTTTAGACATGGAACCTCTGGTAGCGTGTCCTCAGGGCTCCGTGACTGATTCTCTCTCAGAGCTAGGAAAGTGCCACGTGTTACCCATCCGCCCACCTGGGGTAGAAGCAGTTGGCCCAGGTTCTGCTTCTTCTAGGCACTGAGCAGGACTAGATGGCTTTTCTCAGAGCTGACTTGATGCCTGGTCCTGTTTTTATTGTGACGCAAATAAGCCCTGAATCTGTCTTACCAATTAATGCAGGGAAATGTGTCTCTTTTGCCCAAGAAGAGTGCTCTTACTCTTACAGGAAGCCTGGTAGGGATAATAACATATGATTGGGCCTTTTCCTAAAGTCATTTTTATTTTTTGCTGTTGTTTAGGGGCAAGTAAGGGGTTAAGCAGCTAAAACTCAATTGAATAACTCCATGGGAGTTGCAGACCAAAGAGTACCTCAGGGATGGAACTCAGGGTCTCACACATGCAAAGTCTAAGCATCAGTCTCTGAGCCACATCCTCAGCTCAGAAAAGAGCATCTTGTAATAGATAAGTGTTTATTTTCCTAATTCCTGATTCTCATTGGCAGTTGTCAAAGGATACCAGCTTATATTGCTTTAATTGAACCTTGTCTGAAAACTCACAAGGTATTAGCCAGTTAAAAGTCTGACTTTAGTTCCCTTGTTTTAATGACTCACCATAGTCCCTGCAGTCCACAATATTATTTGTTATGTGACTGGGTTTTTTTTTTCTTTTTGGATAACACCCAGCGATGCTCAGGGGTTACTCCTGGCTCTGCACTCAGGAATTACCCCTGGTGCTTGGGGGAACCATATGGTATTGCGAGGATTGAAGTTGGGTCAGCCATGTGCAAGGCAAATGCCCTACCCGCTTTGCTATCGCTCCAGCTATGTTATGACTTTTAACTTAAGGTTGCTGACCTCTGGGCCAGAGTAACAAATTTCTTCTCATTTCTTTCTCAGTTCCTCAACTCTAAAATGGAGTGTTCTTCCCTAGTCTTCCCCAGAGAAAGTGGACTGGGATTATGACATGCTTTAACAGGAGGAACTGGTTTTAATTGTCATCAATGCTTGAAAAAACAGAGAAAAAGAAGAAAATTATTTGAGGGTGAAGGCTTCAGAGAGGCTGCCATGAATTCTTTGCTGGAAATTCTAGAAGAACAGCTTGACCTCTGAGGAGGATTCGGTTGTAGTGTTTGGGTCTTGGCCCAAGGCAGGGCCAGAGCTCATAGGAGGGAATAGTTCAAGGTCAGAACATTAGTCAGGAAGGTGCATAACCGAGAATAGGGCCAGAGCTCAGGGTAGGCTGTGGCCTCTTAGTAGGCCAGATATCAGGTCAGACTGTGATTCAAGGTAGCTCATGGTGGCAGGTGGGAGCTACTCATCTATGTGGTGACCCCCCCCCCCCGCCCAACCCCCCCCCCCCCCCCCCCCCCCGAGCCTGTGTAACTGCAGATCTTTCTGTGTTTTTTTGTTTTTTGTTTTTTGCTTTTTGGGTGACATCTGGCGATGCACAGGGGTCACTCCTGGCTCATGCACTCAGGAATTCCCCTGAGTGCATGAGCTCAGGGGACCACATGGGATGCTGGGAATCGAACCCAGGTCGGCAGCATGCAAGGCAAATGCCTTACCTGCTGTGCTATCGCTCCAGCCCCAACCTTGCTGTATTGAAAAACTGTAAGAGTGACCTTATTCCCTCTCTTCCCTCTGCGCAGGAAAGCCCAGCAGAACCGGAGAGGATTCTCAGAAGAGCAGCTTCGCCAGGGACAGAATGTGATAGGCCTGCAGATGGGTAGCAACAAGGGAGCTTCCCAGGCAGGCATGACCGGGTACGGGATGCCCAGGCAGATCATGTGAGACACCGCCTCCTGCCCCCACCCCGAGTAGAGAGGATGAATGCTCCGCACCAGTCTCTCTGATAAATAGTTAGTCGCCTCTGACCTTCCTCCGAGCTGCCCTCCCTGGTGTTTGCAAGTGCTGCATTTCTGATGACCACCCGCGTTGCCTACTTCTGCCACCGTCTGTTCCTTTAGAACTATGCAAAGACTCCACTTCCTCCTCCCAAGCTTCTCCTCTGTCCTGAAAGCCTCTGTCTGGTTATTTATTTATTTATTTGCCAAAAAAAAAAAAAAAGAAGAAGAAGAAAAAAAAAAGTCCCTCCTCCACTGAATACAAGCTCCAAATAAACAGATTAGTCTTGTGTCTTCCAATGTTGGTTCTTTGCCTCAGGGAGTCTGTGGGAGGGCCGGTTGCCATGGCATTCCAGGGCTCATCTGATGGGCTGGAAGTGAGGCTAGAGCACACAGGACAGGTCAGCCCGAGGAAGTCTCCGAAGATTGGACTGTGTTTCTTAGTTACCATCGGAAGTTTAGGAATACTTTTTTTTTTCTTTTTGGGTCACACCCATCGTTGTACAGGGCTTACTCCTTGCTCATGCAATCAGGAATTACTCCGGGCAGTGCTTTGGGGACCATATGGGATACTGGGAATCAAACCCGGGTCGGCTGCATGCAAGGCAAATGCCCTACCCGCTCTGCTATCACTTCAGCCCCAAGTTTAGGAATACTTTTTTTGTTTGTTTTTTTTGGGGGGGTCACACCCGGCGATGCGCAGGGGTTACTCCTGGCTCTGCGCTCAGGAAGTACCCCTGGTAGTGCTCAGGGGACCATATGGGATGCTGGGAATCGAACCTGGTCGGCCGCGTGCAAGGCAAACGCCCTACCCGCTGTGCTATTGCTCCAGCCCCAGGAATACTTTTGTTCGATCTGAGAACCTGAAGCCATGAGCTCAAAAACGAATGTTCACACTCACCCCCTGCACAGTCTCTCCCCCCGCCCCCGCCCCATATATTCTTGCTAGCATTTGCAGCTTAATGCTTATTCTAGACCCTTGGGAAAACACATGAATCGGTCAGAGCTTCAGTATTTTTGGTAGGAGGTCACAGGCCGCAGGGCTCAGGGCTTAGTCCTGGTACTCTGGGATCATTCCTGGTGGGGCTCAGGGAACCACATGGGGTTTTGGTGATCAAATCTGGGCTGACCATGTGCAGGGCAAGTTCCCTACCTCTGCACTAGCTCTCCAGCCCCAAAGTTTCAGTTTTGATGGATCCCTATAGATGCTTGTGAAGTATCTGTCATAGCTTTAGCAAATAGATTGGGGATAAAAGATTGAACAAAAACCCTGTGAAAAGGACTGGAGCAATAGCACAGAGAATAGGACATTTGCACTCCGGCCGACCTGGGTTCAATTTCCAGCATCCCATATGGTTCCCTGAGCACCGCCAGGAATAATTTTCTCAAGTGGGCACCAGTAACATCTCCATTGTGAGACTTGTTGTTACTGTTTTTGGCATATCAAATGTATCACAAGGAGCTTGCCAGGCTCTGCCGTGCGGGTACAATACTCTCGGTAGCTTGCCGGGCTCTCTGAGAGGGACAGAGGAAATCGATGAACAACGGGGGTACAGTGCTACAGTGCTATCATGTTTAGAATATTTATGAGGATTTTATTTTTATTCTATTTTTATTGAAGTTTTGTGACTTACAGTACTGTTAATAATGAACAACAGGAGGACAGTGGACAGTACTAATGAGTTAGTAGTAATATAGTAATATACTTAGAATGATAATAGGAAGGGATAAATTTAGGAAAGAAAACTTTGAAGAACTTTTTAAACGCTTTAGAAGGGGCTAGGGTTTAAAAAGTAAAAATTTCATTACATATAAGGGGGAAAAGTCAGATTTCTCACAGCAATACTGGATATAGAAGGTAATATTTTAAAGGTACTGTCAAAATTTGAACGCAAAATTTCTGTGTAACTTTTAAGCCTAACAGTGAAGCAAAAATGCAAGGCCCTATTTTATCCTTTATTCATGAATCACGACCATCCTGTTATTCTTCGATTGCCTCGAGCAGGCCCCAGTAACATCTCCTTCATCCTAGCCCTGAGATTTTTAAGAGAGTGCCATATTCAAGGCTCTTTAGGAGAATGAGACCCATCATTGTTACTGGTATTTGGCATATTGGGTACGCCATGGGGAGTTTGCCAGACTCTGCCATGCGGGCGGGTTACATTCGGTAGCCTGCCAGTTTGTCCAAAGTAGGAATGAGATAATAAGATGTCACAACAAGAAGTCGCGCAGCCGCAAATGCGGCCACGTGCTTCCACTTCCAGGAGCTGGGTTTTATAGTCTCTGAGTCTTGGCCTTTGATGGGATTACACGGAGCCAGGGGGCCAGTTGGTGGGTGTGACCCCCGCCTACTGGAATTCGGAGGATCTGGGTGGCGGATGCTCAGCCCCGATCCGAGTAGGCTTGGAGATCTCAGCCCCGGGACCGTGAGATACAGTTACAAAGTTGTTGATGATTGGGGTTCAGTCATACAGTGTTCCAACACCCATCCCTTCACCAGTGTACACTTCCCACCGCCAATGGTAAAGGTGTGGCTTCCCTCCTGCCACATCCCCAGCCTGCCAGTATGGCAGGCAATTTCCTTCTTTCTCTCTTTCTCTCTCTCTCTTTCTCTCTCTCTCTTTGGCATTATGGATTGCAATACAGGTACTGAAAGGTTAACATGTATATTCTTTTCAGTTCTCAGTTCTTGTCCAGAGTGATTATTTCCAAGTATCATTGTCGTAGTGGTCCCTTTCCTATCCTAACTGCCCTCCTCCCTCTCGCACTTGTGGCAAGCTTCTCACCCTGGGTCAGTCCTCCTGGCCCTCATTCCTCATTTCTTAGAGCGATAGCACAGCGGTAGGGCGTTTGCCTTACAAGCGGCCAACATGGCCGACCCGAGTTCGATTCCTCCACCCCTCTCGGAGAGCCCGGCAAGCTACCGAGAGTATCTCACCCCCACGGCAAAGCCTGGCAAGCTCCCTGTTATGTATTCGATATGCCAAACACAGTAACAAGTGTCACAATGGAGACGTTACTGGGCCCGCTCGAGCAAATCGATGAACAACGGGAGGAACGTGACCGTGAATCTCGTACTATGTGTGTTTTTTTTGTATCTATCAAATGAGTGCACAATAATTCCAGTCTGCCCCTCTCTATCTCTCAAGGCCCATTTTTAACTTTTTAAAAAAATTTAAAAAAAAATTTTATTAGTGAAACACCATGAGGTACAGTTGTAGACTTACAAATTTTTGTGCTTGGATTTCAGTTGTATAATGATGTATGATCGAGTACCCAGCCCTCCACCAGTGCCCATTCTCCACCCCCAATGATCCCAGTATCCCTCCCCCCCACCCCCCACCCCCATTCCACCCTACCTCTGTGGCAGGGCATTCCCTTTTATTCTCTCTCTCCTTTTGGGTGCTGTGCTTTACAAAAGAGGCATTGAGTGGCAATCATGTTCCGTCTATAGTCTACTTTCAGCATGCATCTCCCATCCTGGGAGGATCCTCCCAACACCCTTCATTTGGTGCTCCCTTCTCTATCTAAGCTGCCTTTTCCCCCGCATGTGTGGCTGTAGGCCCTATTTTTAACTTTAATTTTTAAAAAAAGTGAAGCAAAAAACGCAATGGACCTCTTTTGAACTTTTTTCTTCTTTTTGAAGCACCTTGAGCTACAATAGCGTTAATGATAGGGTTTATGCATACAATGTTCCAACACTGCACACTTCAACAGAGTGTCACTTCCCTTTATCAATGTCTCAGAGTTCCTTGCCAACCACCCCTTCTTCCTCCCTCTATCGCTGGTAAGTTCAGTTCTATAGATGGTTCTCAGTATTTGAGACCATCTGATTTTTCCCTTTCGATATTACATTATGTCAGAGTCCTGGCCAGTTGACCCCTGCACACTCGAGTATGATCCCCTAAAGTCGCTGGACTTACTCCCTATGGGAGAGGGAGTGGGAAGGAGAGAAGCCTCTGTCCTGGCCCTCCGTGCACCTCAGGCTCCCACCTCCACTGAGAAAGAACCACGCGGAAGGGGGAAAGCTGGTGGTCAATCAGCAATCCATTTATTGGCTCTCACACAGGGGTTCTTATACAGACATTCAGGGGGCATTCCATATGCATAGCACGGTCACCTTGTAGGGCTCAGTACAAATGCTAGTTAATGATTTGTGTTCTCCCCCGTTCTCAGGGCCAGGTGAATCAGCTCAGGCAAATGTTAACTGTCACATCCCTCATCCCATCGTCTCCTCAACCAGAGTGCCTATGTGTGTGGAGTGCTGGGCCTCTGTAAACAGGGCTGGCTCTTGCTTTCAGGGGCAGGGGGTTTGGTCAAAGTCTCAGGCTGGCTGCTGAGACCCCAACACATTATATCCCACATTTGAGAGAGATCCTTCTGCATTTGTCTCTCTCCTTCTCACTGACTTCATTTAATGTGAGACCCTCCGTTTTCATCCACATAGTGGCAAATTGTGTGATTTCAGTTTTTCAATTGTGTATATAGACCACAATTTCTTTAACCAGCATTCCATTCTTGGATACTCCGGTTGTTTTCAATATCAGGTATTTTGAATAATGCCAAAGACCCTCTTTTGAAAACACAACTGAATGAAATATTCTAGTAAGAAAAGTATATTAATGGCCAGAGCGATATTTTCCTTATACGCAGCAGACCCCGGCCTGATCCCTGGCAACCCATATGGTCCCCCAAGAACTGCTAGGAATAATTCCTGAGAGAGAGCCAAGATGAACTCCTGAGCATTGCTGGGTGTGACCCAGAAATCAAACAAACAAACAAGCAAGTACATTGCCTGGAAAAAAATGCTTTAATATGGATAGTGAAGATAAGTGATTAAGTTGTACATTTTCATTCTTATTTAAATGAATTACTGAAATATGAAGAGAAAATGTGTAGCAACACAAAACTAGATAAAACCAAGAGAAATATGATATGAATTGAGAGGCACAGAGAAAAAGGAGGCAGTCAAAACATAAAATGGCAGTTTCCTTATTTAGGATAAGACATATATTTTGGTGGGGGGTATGGTGCCACCAGCAGGTCAATCTGTACCTGTGAGGCGAGTGCATCAGCAGCCTGATGGCACCTTCAGACTTCCAGATACCCCAAAATTGCTGCTGTGCCTTTGGCCAGACCCCAAAAACTTGGGGCAAAGTTTGCCAAGAAAGTAAACGGCCAAAAATTAGGTATGTGGGAAACACACCCACAAACCACCTCCAGC